CAAAATAATGCTGCTCTCGCAAATAGGCCAAAGCCAGCTCAAGAATAAATGCCACAGAAATGTTTAAAGCCTGCTTGTTGCACGATTTGCTGCTAACTTGTAAAACGGTGAACCTAAAGGCGCCATAGTTAAAGGACAATGGAGAGTAAAAAAGATGTTTGCGAAAAACATTAACCAAAAAACGGCATCTAGCAGTTCTTTTAGCACAGAGCTCCTCCCAGTAACCTTGCATTGTGCTTTCTTTACCCCTGCAGAATTCTTTGAATAGACTGATGGTATCTGTAGTTAAAAATGGCCCCTCCACGAGTTCGGTGCGATCTGATGCATGGTCGTATAAATTTAGTCCGCAAAAAGTTAATTGATCCAAAATAACGCGCTCCTTCATTGCGAAATCGACGCAATCAAGTGGGTTTGGGCTCCCGTCAAAAGCAGAAATCATCAATGGTTGCAAGTCGTCAGAAAATGAAATTTTTGAAAAAGGGGAACTGTCGGACCTTGATATGCAAAAAGAAGGGCAAACGTTCATCGAAGACTCCAAATTCAGCCATATATTCAACAGTGCCTCAATTGACGGGCAACTCTTATTTTTTAAAAATTCGTCCCTTAAATATTCCCAGGGGTCAAAAGATGGCTGTATCGTTGTCGCGGTTGAAACGTTCGGAAATTGTAGAGACTCCAGAATCGACATATCAATAGAGTCGTCTACGTTTATTTTTTGATTGGTGATTAAAACACGACAATATAAGAGCGAGATTAGATATGCCCGCTGTAAATATCCGTACTCGGTAAGAAATCGATTTACAAAGTCGGAAATTTCAAAAAATAGACCCCTTAAATTGCCATTTTCTATCAAATTTTGCTCTTTTTCTTTAAACAGCGTCGAAAACAGCCCAAAAAGCGTCGAAAAGCAAGAAAACGATATTTTCTTTTTACAAAAATTGAAAAATGGAAGGAGGAGAGAAGCTTTGGCATCTGCTTGAAGTTTGGTCGAGTTTTTCTTTCTGTGAGAAAATGAAATAAAGGAGACCCATGAGGTGAAAATCTCTTCGAAAGGATATATTTCGAATTCCGTAATAAACTCTAAATATCTCAAAATGATGTTCTCCTGCTCGCGGAAAGATTCTAAAGCATCTTTGAAAAAGCTTTTACACTTTGATGCGTATAAGTTTTTTATCTTATCCACTTCTGACAAAAAGGAAGATGAAGTCAATCTCAGCTTAATAAGTTTACAAAGCTTGTTAAAATAGACGTTTTGCTCAAAAACAAAAAGATTTTCCCAGGATTCAGAAGTGCAATTGAACGATCTACATTGCTTCAATAGTCTTGAGCTGGTAATATTGACATCTGTTTCTAAAGAGCCTTCATTTTCAATTTCAGGGGTCGATTCAATGGGATCAGAAGAAGAACAATCAAAAGAGATATGCTCCTGCAGGAAAATGTCATCTTTCACTTGATGGTGAGAAGAAATTTTTTCCCTAACCGCTGGTAAAGAAAAGCTTGCAGAAAAGAGATGTCCCCTTTTTAAGGCTGCATAAGACGTAGATTCGATCCTAGATAATCGAGATCGAGCATCCATTTGCACGTACAAGTCATAGGATATGTTTCTGGGCACGTGTACTTTAATTTTCTTCCTCGGATAATGATATAATGGAATGTCACATTGGTAAAAGGATCCCAGAACGATGAAATTTTTGTCCGGCGCTTTATCCAATTTATAGGATTTGGGGCCAAGGCTGAATTCAAGCGTAGGCTTCTTTTCAACAATTTGAAGCTTTTGCATGCTGGCAGCTTTACATAAGAAATGGTCGTCTTCAAATTCAGGGATCAATTCGTAAGACGACATGTCCTTGTTGGGCAATGGAGGCTCAGGGGCATCAGGTGTGATTTTTAAAATTCTTTTAGATATGCTGGAAGACTTTAAGGCCAGAGAATTCAGCTACAATGATAGCTTAATATTCATCGATCCTACCTTCAACTTGGGCTTATCCGATGATGAAGCAGGCCTCATTTGAGATCACTAAAAACAAACTTGAAAGAGTGCTTTAAAATGGGGTTGGGAAATTAAATTTTATTTTCTAATCTCGAGGGAGTAGCACATGCGTATGCACATATAAAGGATCATCATTCAACAGTTGGAGCTATGGGAATCAGGAAATGAACTAAATGTCGCCAGAAATTTGTTTTTGAGCACTTTCCAGTATCAGTGTATTGATTAGTGACCGCTCTGCCTCTTTGGCAGATATGTTTTCCAAGGTAGACACCACCAATGGCTCAGAAGACGGGATGTTGAGCGATTTCAAAACAGACTTTCCCGAGCTTGTACCCTTCTTTTTGGAGAGCACCGTAAATGAGACTTCATTTCTGTTACTAGAGGACGGAAGTTGTGTGGGTTTTGAAATTATCACAGGGACAGCCAATTCCCGTAGCGATTGCTGTTGAGGAAATTTCGAATATGAGGATACACCCAACGAGCTTCCTCCGATGACAGCCATATTTACCTGCGGGCCCTCATTAGCTGAAGCCGAGCAAGAGATCATGTTCTGGTATTCAGCCTCAAAAGAATCTTCTTGGCCTTCATCAGACAAATCCTGCTTGGATTCGTCGACATCGAATGGAAGCTCATTGTCAATTAGTTTGTTCGTGTAGTTCTTAGAAGGCCTTTCAGATAAAGGGGGACTCATCAGCGATGGCTTTACAAAGATCGATATATCTCTTCCAATGGAATGAAAATAGCTGTGCAGTTCTTCCAGCACCTCGATTTTTGTAAAATTCAGCTCGGGGTCATCAGAAACGGGATACTCCTATCAGGGAAATCAATGCCAAATTACCGATATTGCTAATATTGTCTTTTCAACGACCAAAAGTAGCGAAGAGTCCTTCTCAAAGCTGTAGCGTGGAATCAGCTTCAATGGCCCCGACTCAACACACGACTTTAAAAGAGCACATGTGATGCGCTGAAGAAAGCCTGAAGTATTGGGGTTGATGTGCAATAAAAAGGCGAATGTTTCGCTTGAAATTAGGCAAGAGCGGAGCAACCACCCAACCAGCATCGCTTGAGAGAGGATGTTTTGATGCCTTGGGATGCAAACAAAATCGCCCTCAATACCACTCCGCAGCGTTTCGATAAGGGAGTCCAGTACGCTCTTAACGATTTGAGGCTGGTATTTGGAGAATCTTTGCAGCGTGCAGGCAACCATTGGAAGAGAATCAAAACAGAAAGAAGAGGTCTTGTGCACAATCAATTCGACAAAAAGCGTGCAAAACTATGGAGTTAATAAATCATTTGGACAAGTAAACAGAGGAAGGAATAAAAGGCGATTCATTCTTACCGCTGCATCAGACCATGGACACTTTCTAAGCTTTCCAATTACAAAGTCAACCACACAAGAAGGCTTCCTGTTTGCAATGGAAAGACACTTTGTGAAAAGATGCAATAGGAACAGGTTGATCGGATTTACCGGAGGCAAGGTTGGTGGATGGGGCCGTAGCTCCAAAGGAATCGATTGGTAAACTGCAGACTCGATCAGAGGCAGCAATGGATGGTCCTTGGATACTTTTTTCTTGTATCCATCAAGAATGGTAACCAAATGCTGAAGACGATCCCGAGTTTCAAGGGATCGGTAAAGAAACTGGCCGATATTTTCCAAAAAAGCACATGCTGCAGAAAGTCTAATATCAGAGAGGCCAGAAACATCTTCTGCCAACAGAACTCGCAAGCAAGAGATTGGAAGTGAAACTGGAGCCAAAGAAAATTTACAGAGCTCCGCAATGAGGCGTAAAAGGCCCATCCAGGCACCCAATAGTCTTCGACGGCTAGCAGGGGTAGGACCTTGCCCGGAAACCAAGCTTTGCCTTCGAAGCGTCTTGAATTCCAACTCGATTGACGGGATCAAAGAAGTGGATACCAATCCAGGACAATAAGGATACATTCTGGCCAAGAGCCGACACAAATAAGAAAGGGAGTCTGGAGACTTTTTACAAGACTCCATTACTTCTTGGATTAGTCGACGTCGAGCAGCCTTTGAATTTATTAGGCAAAAGTCGGCACAAAGCTTATCGGCCTCATTTAGAGAAGACACTCGGGATAGCTTTTCAAAAAACGAAATATACTGGGCATGGGAATGCAACCCAGAATGGTTTGAATCCTCCAGAATTGATGAAATACCGGTCTCCGATACGATAATCGAATCGGAAAAGTCGGCTTTGGTGTCAGAAGTGTCATCCAATCTGTTTTCATCCATCTCGAAAATCGAGGGAAGCGGTGTTGAGGTTCCTGATTTGAGCAAGGAAAGATTGTACAACACACCGGCAGGCACGTGCAACTTCAAATCTGGGATTTGCTTATAAAATTTCATTTCCTCTTCGCTCCCGTATGGAGAGTAAATGGAAACCGTTGAAGATGCATCTATAAGAAGACTGCAATCCAATTCCGGAAGCGATTGAGGCGAAAGAAGCGGGACCAGCTGGCCCGTTTCAAGCCTTGTGGTCAATTGGGAGGAATTTTCCTCCAGTGTCGGAACGATGATGGTGTTGAAAAGCTCTGAAAACGAGCAAAGGGAAGACATGATGCCAGCGAGCGCTGTACTGGTCCTGGAATGCTTTTCGAGCTGATAGTTTGACAGATCTCCTTTAGAGATAAAGTATTCATGCTGCGAGAGCTCCAATCTTTTCAAAAACGCATGTGTTTTGCACGCATAGTCGGAGAGGGCGGGAATGTATGATTTTGTGAGAATCTCGTACAATTCCCATTTCGAAGCCTCCGTGGTAAACGCTGTGAACCCAGAATCGCACGTAGACGAAGATGATGGCAAAACATTTCGTATCGGGTACAACACCAAAGGGTAGCTTTTAGAAAGATTTTCCACGACACACAAATAGGGAAAGTTGTACTTTCTTTGAGCTAAATCGAATCCAATCTAAAGATTAGAAAAATAACTTGCAATTGATTTGAAAAATGACAGGGCCAAATGCATGTCTGGAAACACTCCGGAAACTGCAAGCTCCAACGCAAATCGGGCAAACTGGCGTTGTACATAAATCTTCTTGGAAAGCTCTTCCTGATCAAGACCGCTATTTTTTTCAGGAAGAGCCAACATGGCATCAAGTCCCTTGTGTAATTTTTCCGAAAAGCCGTGATATCTGCGATGCAGGTTGGAGCAAATCTAAAAATATCGTGAAAAACCTACCATTACGGCAGCCCTGACATCTTGGGAGCGTTTCCAGCGGTTTTCGAAAATCGAGATAATTATTTCATCAATAAACTTTGCAGACTTTAGCGACTCGGCCTCGCCAAGAATCGCAGGAAGCTGGTCTCTTGAAATAGACTTTAGCTTTTTGACGAACGATGAATTCCTTTTAAGCGACGAATCCCCGCCTGAAATTGACGAATGAAATTCTCTGTTTTTTTGGCTTGAAAATGGAATGTTTAGTTTGCGCTCCTCAAACAAAACATCAAGGCTCAGCGTAGGATGCGAGGAAGCAGGAGTTGTCATAGGCAAAAATTAATTAGTAAATTATTCCACATTTGAATTTACAATTAACATTCGGGCCATCCAAGCACACATTTCCGAGGGAGGCGCAGAGGCCCCCTCTCGGTGCCTGTTGTCGGAAAGCTTTTCGCTTTTGGACGGGGATTTTGAATCTCTAAAGGCGTCCATTCATGCCTGCAAAGCTAGCCTGAACTCGTTCATGTCAGAAAGGTTAAAAACCAAAAAGGAGCATCCCGAAATTTTTATTAGCAACAAGGCACCAAAATTGGGCATCGAACTTGACATGCCCCAGTCTACAGATCAATCTTGCACGGCGCCCATTTTCACGCAGAATAGTAGCGAAGAAACCCGAGAAGCACGGCCGCACCAGATAGAAAAAAGCCTATAACTCAATAAACAATCGATACCGGTGAGCGAATAGAAAAGTTCATGCCTTAGCTTCTCCGTTGCTGCAAAGCCGTTCGAAGTTTCGGTGTCAATCTTGGAGTGCACATCCTGATAGTTTAATTGCGCACCCAAAAAAGCATCCCGCATTCTGCCCTTTTCTAGTGTCATTTCAAGCCTGCCTTCGGAACGAAGAGATAAAAGCTTTTCCCGGATCTTTTGCTTGCCGCTGTTCAAGTCTTTAGAAAGCTGCTCCTGAGCAAGCAGAGCAGAAAAGGTTTCTCTTGCCTGGCTTTGTTGCACATCGGCCTTCAGCTGTGTAAGATCTATCCTATGAAGGAAGATGTACGACTCGTAATCTGCCTTTGTAATGGCACACGAGGTTTGGGAAGCGATTCTATCTCAATTAAAAGCAAGCGATACTTGTCATGTAAGATTTGGTTTAAAGTCGCTGCTATAGCCTTGCTTTGTGAGGGCTTGAGGCTAATCTTGTTCTGGAGCTCTTTACAAAATAGAAATGAATCAAAATGCATCGAAAGCTCCGAATCAGGTTGAACAATTAATTTTGGGCAGCAAATTTTTAAATACACGCCCCAACATCCCAATGAGTGATGAGGAGCTTTCAAGGTTAAAAGAGGTAGAAGAGGATGAGCAAAAGTACCCCCGACTTACCATTGATCTATGTACCATTTTAGGGCTTGGATGATATATGGCAAAAAGGTTGGCGAAATCGAGTCTTTGAACTCGTATAAATTGCACTTGGAAGTTCGCCTAAAGCGACTGGCCAAATATTTGAGCAGTCCCCCAACGGTGCTTTCAGATTATTTGTCAATCGCCGATCTCCTTAAAATTATCGATAAAAGCGCAAATCCGACAAAATATTGTGCCGAAATTTTGGGGTGCTTGATGCTTGCAACTTATTTATTGGCTAAAAAGGTCAATTTTACGTTTTCCAGGTCATCTTTGGCATTGATAACACGCTCAGATTTAAGCTGATGCCGATGGGAGGCCGTTCTCAAATCCACAATCTGACCGAGTCCAAGAAATCCTTGAATTTATACCCGCATCCGGACTTTTTTGTGCAAAATGCTGAAAACACGGACAAAGAATTTCATTTAGCCGTTGTAGCATTTTTCGAATGCTTGGTAGAATTGACAAGCTTTATATCACCCAGAGGTAGCGTATTTCCCCATAAGATAGACAATGATGCTTGCATTTATCAGTGCAAAAATTACATGAGTGAAGTTCCGCCAGTTGAACAACGAACAGAATGGATGGGCTCGCTGTGCTTGTTGATGAAAAGGATTCTTCTATCCCTTGTAACAGACAAATAGCCAAGCGTTAAGAAAAGAAGACAGAGTTCAGAACCAAAAATGGCAGAAACAAGCCCAAATAGGTGAAAATCAGAAATTTTCCATATATCCTTCCAAAAGACGCCAGCGATTTATAAAAAAATAACGAAATAATGGTTGTCAATGCCAACAGTGCAAGGGAAATATAAATGGTGGTATCGAATTGTGGTCTCAAAAGCATTTGGAACTTATTGGTGAGCAGCATCTTAAAAATTGAAATTGACAGCGAAAGGAGGACATTCAACACGGGACCAGAAAAAACGCCCGTAATTCCTAATTCAAAATTTTCCGTCGATGACAGGGCGAGCCCAACCACCAAATCGCCAAAAGAATTGCCCCACGCCATAACGGTAAGGCCTAAAATTGATTGGGGGAAGCCAGGAATGATGGCTGGAATCGCAGTGAACAGGGAAATCACTTCTCTTGAAACGGCCCAACTCCAAAAGGTGGCCATGGCGAATGAGAGGCCAGCAAGGGTTGAAGAAATAACGGCAAACTTAATGGTATCCACATAGATGTTTTGAACAGATAAATATGCAATCGCAGACATTAGCACAGAGGCAACGACGTAAAGCAAAAGTGTTTTGGTATTCCACAACCTCAAGCAGGTCAAAATTAGACAAAGACTAAAAAAAGGGGAAAAAATGATGCGTATTTTTTGACTTCTCTTGAGCTGCTGATTGTTGTCCAGCTCAGAAGGCCTAATTATAGGTGGAATGCTGATGGACAAAAGAAAAGCAAATAAATAAACGAATATTTTGAACGGGTTTCGAATCAGTTTAGATGAATAAGACTTTTCAAATTCTTTGGCCTGCTCTGCATTGGTTTCTTGAATATCAATAGCATGTGATGCTAGGCTAGATTCAGAGGCCAAGATAGATTTTTGGCTATCCACTGATCCCAAAAACATTCCGGCCTTGTCAATAGAGTGGGGTTTCGAGGTAAGGGAGCGGATCGATTGGAGTGACATTGAGTTGCGATAAATGGACGGTGGGACTGGGGCTCCCGATGAAGAGGAGGATTTTTCAACCCAAAGAACAAAGAAAATATAGGCCGAATACAAGATAAACCCCAGCATGGGAACGATCAAAGTGATCTCTTTAGGAAATACAATCAGTGAGACCATGCAGATGGCACAGAAATACATTAAAATGTTCGTTCCAAACATCACAGGCTGCCTGATTTCGGGAGGAGAAGGCTTTGTTTTTGTCAAGATGATTCCGAAAACAAACACCGTAATGAAAAGCCCCGAACCAATAGCGCCGGAAATCACCAATGGAATGCTTTCCATGTTTTCCACTCCAGCCAAACTGGTAAATAAATCTGGAGCCGCATTTCCTAATGCCAACAAGGTCACTCCGGCAACGGATGGAGAAAGGGACAGCTTGTCAGAAATAAAACTAAGCGTGGGTACAAGATGGTCGTTGGCACACAGAAAAAGAATTAAAAAGAAAAACAAGAGCAAAACAAATATCACCAAAAGAAAGATGGCAATGTATACGTATTGCAACATATCGAGCTCCCACGACTTGAAAATCATGTTTGCTTCTTCAAATTTTGCCAGCCTTTTGACAAATGGGATGATGGAGCAATGATAAAAGATTGTTGGATTGAGTATGATGGAATTTGTTGTAACACACCCCTGAGGATTTCCATTAGTCTCTGAAGATAGACATTCCCTTTTTGAACAATCGATCGTGCTGTTTGAATATCTTGGCAATTCGCCAGTGTAAACAGACGATAAAAGAGTGAATAAATTAATAAATAAAACTAATAAGATGCATCTTGCCATAACGAGAAAATTATGCTCCTCAATCAGAAACAGTTTTTAGATATGAGGAGGTAAAATTATCCATCAAAAATAAACCAATTGCATAAACATTCAAAGTTTTACCAACTAAATTTTACATGTCCGGTTTGGCTCGTAGCAAGTTTTAATCTAAAATTAGGGTAGGGCACAATACACAGCGAGGGCACAATACACAGAGAGGGCATAATATATAAGGATTGCAATTTTGTGGCAGCTAAAGATGTCCCAAGAGGCCTGTTCTACAATGTTGTACCATTTTCAGTAAAGGTCTAAGTGTACCGAACCATAATCCGGAATAAGCAAAGAGAAGGCTAATCATGTAGCGCTCATATGTTCCGACATGTATCGATTATATATCAGCTCTTTGCCTCTAATTGCCATTTTTAAGCTCGGCATGGTTAGTTTTGGCTCATTCGAGGGGTTTTTAAAAGTCAGAAAGATCCGCTTTTACGGGAACAGAATGCACTCTTGGTTGATCCGGTATAATTCGGGTATCACCAAATGTTGCCGTTTTAAACACACCAAAGCCAGATGAAAGGAGAGGCTGAAGAGAGTTAGGGTTATACATTCCCATCAGTGTCAATAATAATATTATTATCGCATTGATTCTTGATAAGAATATAATTTGCAGATCCATACTGTTGTATGATTGAGGCACATATATTTTGGCCACATTGGGAATATTCGGAAACTTTTGCATCGAAATAAGCCATTTTAGAAAATAAAAACAAGGTTTTGCGGATCCAAAAGAGAATAATGCGGTGAAATGTGACGAAAAAACTGCCTTCAAAGTGTTTCTCAAAATGACCCCAAATTTGGGCTCTTCCAAATACATAATCGCTGGTTTAGGCGTAAAAAAATCATCCAAATCAAACTTTGCCGAAATTAAAATATCGCAAAAACACTGTGTAAGCTCTGATGGGCTAAAATCGGTAGTTTTTCGTAAATTGGATCCAAAATAGTTGGTTTCAAGAAAAAACTATGCTTAGACCTAGCCTGGCATTTATTACATGCACAGGATTGCCAATCTTGTTCAATTGAGTGCTTGTTTTTTAATACTCGAAATGCCTCCAATGTGTCTATCAAAATTTCGATTTGTAGAAAAGAATTTTCAATAAAAGGGAAAACACGAAGCAAAGTAATCACAGTCAGAGACAATCTCATGTTGCTTTACCACCACGGAACATGTGTGAAATATTCCCTTTCCCGTTTGATCATTTTGCTGCTATTCTTTCGCTCAAGACAAACCGGTCTTTCTTGATATATTCTTTCAATGTATTCTGGATGCAAGACATTGAATTAAAATGTATTTGGCTTGGATTTAATATGAAATTGGCCTGAATTTAATAGGAAATGAGTCTCCCACTATCGTTTACCATTGGCGTTTGTGCCCTCGATAAAAAGTCCAGATCGGTTCCAATGAGAAACATTCTCGATAGATTAATTGGAAACTCTCCTAATAGTTTTTTTGAAACAATCATTTTCGGAGACAAAGTGATCTTGGAAGAGCCTATAGAGAGATGGCCTATTTGCGATTTTCTAATCGGATTTTACTCCACAGGATTTCCCTTGGCCAAGGCAATATCCTATATCCGCCTTAGAAAGCCCTTCTGCGTGAATGACCTTCAAATGCAATGGCTTTTGCTTGACAGAAGACTGGTGCTATTGGCTTTGGATTTCATCGATATCTTGACTCCAAAGCGTCTTATTGTAAGCAGAGATGAGGGGCCAGAACTTCCAAATTCTATATCTCGAAAGGTTCTTAGGGCTTTCTGATTGCATAGATAGGCAGGGACTTTGGCATTGACTTTTTGGAGAGGCTCCATCGTCCATCCTATTGTGCCCATCTTTCCGATAGCGATACGCTACATGTCGGCATGGAGGAATTAAAAAAGCCATTTGTTGAAAAGCCTGTTTCGGGCGATGATCACAATATTTATATCTACTATTCCGGGGGTGGCGTCAGAAGGCTTTTTCGCAAAGTCGCAAACAAGTCAAGTGAATACGATCCGGCAGGATCAGAAATTCGCCTCAACGGCTCATACATTTACGAAGAGTTCTTAACGGCCGATAAATTTGAGGACATCAAGGTGCATTTTTTGCTCATTTGGCCTAGGTTTACACTGTTGGTCCCTATTTTGCGTACGCAGAAACCAGAAAGTCGCCCACGGTCGATGGTGTCGTTCGTCGAAATGCGTCCGGAAAAGAATTGAGGGAAGAAACCACTCTAACCTCTACGGAGCAGGAAATTGCCCGGAGAATCTGCATGGCCTTTGGACAAACCATTTGTGGGTTTGACATGGTCCGAGTTGATGGGCGCTCATATGTGATCGATGTTAACGGGTGGTCATTTGTAAAGGGATCCTCTTATTATTATGATACATGCGCCTCAATATTAACACACACATTTATGAAGGCAGCAGCGGCCCTTCCCTTGAAATATCCATCAATTCATGAGCGTTCCTTGTCCAACCGTCCATCTTCTCCAATATCGAGGTCCTGGAGGCTAAAGACATACATCAGCTGCATCAGGCATGCCGATAGAACGCCCAAACAAAAACTGAAGTTTACCCTACCCGGAAATGATCTTTTCAAAACTTTTGAAAAAGCGAGATCAGAGCTGTACACTTATCAGCAGATAATTTTGCGAGAGCCTTCAGACCTAAAAAGACTGCATGTTTTCATTTCTGAAATGATTGTATCGATAACCAGTCAGGGCTCCCATGCACAACTCGAACCTCTTCTTTCTCAGCTTCGACCACTGCAAAGTCTAATAGAAGTCAGATCGGGGCACGCCGACACGAAAGTGCAGATTCGACTTCTTTCAGATTCGCTATCATTGCTGGTGGTTAAATGGGGCGGTGAATTTACACATGCTGGTTGGCACCAGGCTCAAGAGTTTGGAGAATCTCTTCGAGCCGATCTGAAAATATTGAACAAGTCTCTTCTTGCCGATATTAGGATTTTTAGTTCTGAAGAACGTCGAGTCAAGGCCACGGCGACGATTACCGCAAAGGCGCTTTTACATCTTGCTAAATTGCCCTCTGGGCTTATAACTAACTCCCCAGACTTATTAGACGACAATTTGGAAGCAAAGGACGAAATGGAGTCCGTAAAGGCATCTATTAGTCAATATCTAAATGAAGCCTTCCAAAACGACCTTGAAACGACAAATTCATATGCCGGCGATCTGGCCAGGGACCCTTTGTCGTTTATTTCTCGATTAACCGCCCTTTTAAGCATTCATTATGTAAAATTCCTCGACACTTCGGTGACCGATTTCACTGGTCACAAATGGTGCTGTCTAGATTCGAGTATTTTGTGGAAGGAACGTTGGTTGAAAATATTTAAAGATGTGCTTCCGTTGAACTCTCCAAGCCTCCAGAATGTTCTTCCTCTCCAAAAAGAGCCTGGTCGAATTTGTGAGCTTTATGATTCTTTAAAATATGATGAAATTCACAATCGTGCCTTTTTAGATTATTTTTTTCTTGGTGCATCCCCAAGCTCTGGTTTGAAAGACTCCCTGCATGAGCTGTTTATTAGGACAAAAACGCTATACAATTGGGTCTCCATTTCTGAATATGGAATTTTACCCAGTGAAAAGCTATCTATTGGGAAAAAAATCATCAGAAAACTGTTGTTAAGGCTTGTTGAAGATTTGAGAGAAAGTACATCCCATTCAACGGCTCCCTCTTGCCGTCTATATTTTACCAAGGAATCACATATGTATCCCCTGTTAAATGTAATCCAATATGGTGGATTAAGCGCGTGGACTTCAAAGCCATATAATCAATGGGAATTGGACTACCTCTCTCAAATCACATTTGAGATCTATGAACGGTATCCCTCAGATGAGATATATGGGATTCAAGCGGAACATTCTGTGAGAATAAGCTTAAGCCAAGGGGGATACAATCCGTCTATAATAGACGTCAATCTAGATGAAAAGCACTGCCTTAGTGTAGTTCCTCGTGAATGGATCACCGAGTATTTTCCCTTAGATAAGGCAATAGAAGCTCTTCAATAGAGCGACCAATAATCGACTGCATTTTAATTAAATAAATTTACTGCCGTTATGCAATTTACAAAAAAGGTCAATTTTTAAAATTAAAATACACCGGTTTTTTTTCAAAAATACTCATGATCCTTTATTCATCCTTTGGGTTGCTAACAAAAATACCTGGTTTATTGTGGCTTTATTCATCCTTTGGGTTGCTAACAAAAATACCTGGTTTATTGTGGAAAACTCAAAACTCTATTGCAATGGTTGTTAATGCAGTTTTATATGCTATTATATTTGTTACCAGTCTTCACTTGGCCACTTCTTTCGAATTTTTCGGCCAAATTTTTATTGACGCGATTAAAAGTGTTGCTGAAAAGATGGAAGCTATTAGCAAATGGATGCCAGAGCTTATCAGTACTCCTTTCAAGTTATTTGATGCCGTTCCAGAGAAAGGGATCGTTTACAACATATTATATTCCATGGTGTATGTAATTTCTACGATCCCATTTGTCTTTCGTACATTCGCTACAGTGCTGATATCTTTGCATTTTTACTGGCTGATTTACAATAGATTTTTAACAAATCTCTTTTACTTGTGTATGCTTGATCTAGCCTTTTCAATCGTCGGCCTAAGGCTCATCCTTTTTTACATTTATGATCCCGAGATTTCGTCTATGAAAAGTAATTTCAATTCAATGGTGCCAGATTCGATTAACACTATCCTTAGACGAAAAACTCAATATCCTGGTCAACAGAACGCAACACATAGCGATAATAGGTCCGGCAATCCCAAAATAGGCCTTCAGTTAAATCGAGTCAATCCAGGGTATGATCCAGCAGCTCAAACTGGTCACAGCATCTTGTCCGCTGTTTTGCTTGAGTTTCTCAATATTATGATGACTAAGAAATATGAAAATAAATAACTCCTTTAATTGAATTTGATTTATTATTTGATAGGATCAGTATTTTTTTGAGGTAGTTCTAACAACCACTTTTCAAAAGTAGAAAATACATTTTCAATGTGTGACTTTACATTAATACACTGTTCCAGCGTAGAAAAAACCTCCCTTGCACAGTTTTCTTTTTCTTCAAGGCAAGATGCCACTAAATGGTCAAACTCAAGTGTGAATTTTTGAAGTAACTGTTGTGAGGCGAGGTATCCTCTGGCGGTTTCGCTTCTCATTTTGAGAAGCTCGCCCTCCAAATGGTCTATCTCAGCGGAAAGTGTGACGTTTTCATTGGAATACTGACTTTTTGAGTTGTTGTATTCCATTTCTGTTTTTCGAATTCTATCTTTTTAGAAATGTAAAAGCTACCTTTCCTCCATGCGCACCAGTTCATCTTGGCGGTCGGCTATGGTATCTTTTAATGCAGAAATGGCCTCAGACTTTGTTGACAAGTGATTACTGATCGTTTGAAGCGAAGATAGCATTGAATCTTGAAGTGCGTATATAACAGGAACTACCCCTTGTTTCAGATCCAAAGTGATGGGCGATTTGCTCAACATAGCCGCGGCCTTAGACCCACCTTCCAAGTGGTAATCTTTGCCATGGGCGTGCTTGGCATCTTTGGGAATAAGATGCAATCTCTCAGCTTTGCCATTATATTCGGATATAAGGAGATCTAGCCGTTAAAGTATCCCGCATACCAAGCTGATCAAGCCGGGAATTATTTTCCTTTTCTCTAAATGCCACTAGCCTAGTCCATTCGGACCTAGATGCCTTCAGTAAAGACAGCGTTTTTAATTGGTTTTCATTTTCGGCCTGCAATTTATCTGCTTCCGCTGGGGATATCTTTTGTGTTGAAACTAGGCGCTCCAGATTTGATTTGGACTCCAATGCAGCAATCTTTTCCGCCTCTATTTTAAAACATAACGAGTGGTAACAAATACCTGTGCTTGATATTAGAGCCTGCACGTGAAGGATCCCAGAATGAAGCTTTTGTGCCTTTGAATCAAGATGCTTTTGAAACTTTCTAAATTTGTCGATGTCGTGTAATAGCATTGTGCGTTCTTTCTCAAGAACTACCAAGGCAGACTACAGATATTATAGGCAAATATCATACCTCTCGATCTTCCAACTGTTGAATTTCTCTTTCCAAACAAACAATTTCAGAGTGTAAAATTTCAGTCTCTTTATCCACGGAAGAAGTTTTCAGCAAAAAGTGGCTAGAGAGTTCAGTTTGCAACAACTCATAATTTTCATCTCCTGAAAGAAAAAGGCGATAGGCCGAAGAAAGATATGAAAAGTTGGATCCAATATTGATTTTGTTTCCGTTCAGCGAATCTATAGCCATATCTGCTACCAACATTGAGGGGTCGTTCGATTGAGCACCCGATACCTGCAGTTGGTCACAGCACAGGATCAAATCTACGAGCCATTGTAGCATTGCGAGAAGGCTGGGCCATGCATGCATAGATCCGACTGCGTAAAGATGGCTTTTACTGATATCATTTGCGAAAGGATATCTAAAAAAAGTCAATTTCCTTACCTTAAGCTCTTCAATAAAACCGGGACTTCTTCTTCAAATTTCTTATCAGACGTCCAAATGAAAGTAGGGTCCAATTGAGCATATAAAAATTTAAATATCGAAGCAAAATCCTTTGCAGATGGAGAAGAAAGCAGCTTTGGAGACAGAGGTCGGTCATATCCGCACTCGGACAAAAATTTTATGAGAGATTTGATGCAGGAGAATTGAAAGTTTTTCTCCCTAAGGGGCCGCGGATCCTTACCTGGGGGAGGACCCATTAGTCCCGTTGACGAAACTTGCGATAAGCCAGTTGGAAGGGCTGCTGTTCCGCTTAGAGATACTCGATTTGATCCTTGTTGTCCAATAGCAACAGACGCTCTTCGCATCGAATGGCTCGAAGACATTAGTGGATTGGCATTTGAATTGGCAATAGAATTCGCAAGAGAGAGCCGTCCAATATTTGAGCCAACCGCGATAGAGGAAGCGGTCGCATTTTTTCCATCGTTTTCTTTTCTTAGAGAAAGCTGACTTAAATCAGAAGCAACACAATCGGGGAAATGGTCTCGATAAGGAGACGAGGTGGATGATATCAGCTGCTGTGGTGATGGCGATCTAATCACATCAGATCGTCCAATGGGCGAAGGTGTTGGTCGAGTAGCAGCATTCCCCAAGCTGGGCCGTGAACGATCAGAATAAAACTCATCCACGGTCCTATCGTTTTCATTGCTGGCGATTCGCAGCAAAGCACATGGCGTTGCTCGAAAAGCTTCTGGAGGCTGGATATTATGCATCTGCTTTGGTGTGAAAGTTGGGGAGGAGAGAAGAGGCGGGGGCCGCTTGCTACCAAGAGAAACGCCACCATCCGAAGAAAAGGGATTAGACGAGCACGCAGCCGACTTGGAATTCATGAAGAGCTGTTAGTAAAATTGGCGGTAATTTTTCAATCCGAACCTTAAATTTTAATTCTCTTGTATCGGTAAATGGATGTCTATGGCAGTTTGAGGGATGAACTTTCCAAACTTTTACTTTCGCTGGAAAAGACCTCATCCCCAAACTTGCAGGCTCTCAAAGAGGCAAAGAATATTGTATGCTTTCATTTTCCTAACGTAGCTCCAACAAATGCACGCTGAGGCCTCCTCCCTCACGTTTCCACAAGGCATTCGACTTCGTTGCCAGGACGAAATGTCGACTTTTCAAAACAGAATCCAGAATTTGGAAACGGTAGCAACTTTTTTCCTTTTCATCATATAGGGTCTCCTTAAGAATAACAAAAACCCATTTTTCTTGCAAGAAATGGAGGAGGGCACTCTATATGGGTTTACAGATCAGATTTCGTCCTCGTCGGCACGGGACGCCTTGTTAAGTGGGGCAAGAGAGAAATATTCTCCCCATCCGCTGAGCTCTTCAGTGTTTGATGAGCATAGCGTTCGTCTTGAAGACTCCTGCAGGAAGGCTGGCGATATCGAAAGAATGGGACACTCCATATTGGACTCTCTGCGAAAGCAGCGAGAGCAACTGGAGCACATCAATTTTAGCGTAACCCATGTAGCAATACAATTTTTAGCTTGGAGCAGCAGAGATGCATGTGACTACAAGTAAGAGGGTAGTTGGCCGAATGATCAGAAAGTACATTTTCGTACGTTCTTTCCATGTAGAATCAAAACAGACAAAGCCTTACGGCTTCTGCTGATATCTGGCCTAGCGCTTTTGCTCATCGTTGTGGTGCTGATAAGGTTAAGGCACTGAGGGGATTTATTATTATCGTCTTATAACATAAAAATTACAACGACCATTCGCTCACTCTTCCTTTTGTCCCACAAGGTTCCTTTGCATCCAGGCCGTGACTTGGTCGTAGACCACAAGCAAAATGCCACCACCGGGGCCAAGACGCAACACCTTTGGAGTGTAGCCTTTATAAAGGGCTGAGATTCCCTCTTCCGCGGCAACAGACCGCAATGCTGGAAGGGTCCATGAATACTTCGGATCGAGAGCTCCAGGCTTTTGGGCCTGTATACGCGACTTTATTACATCAAATGGGATGTTGATGGTGGTCGCAATAAAGCCCCCAATTGTTCCTGCGATCAAACTATTCAATGTCGCTTGCTGATCGGTCTATGGCATCAGTAAAAATTTCACGTCAAACCTTTGCTTCGGGCATCGAATTTTTGAGCGTCGTAATCATCCCAAAATAAGCACCATTCCAAACGGAATGGCGCCATATTGTCGCTTCAATTCCTCGAAAGAACCCACGTGCACCTATTAACATCAACGCAAAAACAATAACCTAAGTAAATTAAAACGAGCTATAAAAGGAACCCTCCACTGCAAATATCTTTTTCACGACATCAAAGGTGTTGCGATATAGACCGGCATTGGACTTGTCTTGCATCTGGATCTTGACAAGCTCAAATGAGACAATCATGGTGGCCTCCAAAATTCCCGATGAAACACCAGTAGCAACAGAGAGCATTCGAGACTTTTCCCATCCAAAGGCATCCTTGTAGGCCCTGCCAAAAAACTCATTGGCCCCGAATTTAGTTGCTCGTTTTGGAGCTTCCACAAGAACAGGAGCGAGAATTCCTCGATATAAAGATCCGAACCCTTCGTTGCGAATCATTTTTTTAAAGGTACCCAGAATCGAAGAGTAAGAATCGGGTCCGGCTGCACCGCTACCCACTTGCAATTGGAAGCGCGTCTTGACGACTATTATTAAATGGAAAATGAGTACCATCTAGCGGATACATTACCAGGATTTCGGTGACCCCAGCTATGCCTCCGGCAGCAAATTGTAGCGGGGCTGGGAGAGGCGGTAGCACCGCTCGCTGCTGGACATTGGCGGAGCTCGTCATATGGCAGTAAAATCTAAAAATTGCTAGTATTTCTGATTTTAATTACCTGCTATGTAAGCGATTTTTAGGATTAGGGTTAGAAGATGCGGTGATTGTGAACATAAACTGGACGCTAACTTGGTGCATGTATGTGTGCAATCTGACCTCGATTGGGCTTCGGAGTTGCACTGGAAATTGGTGTCTCAATGTGGCCGCTTGCAATTTTTGAATGCAATTGCTCATTATGTGATTTTTGGTCGTCTTTTTTACTGTTTTGCTTGGAATGTCATCAAAAGTCACGACTGCACACTGGGATGCACAAGTCTTTCCGAAAATGCTTTTAGGGCAGCTGGACCGCGGACCTCAGAGTTAAGCAGGGGCAGCTGGACAATATGGAAATCCTCATAGAGCTCTATAATTTGGTCCAGATATTTTTTCTGGATCTTTCTGCGGGCCATGCACATGTCACAAGACGAGCTCGATGCTAAATCGGTCAAAAATGCAACAAACTACCATTGGAAGAAGTGGAGGGCGGTACCAGTTGATTTACGATTATGTTGTGTGTATCGATTCCAAAAACGGCAAGTTCCTGCACCATTCTTTCTGTCTCGTAGAGAGACAGAAACTCGGCAATGCAGACGCACACAAATGTCGTTTTGGTGGCATCTTTGAACTGAGCATTGACTTCATCGGTTATTGTTCGCAATTCTGCAATCTTTGAGAAAATCGTAGTTGGGTTAAATGATCCTGCTGCAGATGATCCCAGACCAAGTAGTCCCGACATCTGCTGGATCATTGGCCCAAAACGGGTGTGAAGATCGGATAACTTTGCAAAGGCTTTGGACATGATCGATGGGAAGGACAAGAAGCGGAGCGTGTGCCCCGTAGGCGCGGTATCAAACACAACTGTTGAATATTCCATTGATTTGACGAGCCTAAAAGTAAGAAAGAATCCATGAAACGGTACTTCATGATCTCTGCAAATCCCATGGCCTCGTCAACTCCAGGGATTGATGTTCCGATTTCATTCATGATTCCCTTAAAAGACGGGAGCTCTTCTCGCTCATCTTCGGCATTGCTGACGGACGATGAAAACTCTACAGAAAGCTCTTCAAATGTGGCAGCCGGGTCTATTTCCTTGGAAAAGTAAAAAAAGATAACCCAACCATTGCAAACAGATTTTCAAACCCGGATATTGCTGTCGGGGTTCTTCCGAATTTCTGGCCAAACGCATCGGAAAGGTTGTGAGCGGGATCCGTAGATATCAGCAACACGTTCTTTCTGAACTTGCTCAACTGGATAGCAAGAGAGCAGCTATTCAAAATTGAATTTTGCGCATGTACCTTGTGGTAGTTTTTCCCACGCCACCTTTGCCCCCCACGAAAATCCATTTCAGCGACTGCTGTTGAAGAATGTTATCCAAGGTCCCCTCCATCAAAGACAAATTAAGTTTAAAATTACAGCTGGGATTGCAATTTATTTAGCCACGCAAAAATTATTTGGGAGTACATTTGAAGTAACTTTGTCAAGGAGGCGATACAAACATTTCAAAAAAGAGCCACGCGCCACTGCCAGATAGCGCGAGACCATCAGAAAGCTTGGTAAATTGGTATTTTTGCGATGACCGCCTTTTGTGATGCGATATTTTCCAGCCCTGTAAAAAGTTTAAAAATGATCGTTCAAAAAAAGCAACCGAAATGAAAGAACAGCCCACTTATCGGAGTGATTTGTTTTTTGGATGATCTACTTTAGTGATTGATATCAAAATTTCCGTCAACATAGCATATATTGATTGGCACTGAAGAATTCTGCTCAGGTTTGAAACCTGAGACCCCTATAAAATGTTTAGAAGTGTATTTTCAGCTTGGGGAAAAGTATTTAATTTCCGATCTCGCTTGACAACACAAAAAACAAGAAATATGATCCGTATTATTGGAATGAAAAATATACATCACGCTGTGGTTGCAGAGTAAAGAAAGGTTTGCTTTGCAATTGAAATACTAAGCAAATAGCCTACTTGATAAAGCAAAAACGCCATTTGCTCAAGCAAATCTTCATATACAGAGTTTTTGCTTTCTTTTAGTCTAAATGATTGTGCTTCTCCATTATTTTCTTTACTTTCCATGATTTTCTGAAATTATATGGCTTGCTACTTTGGAAATTAATTTGTCTTTAATAATAAATTTTGATCTTAAACTATCAAAAGAGTATCTTTCATCAATATCTAACACAATCTTGAAGACGGCAACACATGTTCATAGGATCGAGATCAAATAGGTAGTTAAGCTGACTATAGATTTGAAACCAGAAGCTTATCGACGTAGATTTCGGAGATTATACTTTTTTACTCTGATATCCGATGCTAAACACACTTGTGTTTGACCATAGGAATGGAATATTGTGCTCAAAATTGACTCAATCGTGCAAGCAATAAGCCGAAAAACTATTCTGCTAATCTTTATAGTGTTGTATTTCCGCTTGATTTTTAAAAATAGCCGCTAGAGATTATCTTGATAAACATCAAAATCATGGGATCAAGACGATTCCATTTCAAATAAACAGACCATAATCATATTTTCCAACGAATATTTTGCCATAGGTCGACATCAATATGCAGCGGGTGTACAAATTACTAAAATCGCGAAAAATAGTACAATACAATTTGAGCTTTACATTATGATGTATCCCATAATTGCAAATGCTTCAGAAAGGCAGAAATGCAAAAATAAATGAGACAATCGATCTTTGAAAGGAACGAGACAATCGATCTTTGAAAGGAACGAGACAATCGATCTTTGAGCGTAAATTTGAGTTTCATATAAAAATTATAAGAACGAGATAATCAAAAGCATGAAAAATACAAGGATATTACTTGAAAAGTAAGACTGTTGGAAGCTTTTTTGTTCAGACAGATTGGTAAATCTCTGAGCAGACAAAAAAGACATTTACAAAAATATAAGATTCATACTCTAAAGGAGAAAACTTGTCAGATTACAGCAATTAGAGTCGCTTGAAAATAGACGGCTCACCATTAATAAATGACCGAAAGTCGCTCGGATCACATATTATTTTAATATTATAACATGAAGATTGCGTTGAAACGAAAAGCATATCGAACTTGACAATTTCAAGGATCTGGCTCCGCATTCTCTATAAATTTGATATCGATGTAGGTCTTGGAATATGGAGCGAGAGACGAAGATGATATGATTAATGCCGTTTACTGAAAAATCGCGAGTAAGGTTTATTAAATAATAATTTAAATTTCATTCTAGTTTCATAATGATTTGTATAAATTTGATAATTAAATGTTTTCAATGTTTTGTGTAAATCGCGATTTGCACCAATTATCTTGTGATTTAGTATATGTACATGATGCATCTATCATGTCGAATTTTTACACCACTGATATGCAAGTGCCTTCTCCCCTCATCAAGGCTACATTAATATGTGTGCTTTTTCTTTTTGTTGGAAGCATTATTATGTATTTTGGCATTTTCAGGGACTCATCCATATCAACGGAATCAGGTGTTTTAGAAAACTCGCCTCAAAAAACCTCTTCGATATCTCCAGCACCCATACTTGTGCCAAACTTAAAAGGATTAACAGCGGAATCTGCAGAGCTCGCGCGAGATAATTTGACAGGAACAACTATCCCGATACTTACTCCAGCATTTGACTTCTTGACCTCAAAAGTTGGGAAATACTGGTGTGAGATCGCGATCGCCTCAGCATCTGTGATTTTTGGAGCCGCAGTTGTTGCCTTTTATCAAAGTTTTAAAACGATAGCCTCCCCTCGCAATTTTTTTTCATTTGTGACCCATTTTTGTTTTTGTTTCGACTCCAAATACGTGCTCCTTTATATCATAGTTTTCTTGCCAGTATTAATTTTCGTTTTTAAATTTTCTCTTACACTTTTCTCTTGGATTGAAAAAAGTATTATTGATTTTTTCAATTACGTTTTTGGTCCAACTAAGTAGGATAAAACCTTACCATCCATGACATCCTTGTTTTGAAAAGTAAAGCAGTTGAATTAAATTTGAATTTTTTAGCAACCTGTGCCTATTTTAATTAGGCCTTTTGGACTTCAAAAATACCAGCATCGGCAAGATTTAACCCTTCGATCGTTTTTGTAGTGCTGATTGTATCGTTGGAGCAGTTTATTGGGCAGATTTTGAAAATCCCTAGGCTGAAATGTGCTGTAGGGCCTCTAGAACTTGTATTCCCTTGAAAAACTTGGGCCAGGCCAAGGTGGTGACCCATAATGCATTAGATCTTGCCATACTTGCCATACTTGCCATTATAGCTTTATTAATATTCAATCTGTTTTAACGCCTAAATAAATCCACCATAAATACTGCCGAATGATCAATAAAACCAATAAATTCAACCGTTCTAAGCTCCTTGGCGAATAGTCCTATAAGGATATTCTCCTATTTTGGAGTGACCAATTTAAGCGTATGCTGTTCATAGCAGGCATGCATTACTGGAATAGGATAACCATGTTGGTGCACCATATATTCCATGAATTTATTTGGATGGTTGTTAAATTTGGCCTTCCCACTGAACGATATTGAAAAGCTCTGAAAAACTACCGCCTCATAAATGTTGGCCAAAATTCAAAATACCTTGCACATTTATTCTCTAAATTTTTTTTTAAATTCATCGATGCATTAATGAAGGCCATCAGAGTGTGTGTGAAGCTTACAATATTTATGGACGTTAAATCGGGACACAAATGGATATTCAATCGCAAACTGTACCAAAAAATCAGACCGTTTGTCTAATATAACCCTTTCGTCCAATCTTTTTTTTGACTGCCAATTGCTTCCGAGTTGAGCACAAATGCAGACTTATTGCTATTTCCCGTCTTTTTGAGGTTATATTGACCTTTGCACATATTTTGCATCGATATTTAAGCCTAAGATTTACAGAAAACCGGCTAACCGATGTTCGTCGGAAACATTTATTGATATAAAATCTTCTCAGCATGCTTTTGCGCTTGGTTTTTTATTTGCTCCAAGAAACGTTCTCGGCATGAATTACCTTCCTTCAAGCCTTGGATCTATCTGCAGCCTTCAAGCCTTGTTGAGGATTCTAGAAAAAGGCTCTTACATGTTTACTTAACACATCTATAGCCACCACAGTAACTATTTATGAGCTACCCGCAGACACTCATCACAAAACAGAGTGATGATCAAAAAAATTAATAAAAGGGACAAAATGATCGTTTGAAGCGGACAGGTATCAGCTGTCAGCTCTTTGAACCACATGAGGATATAATTTTTGGCCCCTTTATACGAAAGGTTCACAAGCCCCTACATCACTCAATGAAAAGATTAGAAATTGATTAAAAGTAGCTTTAATTTGGGGTGGTAGTTGAAATCTATTTTTAAACTCATGCTCTTGCCAAATCAAGATTAGCGAATAAATAGATCGCACGTAATTCGTAACAAATATTTCCGTTTACATATCAGTAATGATCCCACGCTGCGGGTTGCAGCGACCAACCCTAGAATTGAGTTTGAAATTCACAGGCCTTACTATTAAGCCTTCGAAAGTATGAAAGTTTCTGAAAATCCCGATATGACTATTAGCAGCTCTGAGTATTCTTGGAATGCAGCTATCGAGGCGTTCGAATCAGAATGCGAACCAGACTTTTTAAATGATCCTGTATTTATCTGTGAGTACGATCAGGAATTTATTGAGTTTGTTGAAAATTCCGAAAAAGGACGTTCGTTTGTCGTGATCAATGATCTAGCTATTATTACGCACAACACCACCAAGGTGCATACATTTATACAGAAAGTGCTTGGCACGGAAATTTGTGGCGCTGCAACAAAAAACGCCAATCTTTCACCCATGGCTTTTCAATGCGATTATATCCTCTGCTGCAATGCCTATACTTGCGGATCCATTCAGCAAAAGTATTATGATGGCGGAGTCTATATCAAATATGATTGGAATTTGAGCACAAAAAAGAATCCCGAAGTTGTATTTGAGGTGGCTTTTACACATGAGCCATTCGATGTGCTTTTCTATGAATGTTGCCACTTTCTGACTAGATACGTCTCAGATACTATCTACTCTATTGGGATCTATATTCGCCCGTCTACTACTACTTTTGAAATGAGATTCTTCGTTCTTCAAAGAATTTGTCCTTATAATGCGAGCGATGCTCTCTACATCGGTAATTTGTACATACGTCGCAAAAAGGATCCTAATCTGTGTTTATCTACTTGGATAAAAATCCCGAATCGTCTGACGAGGCCATTTTGTGCCAAATTCTTTAACACAAATCTTTGCTACTCGCGACTTTTAACTCATGCCGATATCCTCAACGGAGCGTTCATTATATTTCGCTTAGATGACCTCGTATTAGATCAAAAAATAGAATTTTCGAATGAGATGCTTCTGGCATTGTATGGACTATGGGACGAATGGAGAGGAAACCAATAATTTACTAATAAATCTGGAATTTGTCATAAAAACATCGTTTAATATCATTTCAATGTGGGAGCTACAGACTCAAAAAACCCCGGTAATACGAATGCTTATTTACATAAACATACTTTAACCCGATTTGGGATCGGTTCAGTTGGACTCGTCGTAAGTTCTTCGACGATTGAGTGAATTATTCAAAAAGAAATATCATGATAAAATGAAAATATGACTCCAAGTGGAAAGTATGAAAATCATTTTTAACCTCAAAAAAGGATCCTTATCCAAAAGAGTATAAAAAGCAGTCGATTCGTTTTTTCAATTTTCACCAAGTAGAAATTATTCAAAAATCATCAAAATTAAACCCTGTAAAGGTAAAATCTACCCTATAAAATAAGCGTTTCAGTTTATGTTTTACAAGAACCCAATAAACCATTTGGCTAAATAGCATTGACCGAAAGTATGCATTCGTTTTCAATAATATTAATGCGAATAAAAGAAACATCTATTTTTGATAACTGCAATTCTATGAAAATTAAAAGGGTTACATGCCGAGGTCGGATAAATTTTACTTTTTCAGTACTAGATAGACTTTGCACAATTAATGATGCGGATTAGAAGGAGCAGGCAAAGAAATGTGTCGATTTTAAATACCATATATTCTCCATCCGAATATGCAAGAAAATGGAGTTTAACAGCCCTTAGCAAGATAATATTTCGTGGTTGTTCTCAAAATTCTTCAATTTTTCTTTTTAATACGATAATCATTAGCCCCTCTGAAAACAAAATCTGAGCTCTAAAGCGAATGATAAAATAATTTTTATTAAAAATTTAGCTGGTGATTGCGCGATTTTCTGCGCTGATTGATGTATCTTTCTCTAAATTTGAATTAGCATTCGACGGGGCCTATATTTTATTAAAATATAATTTAATTTTTAGTTGGAGAAACAGCAGCGCCCGGCTAGCTCAGTCGGTAGAGCGCGAGACTCTTAATCTCGCGGTCGTGGGTTCGAGCCCCACGTTGGGCGAAGTTTTTATTTTAAACCAGTGTGTAAATATTTTTATTTTTTGATGGAAACGTTTACCTCCCTTGCTAGAGACATTTTGGGCCATCAGGCGCTGAAAAATGATAAAGTGCATATTTTAAAGAAAGCTGTAAAGTCCAAATATAAACAAAAATCTAAAGAAGAGAAAGCCAAATCCCTAAGGAAGCAAAAAAGGCTGTCAGCAGACCAAAAGAAAGCTCTTTTCAATCTTCCGCATAAATCAATTTCAGAATATGATTTAGAGGCAGAAAACCTTTTGAAAAAAAAAGCAACAATTGGAGGTATCATATGTATATCTAACTACTAGTTTTAAATCTATTTAATGCCATGAGTAGCCTCAAAAAAAGTGCATCAAGGGGCAAGATTGATGTATAGTATGTCAAAATTCAAATAATAAACTTAAATTCATTTATTTAATCATCTATGAAAGAGGTAATTATCTCCTTTGCCCCTGTAATATGCTCATTCCATCTCTGTGTTGGCGTAAATAACGTGTAGCTGGACTATTTGTTGGAGGAGGCATCCAGAAAGCAAAGTCTCAAGGAGGCTGAATTTTTTTATCGGAAATCCAAATTGGATACTCTCAAGTCAGATCGCGATCAAAAATTGAGCCAACAACAGCAGCAGGCGCAACAGCCCAAGATGGAGCCGATAAACGTATCCATTTATATTTACATTTAAAGAAAACATTTGAAGAGATACCTTATCGCCGTGTGGAGGCGAACAGGGATAGCGTGACCGCACCCCCACCGCCATTTCTTAGTACCCCTTTCTTATATGATGTTTTTTTAGAGTCAAAAAGTCGCCCTTCATTTATTAAGCCTACAAAAGAGTCCTATTATTCTGAAAAGGAGGTACTTTTCACCACATTGACGCATTCAGGTAGCTGCCATTTCCGTTGTGCAGATGTGTGACGTCCCGACTTTTGGCCAAATTGGGAAGAAACCAAACCTTCAGATGACAATGGGGGACGGCAACCTGCAGATGAAAACTGCCAAAGTGCTGCCTCATAAATCCGTTATCCTAAAAACGAAGCAGCCAAAGTCAAAAGACCTGATAGTTTTAAACCAGAAAAAAAGGGATTTGCGATCAATAGAGGAGATCCAATTAGAGCTCAGAAGGGGGCGGGAGATGCAATCAACATCAGGAGGCAGTGAAAAAAAGACTTTGGCAAATGTCAATGCTCCTACAGTATCGGCGGCTTTTCGGTCACAATCCCAAACGATTCCGATACCTGGCTCAACGGAACATGGAAAAAGGAATCAAAAATTGGCTACTTTGAAAAGGCTAGATTCTGTATTTATGAATGCCAATAGCAAAAATGTCAATGGCATCGCCGTAACAAACCATATAGAGAGCCCAGTGAAATCCACACAAAGGGACAATTCTGAGCGCTTGGAACGAAAAGATGACACGGTGGTACCAAAACGAAAAGATGACACGGTGGTACCAAAAAGAAAAGATTTCCTTGTTAATCCTTCTGGATACCCTGCGGTTAAGGTTGCACGCGCGGAGGATCCAGCTTTAAAGAAAAAGGCCCGGCATATTGGTCAATCGTCGGCCAAGCTTCGGATTGAAGACTCGGATTTTGATGATGTACTGAACGAAGATGCAGAAAAATTTTATGAAAAGAACTACTCATCGGTTATTGGAAAGCTTTTCAACTATGACAAGTTCAGGTGTATTCTTTCTACTGACAACATAGATTTTGCAACGAGGATCAAGGTGATCTTTCAGATATGGAGGTTGGATTTTCCGGGATTAGAAGAGAAGAAAATAGAAGGTAAGCATGTGAGTGTCCCACATTGTAGCGCAAAAATCGCCATGTTCGAGGATCGAAGAGAGACCCTGCTGCTAAAAAAGCTACACTTGAAAAATAAAAACTGAAGGTGTATTGAGCCCGGAGTTTTTAATTTAATTTTTTCATTCCCATTGCCGCTGATGGGAGTCCCCGCCCTCTTCAAGTGGCTCAACAACAAGTATCCAAGAATCATTTCCTCTGTAATCGAAGACGATGCTATTGATGAGAACGGGTCTTCAGCAGATGGTGGCAAATTGCCCGATCTTTTGCATCCAAATCCAAATGGCTTCGAGGTTGACAACCTCTATTTGGACATGAATGGCATTATCCATCCATGCTGCCATCCTGAGGATGAAGACGCCCCTGCAGACGAAGAGGCCATGTTTAACGCGATATTTGCATATATTGAGCGCCTATTTGCCATGGCTCGACCGCGCCACTTGCTTTATATGGCCGTCGATGGAGTGGCACCTCGTGCCAAAATGAACCAGCAACGGTCACGCCGCTTCAGAGCTGCTCAGGAAGCCCAAGAACAATTGGAGGCTAGCAAAATATTCCGAAACGCGCTTCGTAGCAACGGAGCCGAAGTAATCCCAGAGCCAGATGCCGATAAGGGTGATGGGCTACCTACACCGGGAAGCTTCGACTCCAACTGCATCACGCCTGGAACAGCTTTTATGGCAAACCTTAGCACGGCTCTTCGCCGCTTTATCACAGAGAAAATCTCTACGCAAAGCAGCTGGTCTTGTATCCAGATTATCCTCTCAGACGCCTCCGTGCCTGGTGAGGGCGAACACAAGATCATGGATTTCATTCGCCAACAGCAGGCAGCACCGGGGTATCCTCCAAGTATGACTCATGCCATGTATGGCCTTGATGCTGATCTCATCATGCTAGCCCTTGCTACGCACGAGCCCAACTTTTTTGTGTTGCGCGAAGATGTCTTTGGCGAGCAGTCAGACAAGCGTCGCAACAACAATTGCTACAGATGCGGGGCCGCGGGACATCATGCATCTGGATGTACCTCTGCAGAGATTTCACTCAAACGGATGCGCACAACTTCTCCCCATCAGCGAAAACCATTTATATGGTTGAGCGTTGCCATTTTACGCGAGTACTTGCATTACGAGTTCACGTGGAAACGATCTCCCAGAGTTGGGGATTTCAATTTTGAAGCTCTTATAGATGACTGGATCTTTCTGATTTTCTTTGTCGGCAATGACTTTCTACCACATTTGCCTTCTCTCTCAATCCACGAAGGAGCCATCGATCTTCTACTTGATCTCTATAAACAGACCATTCTTCCGGCATCGATGTCCAGCTCTCTGCAAAAACCAGTACCAACTTCCAGTCGTGGCCTTTTAGAGGATGACTCAAGCATTATGCTGACACATCGTGGGGAAGTCAATGTTGCCAGAGTAATTGAACTGCTAGCCCATCTTGGAAAATTAGAAGATAAGATTTTTGCTCTTAGAAAGGCACGTTATGAAAGGTTTGAGTCTCCCAAAAAGACGGATAGCTCGCTCCACAATGCCACTAGCACTGGAGGATCGGTAACAGACAAAAATCTCGCTACCCCAGAAGTGGGGCTAACTTCCCCAAATCCGGTTGTCACTCGTCGGTCCAGAATTGCTGGTTCCGTCTCTTTAGAGCCTACGGCACTCAAAGCGCAATTCTTTGATCCAAACAAACCTGTTGCAGCTCCTCAAAAGAGAAAGAATTTCGACGATAATAACATGTCCAATCCTGAGCCCACTCTAGAAGACAAATCCAAGATCCCAAATTCCGAACATGCAGCAATAGATGTCGGTCCTCTTCAACACCCCACATGTGAACCGTTAAACCCGGATGCCGCGCAGAAAGCCCCAGATGAGATTCACCTTTGGGAGGCAGGCGCCAAAGAAAAATATTACTTTGACAAACTCGGGTTTGCTCCAGAAGACACAGAGTCTAGAGCTGCCATGGTACGCGCCTATGTTGAGGGTCTGGCCTGGGTAATGGCATACTATTATAAGGGGTGTGTTTCATGGACCTGGTTCTACCCTTTCCACTATGCTCCTTTTGCCTCGGACTTTCATCTGTTGGCGCGAGACAACGCTTCTATCTCTTTTGCGAAAGGTTCTCCATTTCGCCCTTTTGAGCAGCTACTTGGTGTGCTTCCAGAGGCCAGCTCATCACTGCTGCCCTTATCTTTTGCCAAGTTGATGAGAAATGTTGATTCACCGATAATTGACTTTTACCCGACGACGTTCAAAATTGACTTGAATGGGAAAAAGCACAGCTGGAAAGGTGTAGCTTTGCTCCCATTTATCGACCAAAGCAGGCTTCTCACCGCAGCATGTTCCATTTCGGAAAATATGCTTTCTGAAGAAGAACAAAAGCGCAACCGTTTCGGCACCGATCTCTACTTTGTAGGTGGGAAGAGCCAGACTCATGAATATATCCGCCAAAACTTTGAATCGGCCATGTCACTTTCGTTGATGTTGAATCCTCAAGGCGTTGAGGGCAAGATATCGACGACTGGCGTTGAGGGCAAGATATCGACGACTGGCGTTGAGGGCAAGATATCGACGACTGGCGTTGTGCACGACGACAAGGCCTCAGTAGCCCTAGTCCCTCATGAATTCATCTTCGAAAACCCATATCCAGAGCGGCCCCTCTCATTTGCCCCTGCACTTCTTCCTGGGGCAGCTATTCCTCCACGCACGATATCGATTGATGATTTCCGTCGAGCCAAGTTTTCGCGGCAAACTCTTCGATCCACATATCCAGCCTCGCTATTGCACCATCACCACCACCATTCGATGCATCGAGAGTATGACGAAAAATTGGAAGCAAACAATGCCGCCGCTGTCTCGAATATCAAAGGCTTCAATGCAGAAAGCTGGCAGCAGACACACGGCCTGCCCCAAGTTCATCCCCAGTCTCAAGCATATCCACAGTACCAGTACGATCCGCAACGGCCCTCCTATCAACAGCATGCCTATCATCAGCAGGCCTATCATCAGCAATATGGCAGTCATAATTCCGGGCCTAGAGATGCCCGTTTTCAAAACCGCTCGCATCATCGCGATCAGCCACCTTCACAGGCCTATCATAGCCGAGATTCACCGCAGCAGTATGCCAATGCCAATAGCGGGGCCTACCCGTCATATGGGGCCCATCATTCCCAGTCAATACCAGCTCAACGGCCTTGTGAGTATCCCATGTTTCCTCCTCAAAATCGGTATGCTCCAGCAGATCAAGATTCCCATCTATATGGTGAACGCTATTCCTATCCGCAATATCCATCGCCCCATGGCCAAATCAATCCATATGTGCAGTACCTTAGTAACATGGCGAGTGGTCCCGCAGCGCCAGCAACTCATATCCCCTATCCAGATTATGGAGCTACCCGGCAGAACCATGGCCATGGCAAGGAGAGGAAAATGTAAATGGAAGTCAAAGGAGCCTCAGTGTTCACTAACTAACTAGTAAAGTGATCCCAGTAATTTCTATCTTGCAAAAGGAAATTATTTTTTTATGTTTAAGGTAGCTAGTTTTTATTCATGAATGATGGTATTTCGGGTTAAAAGAGCAATTTCTTATGTGAGTGCTCCGGGTGTACCAGGAAGCACTTGGCTTGAGGCTTCTCTGCCGTTGTCGAAGTTGAGACAGGAGTGGAGATGGACACGTACGGCTCACATGAGGGGACAGTTACCGTTGATAGGCGGTTTTTCATGCAAGTTATCGTGTTAGTCAAAACAAATAAATCTGGCGTGGTGAGTGTAAAAGTGGTAATCGTGGGTTTGATTACAGTGCAGACCATGGTGGTGGGGATGCGCACAGAGACCGTGTCCAATTGGCTGGAGATTTTGGTAAACATACGCGTGCATATGCTGTTCAGAGTCACCGTGTCTGCGCCTCTGGAGCTTGTCACCACAGAAACGACCGTTCTGCATGTTTCCTTTGTTTTTGTGACAACGAGAGGTGGGAGCTGTATCGACGACACTACCGGGGTTGCGACGGTCATGTAGCTGACAGAAAAATTGGTAAATGTCGAAACAGATGTCTCCGTAACGGTCGTGACGCTGGTGCTGATATCCTGAGCGGTTGTCGTTGGCAAGATGGAGGGTCGCGATAAATTGGAGATGGGGCAGCGGATAGCTTCGATGGTATCGTAATAGCAGACGCTTTGGGACAGAACAGCTCGCACTTCAAAGAATGCCAACACGAAAAGACATGTTCTAAAGTATGAGTTCATCGCTAACACAGCTGCATGGCACGGGGATTTTAAAGGGACCTCGCAACTGCTTCAGTTGGTCCAATTTTGACTGAAATTTTCACAATTTAATTTTTAAAATTTTCGCCGATGATTGGTCTTTGATTCTTGGGGAACCATTCACATTGTTGCTCTTATTGATTTTGTTTGCTTATTTGTTTGCCATATGAAGTATGAACTTCCTGTTCCTGGATATATACACCTAAGATCGCCACCGGTTTCCTCTCTCAACCTGCCTTGCTCCTTTGAGGACGACGACGTTCCAGAATCCCCGCCAGTGTCGCCCTCGACGGATTACTTGTCTGCAATGGAGCTTTTGTACGAATCAAGGGCCAGAGGTGCAAAGTGGGACCACTCGATCATCATAAACGGGATTGTGTATAGGATCCGAAAATCCTGCGTGCCAAGCCCATGTGTGCTCAGGGCAAGAAAGAAAAAGCTTCCTTGTGGAAGAAAATATCCAACCGGGCTCGGTTGGCCGCAAAAGGCAGCATCGATTTTTGTTAGTCTCGATATTTCGGAATAAAAACAAGTTGACGCGTTTGCTGCTGTTTGGTTTATTATTAACTCCTATTTTACAAAATGTCGATTGGAACGGCGCGCGATGGCGCTGACAAATCAGCTTTTCTCTGAAGCCGACAAAAATTGCAGTCGAGATGACTTTGCGGTGGAGGCCAAAGTGACGTCATCCCACAACCCAAGAAGCGGAGAGGGGAGCGACGAGACCGGGTCAAGAATCGGTGTTTGATCGCCACATAGGCCCATCAGTTTGAGGAGCTCAAGATCCTCATGGATTGAAAATGGGGCATCAAAGTCAAAATAGTAATGCGTCCTAACCATAAAAGGCATCCCCAGCATACCTGTCCTCCAACATTTCGCAGTTTATGCGCGTGTCTTTTGGGGCATTGATCAATATAAACGGAAGGTGCAAAATGTCTGATGAACAAGGAGAGCCGCTTGTATCTTCAGCAGATTTGTTCCTCAAAATGAGGTTCTTCATTGCAATATGCTAGGGGTGGGATATCTCGATGCTTACCCTTGAAATTAGATCCTGTACATGCTTTCTTTTTTGGAGAATCCGCTCTTCAATTGAAGAGCGCTCCAGCAAAAGAGATTCATAGTCATGAAGAAGGGTATTGGGCAAACCAACCCACGTAATTTCCTTCCTGTTCTTGTAAATTATGTTCATGGCCATCAAAACGTTCAGCGCATCATAGACTCTTCGGCGAATGTTTTTTTGGTCTCCCTACAGTAAAAAGGAATAAAATCGAAATCCAAATGCAAATCAACAAAAATATCAATGATGCATGAATGGCGGCCACATAGAAAGCACAATACCAAAAGTTCGCCGCCCAAATCAGCGACAAGCTCATCGGCAACCTAATCATAAATGCATGCCAGCAAAAGGGATACGCGCATTCGCAATGCAAAGGCATGAAAAGATGCAAAACAACGAAACGTACCTCATTATACGTGGTAACACCCTTTTCTTCCACTTTTTTACACACACACAGCGAAAAATGGCGGAGGCCTTTGGTGAGACATTGATTGCTACTTCCACGAAGGGGATGGGGGGTACTCCTAGCAGTCACTTTTCTGTGATCCGACGGCGAAGAAGCTGGAGTAAGCGTGGAGGAGTGGAGACCCGATGATTGTACAAACATTGGTATATTTGCGAGGCACTGAGTGTAGCGAGTGTTGCAAAGATATGCCCTCTATGGTTCTTGAAAAAGATTGCACAAAAACCAGGGTGTGAAGTTGTAAGCCAAGCCTTTTTACCCTAGAAATCAATCGTAAAATCCCTTTAAATTCTAAATTGTGCCCATTTGCAGCAATTCATTGCTAATACATTCTCAGCCTGGCAGATATGCCCATCTTGTGATTTGATTTAATTTAATTAAAAAATTAGTCATTTCTCTGACTTTGACATGCACTTCAAAACGCGTCTTGATTCCTTCTTGGCCTCGATCTCTTGCAGGGTCTTAAGGTAGCCGCGACCGCTCTGCTTTTTCGACTCTTTTTGCACGGCCAAAGTCGACGATTTCGAAAGGTTCTTTTTCCCGTCCACGGCAGAACTCCATTGCTCATCGGCGATATCGATGGCATATTTCGATATGTCCAGAGAATCGATCAATTCCTGCTGCTTTGAGCGAAAGGCAGAGTTGGCAGAAAGTGCAGAAATCCGAAGATCCTCATCTAAGCTTTGAGGCGTGGGATCCCATGCCGCTTCGTCGGAAAGCGAGCGCTTTGATGTGTTGGGATTCGCTTGGCTTACACCAACATCCGATGTCGTTTGGAGAGACCTGGTAGCCCGATTTTCCTCGTGACCTCTGAAAATATTAAAGAATTTCTTCAGTATCTTTGAAAGCATGGCCAACAGCTGCGAAGAGTTGAGGCCAAGAATATTTTCTAGATCGTCGATAGACTTCATCTGTCCTCCAATGGAGAGCAGAATTCCGCTTTGCACCGGAGTGAGAGAATCTGACGGCTTTAAAGAAAGCTTACCAAAGAAATAGGCCCTTGCAATGGTTGGGATCAGATCCAATATGACGTGGAAATCGGCGGTGTTGCTAAGATATGCCTCAAGGCGCCTTATGTCGAATTTCGAAAGCAATTCAATCACATTCGAGTCTTTGGCATCGGCAAATATGTTGTGTGTTTGCTGCTGCTGCTGCTGCATAAGCTCGAGAGCAAGGGCAATTGGCATGTCTCGAAAGGCCATCGGAAGCAGGTTGTAAAACCTGCAATAAAAGTCGTCAAAAAATAGCTTAAGCCAATCGGAGGGATTTTCGACAACAAAGTTCTTCAACATGATGACGGTGTTTTCACCCGTAAGATCGTTCTTAGTTTGCCTGACATAAACAGGGAGAAACCCAAGGCGTTTCCAAAATTTTGCCAAGCTTTGAGTGAGACCAAATGAGACGCCCACCCAATCCAGCCGCTCTGGAGCCCGCTCGTCCAGCCTGTAAAGCAACGGCGGTAAATTAGCACGAGGGCATAATGACTCCAAGTCCGTCTCTTCGCTCATATTAGAGTGTGCAGGACTATCCTGCTTTGGGTCTGCAAGTCTTTCATCAGAAAACATTTCGCCTCGATAGTATTGCTCAAGTAGGGTGATTGCGCGAGTTCCATAGCCCATTTTCTGGAGCTCTGGGTGGGTAGCGATTCGGATAATTCTAGCACCAGAAAGACTGGCAAACTCGGTGTCCTGAAACTGGGTGGAAATTGTCCAAGGGATCAAATCGCCTCCTCCTCTTTGGCCTCTAGAAATAGATTTCAGGATGCTTTCCCTGGAAAGGGATCCCTCAATACAAACTTGGAGTACACAAAGAATTTCAGGTATGCAATCTTCGTCAGCTCCAGAGGCTGGACCCAACAACACAAACAAATGGTGGGCAGGTGCATCGCTCATCAACTGCAGATCGTTTGGTGTGTTTTTGTAGTGCGACGAGACATACAAAAACATCATTTTCTGAAGAAAGGTCTCAGAGGCTTCATGAAAAGAAAATAAAGTGTCTCGATTTACATAAAACAGCTGGCAATCTTTAGGATGCGGGCAAGAGGGAGAAGTGCTCTTTTTTACTTCGCCAACAGCATCAAAGCAAAGGAGTTTGTTGAGCCACTCTTCGATAAGGTCTTTTCTGGCATACCGGATCGGTGCTTCAAGCTTTATCTCTTTTAAGAAGCGTCCAGAGGATCCCCCCTGCTGTTCTCGCAACTGCTGAATGAGTTTCAGAGATAACGAGCGACCGGTGCCTTCATAACCATGGATTGTAGATGATAGCAATACCAAATACGGGCCAAGAAGCGATTTGACCAAAGGCAATGGGATGGCCGCTGCCTCGTCGATAACAACAAGCTCTGCTTGGCCCAGTACTCGAAAATCTTCAGGAGCTATGTACTGGATGGTTTGGCGATGCGTCTTGAAAATATTGACGCGAACCGTAATGCCCGAAAGCTCCTCAGAAGTGGCTTGTATGGCATCATAGTGGGTATGCTCATTATAGCCCAATGCTTCGAGGCCCTTGAACAGAAAGGAAAATAAAGTCCCCAAATTGGAAGGCGAAGGAGAAGTCACAAAAATGTTGGAGAAACCTTGTGACACGGCAACTGCCATTGCAAGTCCAAGCGCGGCAGATTTTCCTCTACCTCGAGAGGCCGTTAAAGAGAGCGTAAATCGAAGGGACTTTGCAGATATGGCTTCGGCGATTGAAATCAATGCGCGTGTTTGGTCGACAGTCTTGCAAAGATTGCCTATAGTACGAACCACGCCGTCAACCTCAGGTAGCTTGTCCAACATATCTTTGATCCGGGAATTTTCCTGCTCTTGCAACGTAGAAGGATCCTTTTCAACCCCATCTTCGGTTGAAGAAAGCATGTTTCTGCTAAAGCTCGTAATCGGCAACACATTCAAGGAATCGTCGATAAACAAGCAGCTATCGCATCGAGAAAGGGAAAGAAGAAATCTTTCGTTGAACCTCCCGACGATATCTTGATCTTTAGTGCCTTCTGTTCTGTATCTGGAGTGTACGTCCATCGTCATAGTGTAAAGCTGGCGCAGTGAATTGATGTTATTCAAAAGCAAGACTATCATGCCACCGCCTCGAACGGTCTCGATAGTTCGGGCCAGTAAGTTTGGAGTGAGCGCCTCAAAATCCTATAAGGAAAGGATTTACGAACACAATACCTGAAGCACACACATGCCGAATGTATTTCCGAGGATCTTTTCGCTCTCCTTATAATAGCAGTAGCGGATGTCGGTGGTCGACAAAAACCTGTCAAATAAATTATCTTCATTGGCAACGTCGTTTAAAGAAATTCCCTTTTTTTTCTTGTCCTCAAGCATTCTCATGCGCTTCTTTTTGTTTGAGGAAAACCCAAGCTCCTTTTTGTAGCACCATAAAACAGACGGACGCGCACAAACTTGTGCCTTTGAGAGCATGTAATGAAGGTGGATAATTTGATCCCTTCCATGGTCTCCTATCATTACAAAAAGAGACCGATGGTGATTGGACACATTGAGCTCGATGAGCGTTTTAATGCGAGGGTCGATTTTCTTGCGGGCCATTAAAAAAAATAAAATTTATAAATTTCATTAGGGTTGCTCCATATGCACGCGGCAATGCAAGAAAGGTTTATCTGCATGTGTGTTGATTTGCTGATGCAATGGCACATGTTTATCTGCACTTTATCAAGAACGTCATACTGATGGCCGAAATACTTCTTTCCAATGTGTTCATGCTGTTGTGAAAGCTGCTACTGCGTTTTGAATGGCATTCTCGCCATTTTCATTCCGCCGCTAACCGTATTGATCGATCGAGGCTGTACTAGCGACTTGCTGCTTAACATTCTTTTAACGCTGCTTGGCTGGATCCCCGGTACCATCCATGCCTGGTTTCTACTTTGCGAAAGCAGGGAATACCGAAGAGCCATGCACGAGTGTCCAAGATGACCCAATAAAGTTTAATTTTAAACAAAAATGTTCCAATCTCAGCCGTCGCCCCAAGAGATAGCCTTCAATCGCTACCAGGTCAAACTGGTGTGGTATCAAATTGGTGTCGTTGCAGCGCTTATTTTTATAGGTTTGCATGTGCAGATTTATTTTTAGCTCCCTTTTCTGTCGCCCGATACTTGAGGGCTTCAACCCAACCCTAACCCAGTCTTAATAAAGGCATTGCAACCTCTCGATCGCAGAAAACCACCAAATAAAAATAAAAATGCCACGAAATAAATAGCGCGTGGAATATTTGCCGCATCAATGATACCATCAATTTGTGCATCAAATGTTCTGTGGAGAGTGCAGGCTATGCTTTGTTCTGAAAGTCACATTGGCCTTTCTGTGTCCCCAGCTTGTTGTCTTTATGGATCGGGGATTTAGTGTGCATCTATTTATTAATATCATTTTGAGCATGTTCCTTTGGATCCCCGGGGTCATACATGCTTTGATGGTGACGCTCAAGCCTAACTCTAAAACACCTAATTAAGAAATTTAATAAACAATAAAAGCGAGCACGTCATTTCATTACAAAGCTTGCATTTCGAAGTGCCAGGTAGTCTTGTATTTGGCTTTGGGAAAGTTTTTTGATCACTTGATAGGCATCGACGGACGAATATCTCAGTGTGGATCGAGGATCGACATATGCCATTTCCAGACCCGTAATGTCACAGTACTTTAGCTGCGGAAGTAGGGAGGGTAAAACATCCATTGAGCCCCAAGGGGAGCACAAAGGGTCAGAGGTCGATGTAGACGAAAGGCTTTTAATGCTTTTCCATTTTCGCTTTGATCCGATAAAAGAATTCCACTGTGGATTCTTGAAAGGCTTGGTGTTATGAGCGTCAAAGAGTCCATTTTGAAGGAGGGGGGCCTGCTGCGCGGCATTTTTGGGATTGGAAGACGACCCCCTTTTGGAGAGGATAACCATACTGCGGCTAAAAAAGCAGTCTATAAATTTTAACGACCCAACAATGAACAAACATTGGCCCAAATTGGGCTGTTAACCCTGGCATTGAGAACCCTAAATTTTGGGGATATCCACTGAAATCGCGATTGAAACCAAGGCTGGCTCCGTGTATTTGGGCCCCTAACCCTAAATGACCTTCGTGCTATGGCGGGTTAAGATTCCAGCTTCCAAATACGAGGAACACTCCAGAAACAATTGGCATGCAATATATGTATCTGGCATAAAAGTCGAGATTTATGTGTTCTAAATTGATCCGAAATACAGACACATGTTCTTATAATGCTTACGGATCGTTCTTGATGGATATCAGACTAACTTTGAACTTAATGCCCCGTGCCCGGCTTGAACCAGATTGAACTGCAAACCGACATCGATGTTGGCACTAAAATTAAACACTTCCAGTACATTTCGTAACATTGCGCCGTGGCATTTGTATATTTTATGATTTCCAATTTAAAATCGCTGCTCAAAATCAACCCACCACGGCAGTTTTTGTTTGCCGAACGCATTTTGAAAAAGAGCCTTGCTCCCCCTTTTGCATGTTCAAATTCGTATTCATCATCGCGTGAACTGGATACTGTCGAGGCTTACGAGCGTGAATGGGTGGACTTTTTTAAAACGGCTCCCGACCAATTCGAGCTGTATCGTGGGCTCAACAATGCCTTCTCTTATGACATTGTGCCGACGGTACCTATTGTGCGCGAGGTGTTACTTGCATGCCGTCGTCTGAATCATCTCCCCACTGCAATTCGTCTTCTCGCCGCCCTAAGAGCAAAGGTCGACACTGTGGACCAGTACAAGCTTTACCTTACGGCGATTGAAGACTTGCGTTTGGAGTTGGGAGTTCCTGCCCCCGAAGAAATTGGCGTATAGAAAGAAATAAATTTACTGGTTAGTACTGATCGTTGGTGCTAGGATTTCAATCGTTAATTGCATCTTCGCGATTGATGCCAGTGTCATCGTCGTTGGGGGTATCGAAGAGATAATTTGCCGCCAGGGATTCGTCCTTGTCGCAGGCAAAAAATGCTTCTATTGCTCTTTGGCGAGGGAATCCCAAATCAACCAGTCGGTCTATTGCCTCCTTTTCTTGTGAAGATACTTGAATGTATTGGGTATGTGGAATGGCAGTTGCGCTTTCAATAGGCATGCCAGAGCTCTCGAGCACTGCATTTTGGCCCAATATTTGATCCGGAACATCGATGTCTTCATTTATTTCTTCAGACACTTCCTCATCAAATACTTCTTGCTCGGAATCATTATTGTCTGTGGCACCTTGTCCCTCCTCTTCATCGTCTTCTTCCAGAAGGGCCAGAAATTCGGTCTGGTTTTCATTGATTAGCTATGGTAAGGATTATCATGGGATACTTGAAGAAGCCGTGGATTTACGCTGCCGATTTGCTGAAGAAGCGGCTGCAATAAGTGAGGTTGTCGGTTCAGCAAAGCCCTTAACTGCTGGAACTGGGGATCGGTTTTAAGGAACGATAACGATTGCAGGCCACCGTTTCCGGCAGAGAGCCCATATGTGTCGTTATCGGATGGCTCTGGAATGTTCCCTGAAAAATGTGTCAAAGAGCTAGCTTACCTGAGAATAAATATTCGGCCGCCCTATCTGGATCGTTAAATGCTGCCTTCATGGCCTTTACGACGATATCCCTATCAAAGCCGCCCATTTCCATTAATGTAAGGATTTCTATCTCATGTTCCGATGTATTTTCTGTATCGGCAGCTCCATTGGCGGGAGGCGCTTCTTTAGCAACTTCCGGCAATTTCTTTGTTTCGCTTTGGATAGCGGATACTGGCGGTACTGGAGATGTTGCCGAAACTTTCTTCTTAATCATCATCACCAGAAAGTCTTTGTCCTTGACATTGCAGCTAGATATGGTCGAAGAGTCACCGAGAACTTTGCCTACAAATAAAAAGCCAGAATTACCTTGGAAAATTATTATTTGCGAAGCAAAACCAAACCCTTCCTGAGCTTCGATGGTCTGCTTTACAGTCTGGATGGAGGCCCCATCGTCAACCTCGATGGAAAAGGTCTTTTGTTGAAGGGTTTTTATGGTAAGTTTAATCATTAAAAATTAATAACCAAATTTTCAATTTAATTAATTAACACAATCCTCGTCATCGCCCCTCCCTTGGTGGCGGTCGAACTCATCGAGTTCAGATTCGATTTCCTAGTATAAAAGAAGCACGCATACTCTGGGCTCCCGTGGCTCCTGATGTTCGGAATACTGGATTGCATTGTCAATGTGGGATAAGATGTCGCCAATGGAATCCTCGTCTCGGATATTGAACGGCAAAAACTGCACCATATTGAATTCCTCGATCTAAGGGAACGCGTTAATAAATGGCCGCATTACCAGGCCAACAATAGCCTCATTCAGTTTCCTAAACTTTGGGTTCATCCCAAGATGCTCGGAACAAGATTTTTCATCGGTTCTGAGCCAATCCAAAAGTAGGCTTGGGTCTGAATTAAAAAACCTAACAATAAACCACATCGAGCAAACCGTGATATTTGCTCTGATTCAAGAGTGGCGTCATCCACAAGGTCCAGCTTTGTAATGACGTTGATGTGCGGAATTTCAAGCTGCACCATGGCGCTCATCGCACTTAGCACTCCAGAAAAGAACTTTGACACGTCTTGTAGAAACACAGATTCGAGCAAATATACACAACACACTTGATATCCCATGCGCTGGAACACAGAAATGATGTTTTTGAAAATCGAAAAATGAGTGTAAAGCTCCAACTGTCCGGGACAGTCAACCAGCAGAAACTCGTTGTCATATTGGCCTAAATCGTCCTCCAGCCAATCGATATTTTCCAACAGATATCTACAAATATGCGGGAAATCGGTACTCCATGGAATAAATGAGACCTCCATTTGGGCCCAGTGCTAACTCCTCCATAACTTCGTCTACGGTGATGAGGTCTTTGATGTCCTTTGAAACCGGGGCGGGGAAGTGGTCCGCCGCGGGATCCAAATTGAGTAGATGGATTGCCCGCTTCGTACACGATCCATATGTGACCAGATGATTACAAAATGTGCTCTACACGCATAAACGGCCACGCTCCGATACCTTTCCAACGCCGGCGGGGCCAACAACAAAAACGGCAAAGTTGACCATTAAAGTGGGCCGATTTAAAATTTTGCCAAATAAATTTTGGCAATTTATGCAATTTTTACGATCAATGCAGCTCAAAACACCGCTTTCGGCCACTGCCCGATTGGAGGCGCTCCGGGCGCAAATGAAGCTTCATTCAATACACGCATACTATGTGCCGGGCGAAGATGCACATCAGGTAGATTTTTTGCAAGCCTATTTTGCAGAGTGAATATATATCTGCCTGCGATTCCAGAAGGGCATATATTTCCGGGTTTACCGGCTCGGCAGGAGCCGCGATCATCACCATGAAGGAGGCCGCGCTTTGGACAGATGGCAGATACTTTCTGCAGGCGGAGCAACAGCTGGATCCCAAGGCCTGGATATTAATGAAGAGCGGGCTGCCCGGCACTCCCCAAAAGGAAGAATGGATTATGGAGAAATTAAAGGCTCCAAACTCGACGCTTGGATTTGACCCAACCCTAGTCCCCTTTGATTTGATCCAAAAATGGAAGGGCTACTGGAGCGCTCAAAATGCACCCATAGAAATATGTCCGATTGACCAAAACCTGGTCGATCTGGCGTGGAGCTGTAGGCCCGCTCGTCCTTGCAATGCAGTTTCCGAGCTTGCCCTTTCATTTTGCGGAAAATCATTTGAGGACAAGCTCAAAGACCTTCGCTCGAAAATCGAGGCCGAAAAATGTGCCGGCCTGCTTGTGTCGTCTCTGGATGAAATAGCATGGATTTTGAACTGGAGAGGCTCCGATATCGATTTCAACCCGGTCTTTTATTCATATTTGTGGATTGCAAAAGACTGTGTTTACCTGTATATCGATGCTAGGGTTAGCTTTAGTCCTACAACTATTCCAACTAGAATGGAGCAATCAACTGTCTTGCCAAAAACCTAACGCCGCCCGTTGTCATCAGAGACTACAATGCGCTTTTTTCCGATCTCAAGTGCTGGAAGGAGCTCTCAAATACGTTTGACCGCGTTTTGATGGCCAAAGGCGTGTCTTCGGTAGATCTTGTCGAATCTGCAGGCGGCGAGGTAAGATATTTTGTATTTAGGGGTAGGAAAAAGTGAAGCTTCTGCCCTCAATCGTTTCTCCCTTGAAGGCAGTGAAAACTAGAGTTGAGATTGACGGATTTCGCAAGGCACACGTACAAGACGGAGTTGCATTGGTATTTACAGTTTGGCTTAGCCGTAGGTGAGATTCTTTTGTTGGCTTGAATCTGCTCTCACATCAAACCAGGCTGTAAGTGAATCCACAGCGGCAAACAAACTCAAGGAATTCAGAAGTCAAGGGAAAAACTATGTCGGCCTCAGCTTTGACACCATCTCGGCTTCTGGCCCCAATGCCGCCATCATCCATTACAAGCCTTCCGCAGAGCTCTCTAGATCGCTTTCGCTTGATGAAATTTATCTGTGTGATTCTGGCGCGCAATATTTGTATGTGCCCTTTGCTGGCTTAGTTTAGGAACGGGACAACGGACGTTACTCGGACGCTGCATTTTGGAACGCCTTCTTTGGAAGAGAAGATGGATTTCACGCGGGTTTTGAAGGGCAACCTTGCGCTTGGAAGCATTGTGTTCCCCGAAAAGACCTCCGGCTTTCATCTCGATGTTCTGGCAAGACAGTTTTTATGGGAAAGCGGCAAGGATTATAGGCATGGCACTGGCCATGGCGTCGGCCATTATCTTAATGTGCACGAAGGTCCGCATGGCATTGGATTTCGCGAAGAATATCTCAAAAATACGCTTGTTGACGGCATGGTGGTCACCAATGGTATTGCTGCATTGTTGCTGTTTTCATTAGAGCCTGGATTTTACAAAGACAGTGCCTTCGGTATCAGAATCGAGGACATTATGATTGTGCGAAGCAAGACTGATTTTCCGGAACCCGCTTTTGGGGGCGTTGCCTTTTACGAATTTGAAAAGGTTACAATGGTATTTTTGACCCTTTGTTAACCAACCCTAGTGTCCGTATCAGAAAAAACTCGTGCAAATTTCAATGCTTACACCGAAGGAAATTAACCTAATCGACCAGTATCATAGTCAAGTTTATGTTACTTTGGCACCGCTTTTGAAGGAGCTTGATGCCAAAGCATTAGATTGGCTAAAGAGAGAAACCAGCCCCATCTGCTAATGTAATTGAAACAATAAAATTTATGTCCCAAGTTTAGGGTTAGCAAACGCGCTTTAGGGTTTTCGGGATTTTGGCGGCCTTGTGCACTCAAAATGCACACCTTGGAGTTGGTTTTAAATTTTGGCTTCATTTTACCCTTTTCAAAATGCAAGAAAATAAAAGCCCCTTGCCTTGTGCAGCCGCACCATTAAGAAGAGTCACACAGGAAATGATTACAGTCATAGCCAAGGCTAGAGAAGCCGCCGTCAAGATACAGACGGGGTTTTCCGCCCTATCCAAACGCCTTAAAGAGTTGGAGGCTACTCAGGACTTTTCAACAATAGACCATCCATTTCCTCTTGCATCATATTCGAAAACACCAAAGCTTATTGACGCTTATTTTGCCTGTCTGCGGAAAAAAAAGGCCTTAAATGGAAAGGTTAAAGGCGCCGCAGGTGGCGGCGCTCATTTCAACCCCCCACCGACGTCCCAGCTCTATCATAACTTGAATATCCTGTCTCGTTTGTATGTAGGCTCCATTAACTTTGATCTTTCAGATGCAGACTTGAAATCGGCATTTTCCATTTTCGGTCCGGTCAAAAACATCTCGATGACCATCGATCCAGACACTCTCAATCACAAGGGCTTTTGTTTTGTTGAGTTTGAGACTCCAGATGGTGCAGCACTTGCACTCGATACCATGAACGGCGGCGATCTTCGAGGCAGGTCGCTGAAGGTCGGCCGTCCAATGAATTTCCCACCAGACCTGCCACCAGGCGTTCCAAGGCCACTTGCAAACCGTCTGTACATCGCCAGTGTGTGCGACTCCATTTCCGAGGCCGACTTGCGCGAAGTTTTTTCTGCTTTTGGTGTGGTGACGGCCCTTTCGCTGATTCCGGATGCCCACGATCGGCTGCGCCATAGAGGATATGGATATGTCGAGTATTCAGATGCATTGAGCGCCCGAACGGCCACAAGCGCCCTGAAAGGATTTCAATTGGGGGGCCTTGAGCTGCGTGTTGGAAAAACTACAGTCGGTGGCCCCATGCCTGGAGGCATGGCTTCGGCCGAGTCCTGCCCGCCTGCCCTGATGCCCCATTGTTCCAAGCCATCGAAACAGACCGAAAAGGGCAGGCCAGGAAAAGCGCTTCCGCCAGCTGTGCGAGAGGCCTTGAAGAGCATCGAGGCTGCCTTGGCAAAGAAATAGAAGGGCCACAAGTTTGGTGCCGTTTAAAATTGACCCACCACTAAATATTGCATGCAATACGGTAAGGAAACCCATCATTTTTGACCTGCAGCTGCTCACTAAAAGTAGAGCCCGTAAACATTAAATACAATGCCCATTGATTAGTTGATCAGTCTTTTCAAAGTCAATACGCCAAAACTCGAGCCCATTGCAGGCCAAATCAACTGCAACCCGAATCGATTGCAGCCCAAATGCATTACAACTCGAATCCATTATCACTCCGGTGCACTAAAAGTTGCGTATGTTACAATAAGCTTTAGTAAGAATGGGCAGATGCATCGTTCTGGTGGGAAATCCGTAGGAACGTGATGGCAGCCAGTAGCTCTGATCGGCATAAGGCATCAACAGTGTCTTTTTCTTGCAACGGCAAGGCACTTATAGCATGCGAGAGAATATCAACTCCGTCTTGCTTTGCATCCTACCAAACATCAAAAATAGGACATTGTCAACCTGAATTGAGAGAACAGATCCCCGTTTGTCAAACGTCACAAAAAAGTTCCTATCTCCAAGGATGGCGTCATTGCGCAGATGGATGCAAAGACGATACGGGTACTCGTGTTCCATAAAACAAGACGCCCCAAATGCCTCCTGAATAATCCTTGTCATTCCGTCGTACCTAAGGATAAGATTCAAAGCCCACATATGGTATAGCTCCTCTACAGTGGCATCTCGTTGGATCACATGGGCCTTTTTGGTGTTTACACTCTCGTCCATCCGATCGCACTCTGCTGCAAGTTCTTTATACAAAAGATCCTCTCGATCGAGACGCAGTTTCGCCTCTTGGATCAGCTTGCTCACATCGTGGATCGAGGTTTTGAGATCGGACATTTGCAATTTCTATACTGAGTACGCTTTGAGGAACCTTTTTTTCCAAAGCGGCCTCTCCCTCTTCAATGGTCATGGTGGAAGTCAAATTCTAGCCGCAAGAAGACTGTTCTCTTACCTTTGTGGAGAGAATCTTTTCAATACGCTCTGCCAAAGATGCAGCTTGCTGTTCGAGCTCCAATATTTCCTCCGAAAGCAGTCTATTGCCCTTTACGCAAAGGGACGCCGATTTTTGTTCTAAAATAAGGACTTCAATTACTGTTGAGGATCAGGTCGCACTGGTCCGCAATGGAGCCTTTGAGCTTCTCCAATTCATCCTTGAGCTTTTTTAGCGCAGCCTTAGACTCATCTATGCAATCATCGTATATTCTTTACCTTTGGCCACAAGAATGTGCTTGTCAACGGATTCTCCACAACATCCATCTTCTCCCATCTCTTCGTATAGTGTCGTCAGAAATAGGAGCTTCGATTGGAGTTCGATGGCTGTAAATTTGAGTCGTGAAAATAGTTCCTAATCAAATAAGCACCGCCACACTTGCCTTTGATTGCCGGAAGGACAGATCCTCTCCACCTATGGACTGGAGCAGCGCATGCTTTGGCGCAAACATATCCTCATCAGAGGAGAGCGTAAAAAATTCTGAAAGAAAAAGTCCATCCACAGATGGAATGGCTACGTTCGGTTTTCTGTCACATAAAAACAAGCAATGCCGTACTGCTCACTTGTCGACATCAAGCTCAACACCAAAATTTAGGGTTGGAATTTACTTTAATGTGTGCAAGGTACATTTTCAGGCCAACCTGACGGAGATTTAATCATTTCAATTGATCGTTATGGACAATATCGACTTCACTGCAAAGGACTTGTCCGAAAAAAAGAAAGCCCCCGTGACGATGAAGTCTATACTCTTGTACATTCCCAACATCATTGGTATCTACATCTGACTCACATCTAGGGCTGCTGCGCGTCGTATTTGCTCTGTTCTCAATCCTGCTGATGGCCACTGGCCAACATTGCGGCGCAATGATTCTGTACTTTATTTCCGCAATACTCGATGCATTTGATGGCATGACTGCACGTTATTTCAACCAATGCTCACAGTTTGGTGCTGCCCTGGATATGGTGACAGACCGGTCTGCGACAATGATGCTGCTTTGCGCACTTTGCCGTCTCTATCCCGCAATGATGATGCCCATCTTCCAGTTTATTCTTTCGCTGGACCTTTCCTCGCACTATGTTCATATGCTTAGGTAAAGAGTGTGTTTACAGCTTTAGTTCTACCAAGAGCGGCTCGGCATCGCACAAGACCGTAGCCGAGAATAGCCCTATACTCCTGAGAGTATACTACACTAAAAGGTGGGTTTTATTTATCGTCTGCGCTATGAACGAGCTTTTCCTTGCATCACTTTATGTGTGGGCAGTATATCCGCATTCATGGGTCCCCAAAGTGGCGCTCGCCCTCAGCAGTCCCGTCTTTCTTTTCAAGCAAATTGTGCACGTCATCCAGCTAGTAGAGGCGTTCCAAGTTCTTCTGCACTTTGACGTCGCAGATGCTACCAAAGCAAATAAATAAACCACCAACGGCAATCAACCCAATTGCGCCCATCAATCCGCGTCAAGTTGCGTGTGCAAGCGAAAGCTGAGCTGACTCTACATTTATTGGGCGATCATATATAGCCATTCAACTGCGATAAGAAGACGACGGCTTTCGACTGCTGTTGGAGGAAGATGACGACGAAAATGTGCGTGAAAAGTTTGAGCGCGAATATGACGACGATGCGGAGCTGGCCTTGTCACCAGCCCTGTGGTCTGGACGATCCTTTGATTCGTGGTCTGAGCGGCGGGTTTCAGACCTGCGCTCTGTCTTTCTAGAGTCACCTCGTGACCGCGATCGCGATCGATGCCTCCTGGTTGACTGTGGGCTTTTGCTCTCCTCTCCAAAGTAATACTCCGCAGATGGGGGGCTGATTGTGCTCGGCGCAGGTATCCTATGAGAGGCCGACAATTTCGGTCTACATGATCTACAAATAAAAAGACAACAATGACGATGAACTGGCGCTACTGCCGTCAAACACGCCAATACGCCGCGATTGGTGTGCCTCTTCGCGTTGCGACTTTTGCCGCAGACAATAGAGCCTCCAGGTTTGTTCGTCAAACCCATAGTTGAAATAGTCGGTAATATCCGACCCAGGCTGTCTCCAAGGCTTGTCCTCAATGGAATCAAGCTCGATATTATATATGGACGAGGCCATGGGCGCAGATGGAAGCCCATCGGAAAGCACCGTTGTAAGCTGGGCAGAGAGCATCTCTGAGGGTGCAAAGGTTGGTGCTGCATCCACATTGGTGGTGGAGCCAGGGGCACCTGCTCCGCCACATGTTGGACATGTGGCTGAAGATGCGTTCGGGCCTATTGATGGTAAAAAAGACGATCTCAAACCGGTGCCAGCTGCAGGTATTCCCGTTGCAACGGAGAGGGGCTTCTGGAACCTAGCAGGAAATCTCGAGGGAACCATACCCTAGACCATCCTCATCCTGGTCATAGTCATTCATGACGATTTCGACATCCTCCTCTTCATCCTGGAAGTCGGCCATGGGGGCAGGAAGCGACATTAATTTTTAAAATTCGGGGACAGAAGTTTTAAAATCTCACGTTGCAAGTTTAAGGGAACACAATCAGCCATCATCACCATCAAGTGCGACAAAAGTCAACCGGAATAAATAACATTTTATCAAAATACTTAATATGCATTGCACTCCCCTACATGTGTCGCCCCTCTTCGGTGCTCAACGAACTTGTCATGTATGACTCTATTGACAGGCGAGAATGTGCGATGATGCGTCCAAACTCCTTTCTCAGGCTTTTGACATGCTGCTGGTTGTCTTTGAATTCGTTGAGATGATGACACAGCCAATTCATATTATCTATAAACGCCATGTTGTTCATCCGCAACATCTCGTCATCCTCCACTTCCATGCTCCTGGACGTATGCTTGGATTCCTCAGAGAGGTGCTCTTCGCCCGGGAGGTCGACCTGGCCCTCTTTCTTCTTCAGATACTTTCTTCCATAAGAGCGGCAGGAAGAGCATGTCTTGCGCTTCCTATTTCCATCCATGAAAGAGGTGACGTCCTTAGTGTATCGACATCGGGAGCAGTAGAAAGGTGTCTCTGGAATGCCTTCCATTTTTGAGGCCAAAGATTGCGGAGACGGTGGAAGGTTGTGCGACTGTTGTTGAATCGGGGATGGGATCTGCCGCTGATGGTGCATGAGCGATGGATGTTGATGGTGATGAAGGTGATGTGAGGAAGACATCAAATGAGACGGATGGTGCTGATGATTGGAGGCCCCCATTGCTGCTGCAAGGTGATGTGGGTGGGAGTGGCCTAGCCGTCCATCGGAAGCGAGCATTGGCCTTTGTGGGGCAGGCCCACATACACCAACCCCGCCATTAGATGGAGATCCGTTTAAGTGTTGGTGTGGGTGCATAGAGTGGTGAGGATGATGGTGCTGCGGATGCATCAAAGGCGATCCATGCTGTTGTGACTGCAGTATGCCAGTCGTGGCATATGGATGATGGGAATTTCCGAGAGATTGATGATGCGGTCCGCCCGGACTCATTAATGCCGCTTGTTCTAATAATGCAGCTGTAGAGTGATGCACGGGTATGTGGAAATCCAGATGATCCTCATCCTGCAAAAGATGGCCCAATTCGTTTGACTCTGGCGCCTCGTCATTGGACGCCTCGGGGTCAGAGACCCCTTGTAACATCCAGCTGGTGTTCATCATTTATCTGCAATTGGGGAAGTAACGTGCGAGCTGCGGTGCAAATGCTGTTGCGAAGGTAAGGGCAGTGCAAACGTTGTTGCGAAGGTAAGAGCAGTGCAAAGAAAAAGGCCATGCTTGAACGATTTAGCCTTTGATGCTTTGATTTGATTGGTGCGTTTTGTAACATATATTTTAATTTTAATCCTGACCAACCACACCCTCGAACGTTAAGGCGACATCTTCACCCCCTGATTTGTGCACCGAAATTTATTGCATCGGAGCATGTGCCTATTTAAAAAATTTGACATTCGTTTAATTTCTGTTTTTGCGCGAGCCTTTTTTTGAGGCGATTTTCAAAACCTCGGAGTTTAGTCCGCCTCCGAACATCGTGGCAATGGCAGACGCACTCAACTTGGCAACCGCTTTGGACTCCTTTTCGTTCTTAGCTCGCTCTTTTTCCAAGACTTCAAGTTTACTTTTAACGGTGTCCACATCATTCATAATTGAAAAGAGCTCGTCTTTGACCTCTTGTTCGCGTTTATGCAGAGCCTGAATCTCTTTTTCAAATCTAACATTGATGGCATTTTTGAAAAGCGAGGCGTTCTTCATTTGGTCTATTTTAAGCTTTTCCTCGAGCTTTGAGCTTCGCTCGGATAGCTCTTCATTCTGCTTTCTCAGCTTCATTAGATCTCCCCTATGAGATAGTGATAGGTCTAATATTGTACTTTTTGGGCGGGCTGGTAGGCTTCTTTGAAAGGATGTCGGCGCGATATATTTCATAAAGGATGGTGGCTTTTCTTCTGAGCTCTTCGCTATGATCCGAAATAAGAACTTGCTTGAATTTCAGGAAGTCATAGTACTCATCAGACTCGATATTGATTTTCCCCCACGGATATTCCCTGCACTTCAAAGGCGCAGATTGGGGCGACCCATTGTTGTGCTGCAGAAGTGCTCCAATAACGGCAAATGGAATTGAGCTCTACGCATCATTTAGGATTGGCTTGTTCATTACCTTTAATCGCTTCACCTCTTCTTGCACAAAATCTTCATCTCTGTCGTCGACAGTTGGATAGAAAAGCTGAATTCCAAATCTAGAAATGTCCTTCAATATCTTTCAATTATGCCATCAAGTGCTTACCCTTCCTTTTAAAAGAGACAGCTCGCGCAATGTAAGGATTTCTGCTCGGCCAATGACTGGAATTAAATTTATCACTTTGTCCAGCTTTGACATTGCCAGGATGTCGATTTTCCTCAGACTTTCAAGTAAACGTTGCCGTGGGTTACCTTGTCCTCCATGGTGGGAGAAGATAGATGCACGCGTGATATCTGCTATCCACAATCTCACCTCGGAAGCGGCGGAAAATGTCGCTTTCTGCACTGCAATATTCCTCTAATCCTTTGTGGACTCTTTGGATTATCCTTGGCAGCCTAGAAATAACGAAAAAGTCCGTACATATCTACATTGTCCACTTGATCCCCGAAGCCATCAACCACAGTGATGTTCATGGTCATGGAGAGCTCAAACTCCTCAATACCTTCATTAAAAAAATTCAAGTACTTTTTGAATATTCCGTAAATTTCAAGCAAGCGGCTCGCTCTTCTTCGTGGCACCCGATAGCCTCTTTTTGATGTTCAGAGGGCTCGTGTGCTATTTTCGTGTTGACATCTGCTTCTGATAGCGAAAAAAGAGATTTCAACAGTGTGACCTTTCCAACACCAGCCTCACCTTATCAATAAGAAAAAAATTCTCCTACCAACCACTAGGATGTTCAGGACAAAGCCGGAGAGCGAGTATTGGCGATGAAGCTGATTTGCATAGGAGGAAAACCCGACCCAAGATGAAGAGTCTCCAAGAATGGTCTTTGATGTAAGAAAATAATCCCCCACCTCCTCATTAGACATGCTTGTTGGCTTTCCAATCTTCTTACTTGAAAAAAATGATACCGCAGGCGCTTCATCTCTAATAATCGATTGTGTTTGCAGGCATTCCGGAGATGGCGGCAAAAAAGTCTCGCCATTCTGTTGGGACGAGTTGATCAAAACTACTGTCAATAGGACCATACGGCCAAACCTGATGGAGGCATATATCAAAATAGGATGGTTTTTCGATCGTAAATATCATTTTCAATCTCAATTTCACATCCCTAAACAATGGCTAGCAACAAAGCCCCTTTTCTGATTGGCCCGAGTGAGCAAATTAAAATCGTACAAATTGTAATTTAATGAGGTACATGGCGGCAGCATGTGATGGCATCATGCGCATGCATGCATGCCAAGTGCATAATGTAACTTTAATTAATTTAATTAACTCCTTTGTCTTCATGTGCTTGACGCGATTCTTTCTTGTAGAGCTTATAATATAGACCCCTTTTGGAAAGTAACGAGGAGTGGTCGCCCATTTCAACAACCTTTCCCTTGTCCATGACATAAATTAAATCAAAATCTCGAATGGTGCTAAGACGATGCGCAATGACAATAAACGTCCTTGGTCTCTCGCTTGAAGCAAAATCTTTCATCAAAGCTGCTTGGATTTTTTCCTCAGATTGGGCATCCAAGGCACAGGTGGCTTCATCAAATAGCAAGATTGGCGGATTTTTTAAAAGGACACGGGCAATTGCAATGCGCTGCTTTTGGTCCCCAGAGAGCTGTGATCCAAATTCACCAAGCTGTGTTTCATATCCGCAAGAAAGGGATATAATGTCCGAATGGATACCGGCCAGAATTGAAGCATTTTCAACATCAACTTGAGGAATCGATGGCGCTTCCTCCTCCTCCTTCTCCTTAAGCAGCTGTCTGCCTAGACAGATATTTTCCCAAATAGATCGAGAAAAAAGTACCGGCTCTTTGCTTGCCAATCCAAAGGTCTCTCTAACTACAGAGAGCGGAATCGTGGAAATATCCTTTCCATCAAACAGTATTGAGCCGGTTTGTGGCTCGTAGAAGCGTTCAAAAAGCCCAAAAATGGAGCTCTTTCCAGACCCTGAAGGTCCAACGATCGCAATTCTCTTTCCAGCTTCAAAAGTTAAATTTAAATCATCAAGAACTCGAGTTTCGGGCCTCGAAGGGTATGAAAAGCGTACATTTTCAAGCCTGATCTGTGGAGGAACATTGCTGGCAATGGCTTGATCCTTGCGGTACTCATCCAAAGATGCGTTTGCATTGCCACCGTCGCCATAGGAGAGGAGCTCAAATATAGATTGAGCTGCAAGGCGTCCAGAGGGAACATCTGGCAAGCAAGCGATTGTTTTTCCTGCTGCCATGGCGCAAAATATAATTGAATAAAGGACCCTGTTCATGGCGGCATAATCGAGCTCGCCAGAAAGGACCAATTTGGCCCCAAAATAAAACGAAATAGCATAGATCCAACACAGCATGGCTTGCGAAAGCCCAAATCCAATAGCTCCAACAAATGCACTGATCACGCTAAGGCGATGAGGAGCATCCAATTGCTTGCAATATTGCTCCAAGAACCAGGATTCGCGGCAAAGGCCAGAAACAGTACGTCGATAGTGAAGGGCCTCACCCATGCGCGCCTGAGCAAGCTCAGAGGAACGTTCGATATTGCTGCCAAAGTATGTTCTTGTATTCCTTTCAAAGAAGCTAGCAATTGCCATTAAAGGCATGCATAGCACGAGAATAATGGCCAATTTGTATCCGGAATAAAAAGCAACAAATAGACCAAGTCCAACGGTCACTAAAGCCTGTATTAGGGTACCAAAAAGAGGACCCGTGAGTTTTTTCAAACTATCTACCTCTGACGATAAGCGTGCAATTAGACGAGAAGGTGCATTTTGAGGTGTATCGAAATACGCCATCTTTAAAGGATGATTTTGGTCCATCGAAACTAGCGATTTGAAGCAAGAGGCTCGAAGGCGACTGGCAAGACGCTCTCCGGCTATGCCAAAAAAAGCGGTTTGCCCAAGTTGGGAAACTCCGGAGATCAAGCCTTGAATAAAGAACCAAAAACAGTAAAACTTGACGCCTTTGATTAGAACCGCAATTGAGGGTTCTGCAAATACACTTTGAAGGTCGGCAAAAAGGAAGGATAGTATTGGCATTGTGGAGCCGTTTACAATCGCACAAAGAAGGCCGAACAGCATAAAGGCATATTCGGGACCTTGCATCCTCAGGATACGGTGGACGATTTTCGAAAGTGGCAATGTACATTTTCTTCCTCTAGCTGTGTCGGAAAGACGAAGGATTGAAGGTGATGCTGCGATTGCATCGTAATCAATACCGTCACATGTATCGGGAGTCTCCAAGTATCTGTCATCCACGGGAGTACTGTCATTATCAAGAAATACAGCGGTGTCTCCTTTTTGTGGATGGACTAGTTCGAAATATGGACCTTCAGTGTGAGAAATTAGTTCAGAATGTGATCCCTGCTGCAGAATTTTTCCTTCTTGAAGAAGGATAATTTTGTCAGCAGAAATTACACTTGAAAGCTTATGGGCGATAACTAGAGTTGTACGGCCTTTAGAAGCCATTTCAAGGGCATCCTGAACAGCAGCCTCTGAAGCAGAATTCAGGGAGGACGTAGCTTCGTCCAAAATCAACAAAGATGGGTCTCGCATCAACGATCTAGCAATTGCGATGCGTTGCCGCTGGCCATCAGAGAGCATAGAACCACCAGGGCCTACCCTAGTAGAGTATCCTTGAGGCAAGCCCAAAATAAACGTGTGAGCATTTGCGATACGGCAGGCATTTGCCACATCCTCCATGGTTACAGAAGCCCGATTTATAGCTCCAAGAGCCACATTTATAAAAACACTCTCGTCAAAAAGAATAGGCTCTTGAGACACAATTCCGATGGAAGATCGCATAGCCAAAGGGCTAATGTTATGGTCTTCCTCGTCCCCAATCAGGATCCTCCCACTCTGTGGACGATAGAATCGTTGAAGCAGGTCAACAATGGTGGACTTTCCTGATCCAGATTTGCCTACAAGGGCTGTCTTCTTCCCTGGCTCCAATACTAGAGATATATTAGAAATTTCAGAGCCGGCATCTGATGGAGAATTATATCTAAAAGTTAGAAACAAAATGTCAAAGCATACCGAAAGGAGACATTTTCAAGAGTAATTCCACCTTTCTCAATAAGCCCGCGAACACGAAGGTGTTCCTCATCGTCAACACCTTTTTTGGATATATTTAATGATTGATCTTCGTCTTTTTTGATGATATTGGAGAGTGTTGAAGCTGCAAGAATTCCCCGGCTTACGATTTCAAAATTTTGGAAAATGTGTCTCACAGAAACGGCACCAGAGATCACGCAAAAAAAGACACTTAAAATTACACCGCGTTTGAGAATAACTCCAGACTCAATAAGCTTGGCACCGCTCCAAAAGGCAAGTGAATATGAAAAAAAGGCTAACATGCAAATAATACCCATTGAGGCTCCGGAAATAAGGAAAGAGGGCTCGTTTTTCTTTGCTGCCTCTTGCGCCAGGTCACTATAACTCTCGCATTCCGAAGATTGAGCACCAAATGACACTACGGTACGGATTCCTGCAATAACTTCTCCTGCATATGCGCTTGCTCGAGCGTAGCGAGGTTGGGCCTTCTCAGAAAATCGAGAAGAGACGCGGGAAAAGAGCGCATTAGATGCACTTATAATTGGAAAAATCATGCATACGACAAGAGTTAATTGCCAGCAGCGAAAAAAGGCCACAGAAAAGCAAGAAATAAATGTAGCTGCATACAATGCTGTCAATCCCATTTTCCCGGAAAGTCCTTCTTGAACTAGGAAAATGTCTGCAGCAGAGCGGTTGATAAGTTCACCAGTAGAATTTCCATCAAAAAAAGAAATTTCCTTTTCCAGAAGAGAAGCAAAAAGAGTGGTTTTAAGACGATAGCACTGGCGAGCTGCGGACCAATTAAGTAAAGCCAACATCCAATATCCTGTCTGGAATATTACCACTCCCAAAATGGAAAGAAATGTTAAAGAATATGTCATTTCTGTCCAAAAGAGTTTTTCTTGGAGTAAAACAGACGAGGGGTCCACATTTTTTGCGATGAGAAAATCGATGAACAAGTTGATGATATCTCCAAGCAAGTAATTCATTAATGAAACCGAAAGGCCGGCCACGAGGCCACAAACCAAACCAGTTCCAATTAAAAAATAATCGAAAGAGTTGGCCCATGAGAAGAGTATCGCAAACTTTGATGCTGTTCCAGCAGGTGAAGTTACATGAACGATGTCTTTTTCGGATAAAAGTGCGTTTGAAGATTGATCTTTTGAGGTTGCGTTTGAGGATTCATCTTTTGAAATTTCGTTTGAGGATTCATCTTTTGAAATTTCGTTTGAGGATTCATCTTTTGAAATTTCGTTTGAGGATTGATCTTTTGAAGTCATATCTGAAGAGAAGCTTTCAGACATCACCTTTTCAGAAAACTGTGACATGCTGATTTCAAGATAATTAAAGACTTCTATTGGTGTAATAGCTATAAGGTGCAAAATAAAAATTGCATTAACCACCAATCATCGCCTGCTGGCTTCTAAAAAAATATTCGGAAAAAATCTGTTTACAAATTTATTCTAGAATGTGAAGAGGAGGATATTTGTATTCTATGCCGGCCAGGTTTATTTTTTGTTGCGTACAAAGAGGCATGACCTTTCAAAAAAGAAATCAAAATCTGGATATATTGCAGTTAAATTCAAAATGATAAAGCCCAGCGCAATACACACGCCCGCAAGATATCTGAACTGGAAAATACTATTTCCATTAATGAGCAGATCAAAAAGAATCGTCATTGGAATGGAAAAGGCGAGCCCAATAGACACTATAAGAGGGGAAGTATGAAGAAGCGCATAAATCCAGAAATAGTTGGCTGCAAGACCGCCGAAAATATTATTAGCAAATAGTAGAACCAAGCTAAAGAGCGTTGGAACTTCAAGGACTTCTAATTTTGTGATGTGCAAGATAAAAAAAATCGGCCAAAGCAATATAGTAGACAATAAGCCGACGCAACCGAAAAAAAAAGGCATATTTATCCTTGACTCGTCGATGGTTTTTTTCTTTAAAATTACCGAGTAGAGCCCATATAAACTTGCAGAACCAACTGCAAAAATATTTCCTAGGGCTATGTTTATTGGCGGATTAGTTTGGGTTGTTTTCTCATCATAGAAATATGAAAGACCCCCAACGATGCAAAGTCCACCGGCACAAATTAACACGGATAGGCCCTTCATTAGGCTAAATTTTTCAACACCAGCTATGATGCTAAATATAAGCGTAAAGAAGCAAGAGGTTGAAAGCAAAAGTGCAGCCGATACAACATCTGTATATTCAAATGAAAGATTGGCCAGATAACAGGAGATAAAATAGATGGAGAAAAATAAAACAGAATGCTCAAGCATTTCTCTTTTTGTCAGCTTTTTAGATGCTGGCGCCGCTAACGATGAGGGGGATTTAGGGATAGCACTAGATTCCTCCGCTTCCCGAGGCTTTTTCTTGAACAGAGAGTTGAGATATAAAATTGGGAAATAAAGCTGAAAGGTTGCCGTTGACATGTAGGTAGAAAAGAAGGCCTTTGGATATATACGCAGCAATAAGGACATTACAAATGATGAGGAGACCCATAGAAACACGACTAGGGCTAATGATACAAGGCCAAGAAAGTACCTATTATTCTTTGGAGCTCCCTTCAAGTCAGCAAGCGACTGTTGAGCTGAAGGGGTAGCGGAATGTATTGTGTTTTGGGGCTTCTCTTCCAAGTTTTGAATGGCCGTCTTGGAGGAATTAATTTTAGAATCTTGGGGCATAACTTGGAAAAATAAATATGCCCCAAAACAGAATGTGATTTGCCACAAAATTTGCGAGTCGCTTTTCAAATTTATATGGCAAGTTACAAGTTAAAACCAACCCGACCCGACCCAACGCAACGCAACCCTAAACTAAACTAAACTAAACTAAACTTCAACGTTGCTAAGTTTTTACAATTTGACATCAATCCGAGGCCTCTTTTGTCAAACATGCAAACCAGCAACAAGTATCCACTTCCGATTCACTTCCAAGAGCATGTCAATGTATAGCCGATTTTCTCATTTTAGCTGCAATCGCTAGGATTTCTGCCCACGGACATTGGCTTTAGCACACTGACAATGGAGTCAGAAAAGTATCTTTGCATTAGAGATCCTTCCGGAACATCTCTATCGATCATAGAAATCGCAAATCCAAATAATATCTTGAAGCACGCCATCACCGCAGACTCTGCCATCATGCACCCCATAGAGCTGATCATAGCGTTGAAATGTATTTTTGGATTTTAATATTCCGGCATAGCTGGCCGACAGCTCCAGATTTTCAACCTTGAATTCAAGGTCAAAATTAAGGCATACGTTATGGATGAAGACATCATATTCTGGAAATGGGTGAACCCGTCTTACATCGGCATTATTACCGCCAAATGTGTATACCATTGGCATATTGAAGGGACTGGCGGGCCAAAGAAGATCTTTGATAGACATTCTTCGCTGGAAAACTGTCAAATTATCAACTATAAGTGTAATTCCGATCTTTCTTGGTGTTTTCTGGTCGGCATTTACGCCAAAGATCAAGGCGTTGGCGGAACCATTCAACTATTTTCGCAATCAAAGTCGGCCAGCCAAATTATCGATGGGCATGCGGCAGCCTTTGCCGATTTGCTGATGAAATCGGAGTATTCAACGTACACGGTAAAGCTGTTTTGCTTTGCATCGAGGGCTTCGACGTCCCTTTCCAAGGTAATGACTGCAGCTCCAATATCTCTAGCTACACATTGTGCAAATAGACCATACAGACGCATATCCTGCATTCCAAAAGGTTTCGTCCGACATTTTCTTCCCAACCGATGCTCCTGGTGATTTTCCAGTTGCGCTACAAATTGGGCATCGGTTTGACATCATCTACATGATCACCAAGCTGGGCTTTATTCATCTGTATGATCTGCAATCTGGCGCTTGCATTTTTATGAATCGAGTGTCAACGGATACCATTTTTGTGACCACCGAGTATACCCCGGACTCGGGCATTATAGGAGTTAATAGATCGGGACAGGTAATTGGCCGATCAGTTGATCTGTTAACATTAGGTCTTGTCGGTGTCAATATCGGAGGAAAACATCATCCAACATCTTGTCGAGGTGGTGCAAAATCCCAAGCTTGCCATTAAGCTTGCTTTGAAGGGCAATTTCCCCGGTGCTGAACAGCTCATTTTTACCGAATTCCATGCGCTCGTTGAAAAGGGCAAAATGTTGGAGGCAGTCACGCTTGCAGCCCGCTCGCCCAATGTATTTTGACCGTGTTTAATGGGTAGCAAATGCTTAGAACCCCGCAAACAGTAGAGCTATTGAAGGGCTATTTTGCGCCTGCTGGGCAGTTGGCGCCGTTGCTGCAGTATTTTGCGATTATTTTGGAAAATGATCGCCTAACGGAGTATGAAACCATTGAGCTCTCAACTTTGCTGATTTCGCAAAGCAAAAACGAATTGCTCAAAAAATGGTTTGAAGAGGACAAGCTTACTTGCTCCCAGGAGTTTGGGGACATCCTGCAGCCGATATATCCTCGATTTGCGGCAGAAGTGTACAAAAAAAGCAGATGCCATTCCAAGGTGCTCGAATCGTACATGATCATTGGCCTATATGCGGATGCCATTGAGTATGCAAAGCTCCACAAGCTCAAGCCAGACTATGAATATTTGCTAAACATTGCCATCAAAAGCAATGCGCCTGAAAGCACGTCGCTTTCCAAAATGCTGCTGTCAAGCAACCCGCCTCTGCTGACGATCGGAACTGTTTTTGCTTGCTATTGTGAAGGTGGATATATTGACGAGCTCTATGTGGCGATGAGGGAAATTCTGCAAACCAACACACCGGAATGCGGGGCCCATCAAACTAGGCTTCTTGAAATCCTTTTTGACTACAACGTAAATATTGCTGCAGATGTGCTTTCAAAGCACATTTTTACCGCTTACGACAAGGATCGAGTGGCTCAGCTGTGTGAAAACAATCACATGATCATGCTTGCTTTGGAAAATTATACCTCCATAGAGGACATCAAACGGCTGATAGTGCGAACAGACGTTTTGGATTTCAAGTTCATCAGCTTTTTCTTTTCAAAGCTTTCCGTATCGAAGGCTTTGGAGTGTCTTGCTGCTTTGTTGAAAAGCGACATTTCAAAAAATCTGCGCATCTGCATCGAGGTAGCTAGCAATCGCATCGCTGATATCAAGCCGTCCTCTTTTGTTCTGATTCTTGAATCGTTTGATTGCGACGAAGGTTTGTTTGTTTGTTTGGTTGACTGCATCTATTTTAGGCATATTTCTGTATTTGCAGCGCGTGATCAACGGCATCAGCGATCCTGAAATCCATGCTCTATATTTTAAACTGCTGATAAGATATGCTTCTGTGGATGATATTGCATCGTTTGCCAATGTGGTAAATGTGGCAAACCCGATTGTTTATTGCCAACAAATGGCGGAAAAATTTACGCAATATCAAGAGCAGCAACCACTGCTGATCATATGCAGCAAATATGGATTGGAAGAGTTCTTTTTTGACTTCATCCTAAAGATGGGGTATCACGACCTTTCTGTTGAATATGTAAAATACAATCCGCATACGCTGCCTTCCGTGATTGCCTTCATTTTGGACCGGTATGAGGGCGATCAAGATACCCTCGTCGGTGTTCTGTTGAGCGACTTTACCTCTTTTTTGAGCAACGATGAAGTCTTTGAGCTTGTGGAGCTTTTGCAAAAGCACGACAAACTATATCTGCTGATCCCCTGGATTCAGTCAACATTGATGGACAATTCGCACAAATACGACAAAACACTGCTGGCAAATGCCGTTGCCAAGTCGCTTCCGATGTCGTCCGATGAGCTGGTTGCTTTTCTGAAGCAAAACCCGTATTATGACAGGAGATTGGTTGGCAAGTTTTTCCAGGCAAAAAACAACCCCCGCTTGGCCTCCATCTGCTACTCTACGGCAGAGCTAGCCGATGAGCTGATGGAGCTGTCGCTGGAAACTCTTCAGTACGGCGAATTGATCCCTTTTCTGCTGAAAATGAAAGATGCCACAAAGTGGGGCCATTTTTTATCAAATGCATCCTTCAATAAGGAGGAGTTCTTGGCCAAGGTTTGCACTTTTGCTTTTACCTTCAGATCAAGCTGTGTGCAAAGACTTCCAAAGATGCCGATTCATTTGCCATTCTCATCAAGGTGTTGATCATCTCCAAAAAGACCTCCATCCTTCTTCCTGTGTTGGAAGTACTGGTGCTGGAAAACGAGCATTTTTCGAAGAACAAAAATTTGCAAACCCTTTTCATGGTCACTTTGGCAAAGGTTTTGCATTTTCCTCTTTCTCCCTCCATCGTAGGTCAATGATGCTCGCTTTGACGATTTTATTAAGAAATTGAAGGCGTACGACTCCAAAGAGGTTGCCGATGCTGCAATCAAGGAGGGCCTGTATGAGCAGGCATACCTTATCCACAAGGCCGCAGGAAACTTGAAAGAGGCTGCAGAAATTCTAATCAAAAACATGAATGACCTCGACAAGGCCACCGAGTTTGCAGATAAGTACCGTGTTCCTTTTATTTACCAACTTTTGGCCAATGAACAATTTTCTAACCACCTTATAAAAGAAAGTATTAGCAGCTTTATAAAGGCCGACGACTTTTCCAAATATGCCCAAGTCGTTCCCAAGGCCAAAGAGGCTGGATGCCTTGAAAGCCTGGTTTCTTACATCGAGCTGGCCAGGGTCAAATACAAGGAGCAATTTCTGGATACCGAGCTTTTGTATTGCCTTGCGTTTTTGGAAAAGTTTTCAAAGCTTCAGGCTTTTCTGTCTGCTCCCCACAAAGCACGCGTAAGTTTCGGTGGTGATGGGCCCTAACCCTTAGACGGAACACATTGGAGCGCTTTGTTTGCAAAGCAATTTGTTCAAATCGGCCGCGTACATTTTCACGTCAACGTCTGACGTGGAAAATCTGTCGCTGGCATTGTTTCTGGATCAAGATTATGCCGGCTGTTTGAAGGCGCTTTCAACGTCCACAACAAACAAAAGCCACGCAAAAATCTTTTCAATGGCCCTCGACAAAGGGTTGTTTGATTTCTCGTGTGATCTTGTTTGCATAGTGGTGTTGAAATCGCCGCACTCGCTCCAATCGGTTGAAGCCCTGTGCCAGGAGTATGAGAAAAGAGGCCTTGTCACGGAACTGGTGTCGATGCTTGAAAAACTGCTCGCTTCGGCTGCTCAACACTCGGCAAAGAAAACGCTAACCTCGATGTTGTGTCTTGTCAAGCTCAAATATTACCCAGACACGTTCTTGGATTGTTTGCAAAGCTCCAGTTCGGCATGCGTTGACTTTTCTTGGCTCACCGAGAAGATTGTGGCTGTTTTCCCGGATGCCGTTTGTGTTTATCAGAAAATCGGCCTGTTTTTCTGGTCCAACACCCCTTCCAAGGCGTTGGAGTATGTGTTCAAGTATCCCGCTGTGCTGTCCATACATGATGACCTGCTTAAAACAACATATCCAAGGTGTGTGCGCCAGCTCGCTTCTGACGACGACATGATGGAAAGAACGTTTTTGTTGCATCTTTCGCTTTTTCCGCGAGACGTGTTTCGCTTTTTCAAGGAAATCCCGCTCTCCCAAAACAGCATTCAGAAGATCTTTGCAAAGATAAATTCGTCCAACCAGCTATCGATGGCACCGTGCTTTGAGCTCGTTCAGCACTATCATGAGCGCTATGATGTTGAATCGATTAACAGCATATTCCACGACATGTGTCTCAAAAGGTGCGACTACAAGTCCATTGAAAGCTCCATCAACTCAAAGTCAAACTTCAACAAACAAGCCTTGCTCGACACACTCGCCAGCATTTCTACCACGGAGTGCACGTTTTTGTCCGGGTGTCTTTACCTTAAAATGGGGCTGCATGCCAAGGCTTTTGAAACCTTTGATCACATCCACTGCACTTCTGCCATCCTTTTATCGCTCAAGGCTTCCAGGTGCACCGAGCTTGTGCTTCAAGCGCTCGAGGTTTTCCATAAAAGAAATCACATCTCGACTTTTACTTTAACTCTGTTCCATTGCTTTGATTTCACTCCCTTCCATTCGCTGCTATCTCTGATCTGGCTGAACGCATCGTACTCTCAAGCCTTTCTTGATGCCTCTTTCCCGCTGATCATTGCGAAAACACATGAACTGGAGTGCCATTTAAATAAACAAAGTACTAACTAGCTGATTTGAACATTTATCGTTTGTGTACATAAATAAAATCCCAGTCGCATCAAGTCTGGCTGTCCAATTCGCCATCTTCGTCGTCATCTTCAGATGCGCAGTGGCCGGGCCAGTCGATAAATAGCGATTCTGGTATAAAAATTTTCGAGCTTGGCAATTTGAACGGATCAAATGGGAAAAAGTTTTCAAGAGACTCCAGGGCTTTCAGCTGGGCAGAAATTGTGACCGTGTCCTCCGTTAAAAAAAAGTCCATCATCAATGGCGAGGAGCAACAGGGTGCCGTTGCGCTCGGCATCGGAGAATTGGGCCTTGAATTTGCGGGTGTCAAAATGGCGGCTTTCAATCCGCTTTGGTCGCTCGGAGAGAGCTCCGGATACCAGGCCTCAACGATTTGCAAAAATTCCGCCGAAATGGTGGACAAGATCGAAGCCAAAGGGCTTAAACAACCATTACACATCAGCTTTGCCAAGTGTGGCTTCAGATCACGGCATGAGATGTCTTGCATTGCATCTTCCAAAAGGGCCTCTTCGTGGCGAAAGCAAAGGATGTAAAAAATGGCTTGCGATACGGAAAAAAAAATCGAATGCTTATATGCGAATTGGGCCTTTGAAGTTGCCCCGATCGGCTCTTTGCATGCATATCCTTGTCTGCAATCTGGGCATCCATGGTTTCGAATGTACTTTCCTGCCCAGCATAAAAGGTATAGCAAACATTTTCTAACGGTCTTTTTTGGGATAAACTTGGCCCGGGCAACGTACCCGCTGATGTAGCATGCAGAGGATAGCCTCAACGCATCGAAGGAGCCCGACTTCAAGCACTCTTTGGAAGGCCTACAGCCGGCTCCAGAGGAAAGCTTCAACGTATCAATCCAAGAAGCTGTGGAGTCGCAAAAATACTGGCCCCCAGCCCCCTTGAAAGACGAAATAAGGGTGGATGATGAATTGGAAAGCGATGAGCTAGAAAGGCGATTGATCAACACGCCCAAGAAATAATCGGGGAACCGCTCATCAAGACTTGTGATGTAGAAGAGAATAAATTGCGTATATCTCGACCTCATTGTGGGCAGCACCACCTTTTCAAAAATCACAAGCAAAGAAATAAAGAGATTTGCAAACGACACCTCAGTGTCTTCCGATTTGATTCTTTCAATGAAACTGAATACCAAAAGAAGACACGAATCAAGCCGAGCAATCAGCGCTTTAATGGTCGCTATCGAATCAAACGAGTTTAAAGCCACCGGGGAACAATCTTCATCTACATCTTCGCTGGGTCGTTTTCGGTGCATAAGATCGCCATCGTACTGTTCAGCGTCATCGCTTGAATGGGAGGCATTCTGTTCGGCTTCAGAGCCCTCAAGAATGTTGCTTTCCAAGTGCTCAAAAAGATCATCCTCCAACTCATCGACTTCTATTTGAACCTCGACATCGATCTGGATGATCTTGGAAATCAACAACTCAATAAGAGAAGGACGGATTTCAGGCCAGTAATGGCAGATTTTTATGCACTCAGACAAGTAGCAGCTCAAATAGTCGTGAGAATCTATCTGCCGCGGGTGGGGGAAAAATTCGTTGATAAAAGGCAGGATTGACGCCTGTAGCATCGGAATCATCTTGATCAGAGGCTTGATGACACTGTGGATTCTTTGTGATAGGACATTCACTCTCGGCGTTTCGGAAACACAAGATGATCCTGCAAGGGTGGAAATCGTGTAAAGAGACCCAACAATCGACTCCAAAACAGGGCCCAAATGCGAAAGAAAGGCTGAAAGGATATTCAACATCCAATCCGAAAATCTTGTAAAAAAGATCGAATATGAGGCCTCAAAAAGCGCCGCATTTGAGTCCGCTTTGGGCTCAAACCGTATCCAGTTTGTATGTAAAATGGTCTTGATCAAAAGAGAATGCTTCGGCGAAAGCTTGAAAATGAACGTTTGATTCAGATGCTCAATGAAGCTAGAAAAGATGTTCAAGGTATCTACACCAATCATGATGCTGCTACTGGAATATGTCTGCTCCAAAATGTCAATCATACAAAGAATCGAGTCTGGAGCTCCACGTTCATACTCATCAAAGGCTTTCGTAAGAAATGGAAGCGAAAGAACGCCTTGAAGCGTCGGGCCTTGGTCTATGGTTGGAGGGACCGAGCGACAACGAGCAATGTCTTCAGAATGGCCAGCAGAGGAAGCGGGCGGAGGCGCAGAAGATGGCCTTACCTCATGCTGCATCATAAATTTAAAAGCCTCAAATCTCGAAAGCTTTAAATTTTAATTAATTCGGAAATGTCGCCTTTTCGCGAAAAGTCCATTGCAATCATCGTGCCACCCCACCAACCTTATTTTAATGCGGTGATCAAATTACGGCAAGCAAATGCACCGCTTGCCAAAGAAAAGAACCAAAAATTGCCAAAATCAGGGCTCACAATTTATTTACTGTTAAAAAGCGTTTATTTGTTAAGAATAACACCGTCAAACTAGATATCAGTGAAAAGGCAAAAATTACCGTATCCTTATACCAGGCAATGGCATCGCTGGTCGAGACGCGATGAGTAGTGTTGATGGATTTTGTGCAACACTTGCGGCGAGACACACGAGATCCAGGTCGTGCAAGGACAACAAAAAAGTCCATACCATAAATACCGATCAAAGGATCATATTTGAGACCAAGGTCAATATGTTCTTGGATACCGAATCCAAAGTTTCCGGTGGACGAAAAGTTGGATTTTTTCAGCTCATACTCTTTGACCTTGAGACCACGTTCAAGGATCTCCTTGGCTTTTGGACCGCGAACGGTAACGTGAACGGCAATCTTTTCATTGCGGCGAATGGAGAAGGAACGGACAGTATAACGAGCTTTTGAGTAAACTGGGGTCTGACCAGTCAATTGTTCAAGGACTTTGGCGGCCTGGGTGAGGCGATCTCCAGATTCTCCAACGCAAATGTTCAAGCAAAGCTTGTCGATGGATATCTCGCGCATTGGGTTTGAGGCCTTCTTTGTCCCTCCGTTAGTAGACTACAAAGGTTAGCAAAATTCGGCCACACACGAGCGTTAAATGATGGATGCAATATGATGAGTTAAGCTCAACGGAAAGTCCTTACCATTTATGAAGAAAAACAACAAAATTCAACCCTACACTGTGGTAAATTTTACTTTTTCAAATTTTTCAATATGTTAAATTCAGCCAAAGCCGAAACTGATACTATTAATAGCCATGTCACCTCCTCAGCCAACATGGAAAATATATCCGAAAATATCCACGCAAATATACCCGAAAATATATCCGAAAATATCCTGTTGACATCAAAATGCATCCTCCCCGACAATCCAATAGAGGTCAACGGCTACGATTTTAATGACGGTCTCAACTGGAATGCTTTTTTTAGCTCGTTTCAGACAATGGGATTCCAGGCATCCCTCTTTTACGAGGCGTGCAAAACTGTAGACGAAATGGTCAGTAGACATTTTAAATTTTAGATTCAAAAAAAAAAGGAAAATCCCTCTTTTAAGCTGTTCCTCGGATACACATCTAATATGGTCTCGTGCGGTAATAGAGAGATCATCCGGTTTCTTGTTGAACATAAGCTTGTCGACGTTCTTGTCACAACTGCCGGCGGCATTGAAGAGGACATTATAAAGTGTCTTGGCCCAACTCTTTTGGGCGAATTTGAAGCCTCCGGAGAGAACTTGAGGGCCAGAGGTCTCAATCGGATAGGAAATCTGCTGCTACCCAATTCAAATTACTGCGCCTTTGAGGAATTTCTTAATCCCATTCTTGATGAATGCTTGGACACCCAAGTTCGGGTCGTAGGAGAGGATGCAGACACTGACCTCAATCTCGACAGAACTCTATGGACGCCTAGCAGGTTTATACGGAAACTTGGAGAAAAAATTAACAATTCTTCCTCCATTTATTATTGGGCCTACCGGAATGACATTCCGGTATTCAGCCCGGCCCTCACAGATGGCTCAATTGGAGATATGATGTTCTTCCATTCCATAAAGAGAGGAGGCCTTGTACTAGATATAATTCAAGACATCAAACTGCTCAATGGAATTGCCATAAAGGCCGAAATGACTGGCATAATTATTCTGGGCGGCGGGATCCCTAAACATCACATTTTCAATGCGAATCTTATGGTACTTTCATCTTCTAACTTTTGCAGAGAAACGGAGCCGACTATGTTGTCCTCATAAACACTGGAAACGAGTTTGAGGGGAGCGACGCTGGAGCCAGTCCGGACGAAGCCAAGTCGTGGGGAAAGATCAAGGCCGCTGCTCGTCCAATCAAAGTACATGGAGAGGCCTCGATACTGTTTCCTCTTTTGGTTGCTAATACTTTTGCAAAAACAATTAATTTATAAAATTTTAAATTATCCGCAAAACATAGAAAGTTGACTACTATGTGTAGGACTGGAATTGGAATTAGGATAAGGAGAATTGTATTTTGCAATGATTCCGAATAGTGTTTACATACATGCCATTGTCAGGTCCTTATTGTTGAGATAGTTTCTTTTCCAGAAACATAGACCGCGCCTTTTCTACGGCGGCAGCTTTTCGTTGCTGTAAACTTTGATGGCGGAGTATGGGGTCGTCATACCATGTATGGTCGGGCTGATTGGTTGGATGGAACTTGCTATCAAGACCAGTGCCTTGATAGGCTTTGGTGTTTTGAGACTCTCTTTTTGCATTCATATCAAGCAAGGTTGAGATTGTTTTTTCGAGAGACCCGGAACTCTTCATCAACAACGCCCTTAATTGCTCCTCTTGCAGCGACGGAAACATTCGACAAAGAGTCTCTAGGGAGCGCTCAAATTCGGCGGGGTTGGCGTTGTATGTGGTGTTTCCGGCTAAAATAAAAGCTCAACACGCCATACATACCTGAGTTGATTATTTTAGCAGCCAAAGTATATACAGCAACGGTGGCAGCAATAAGCAGGGGAAAGATAAGAATAGTCTCCATGTTGAAAAATTCAACGCCAAATTATTTTATTTAAATTTAATTTACTTTACAAATGTCGTCCATCACCACCGAGCCAATTGATGCTCGTCGCCAGAGTGCCCTTCTTAGCTATCACAAGAGATTGACCGAACTTCGACAGAACGAAAACACCCTTAAAGAGCGTAAGTGCATTGCTTTTCCCTCCACCATAGAGAGACTTGGATTAAAGAAACTTTCGTCCGATTTTGAAAAGAGTGAAAACGATATCAAGGCCTTGCAGTCGGTCGGACAAATCATCGGGGAAATCATCAAGTCGCTAGACGCAGATAGATGTAAGCTCGGTTTTGTGACCACATCGTAGTTATTGTGAAAGCGAGCAGTGGTCCTCGCTATATTGTCGGCTGTCGCTCCAACATTGACAGAAACCGCCTTGTTTCAGGATGCCGTGTTTCTCTTGACATCACCACGCTTACCATTATGCGCATTTTGCCTCGGGAGGTTGATCCTTTGGTCTTCAATATGACAAACGAGCACGAGGGTCCTGGCGATGTTTCGTTTGCCAGCGTCGGTGGGCTTGCCAACCAAATTCGGGCATTAAGGGAGGTCATTGAGCTTCCACTTCTGAACCCAGAATTGTTTCTTAGAGTTGGAGTAGCTCCTCCCAAGGGCGTGTTACTTTATGGACCTCCAGGAACCGGAAAAACATTGCTCGCTCGAGCCGTCGCTGCTACACTTAACGTTTCATTTCTTAAAGTGGTGGCGAGCGCCATTGTGGACAAATATATTGGAGAGTCTGCCAGAATTATCCGTGAAATGTTTGGTAAGACATTGATTCCAATCCGGTAGATTATGCACGAAACCACGAGCCTTGTATTATTTTTATGGATGAAATTGATGCAATTGGCGGCCGCCGTTTTTCAGAAGGCACCTCTGCCGACAGGGAAATCCAAAGGACACTCATGGAGGTATGCTCGGTGTAACGCTAACGCCAAGTTATTGAACCAAATGGATGGGTTTGATGTTTTAGGCAAAGTGAAGGTCATTATGGCGACAAATCGACCCGATATTTTGGATCCTGCTCTTTTACGTCCTGGCAGACTTGATCGCAAAATTGAGATTCCCCTTCCCAACGAACAAGATCGATTGGATATCCTAAAAATACACGCGGAAAAGATGAACAAATCGGGCGAGTTTGGTAACATAACCCTTGTTGGTTGATATTAGATTTTGAGGCTGTTGTAAAGTTGGCCAACGAGTTCAACGGTGCCGATCTGCGTAACATATGCACAGAGGCTGGTATGGTTGCCATTCGTGCAGAGCGAGACTATGTGATTCAAGATGACTTTATGAAGTCCGTTCGCAAGGTTGCTGAAAGCAAGAAACTGGAGTCCAAATTGGAATATGAAAAATTGTGATTTTTAATGGAACGCAATCGGCTGAACTGAAATCAAACCAAAAATCAAAGCAAAAATCAAATCAAAATTATTACTTTCAATTTGAAACAATAAAATCGGACCCAACCAAACCCAACCAACACAATGCAGTCCAAAAAATTAATTTAAGATTCACAGCCGTCCCAAAGCAAAAAGTCTATTAATGCCAAAAAATGCAAGGGGCTTTCATAGAATTTTGGGAGCCTTAACGTGGTCAAGACTGCGTTCTGCGATTAATGCCACTTCGAATACTAGACCAAGCATGCGTTTCCTTTCGACTTCTGCTGTGTTTTCGACCGACCATATTCCAGAGCATCTTTCGCCAAGCGGGCGAATATATGGAAAGTTGATTTCGCCGGAAGAAAAGTCAAAATTGATTCTCGAAAGTAATAAGGCGTTCACGGAGAAAGACACCCTTTCTTCACAGATTAGCCGCATAAGGCTAATTAAACAGTACCACCTAGTAGACGACCCAAAGGCTCTGGAAGTAAATGTTGCATTGTATTTTTCACTGAGATCGATACCTTTTTCGGAAAAAATTTCCCTTTCCGGAACGTACATTCATTTCCACATGTGCAGATCGCTTATCTTGAATCTTCCCAGATCGCTTATTCTACCGGTGTTCCTTTTTACAATCAATGTTTTACGTACCTTGGTATCGACAGATGGCATCGTCCCTTCTGCTCAAGCCATTTCGACATTACTTTTGGCCCAAGGCGGTGCCCACAGCAACCAAGCGGGGCCTCTTTTGTCAAAGGAGAGAATCAGTGAAATGTTTGGCCTGAAAAAACGAGACATTGAGCTGTTTACTGGCTTTTGTCAAATTGTTTCCGATACCTATGTGGAAACGGGGAGCTTGCTCGAATTTTATTCCATTTCGCTGCTGTTTCACAGGGTATCGCTGTATTATGAGCCGAAAAATTGCACCATCAATGGGCCCTCAAATTGGCTTCAATTTGCCTCTAGTTTTGCCTGCGGAATTTCGCATGATATTGGATTTGACTCTTGCTCATTTGTCATTCCTACTTTGCTGGATGCAATTGGACTTATTCAACAGGTGATCCCACTTGGCTGTGTACCTGGCGAGAAGAGCCGCGATGCTCTGATCTCCATCTATGGCTTGACAACGGCAAACATTATTCTTTTGTACAATTCTGCGCTGCGCCAATTTATTAAGCTTGACTCTTTTGTTCAAGGACGCACCCTTTTTGAGTTCCTAAAGGAGTGTAAGAGCCAAAATCATGCATACGATGCAAGGAAAAAATTGACATCAATACCTTGCTCCCCTAACGTTGAGACGTTCAAGCTTATTTTTTCGCTGTATATGCATGAGGGCGTGGTCTCTGGGAACATAAAAGATGCAATTCACGTGTTGTACACAGGGCTCGAGTTGCTTTCATATCCCCTGGATTTGTGTGTACATGCCACCAAGCTGCTGTTTTACACGCGGTCTTTGGAGGACATTAAAGCCCTTTATTTGAGGGTTAAAGCCGCATCTCCCGAGGTATGTAAACATGTGTTGTTTGAGAACACATTCTTATCTTGTCTGTCCACATCTAAAGGAATCAGTAGCACAGAGAGGCAGTTGGTCCGAGATATCTCTGAAATTGTGCTTTCAAGTTCTGGAAAAACCCAAGCCATACATTCGTCAAACACGTCATTTCTGATCGGCATCTTATACAGATTCAATAGGAGGGCATTGGGCGATTACATTAACCATTTGCCACTGTCCTTTCTCTCGGACTGCCCCATGTTTTTTTCATACCTGATCAAGCTGATGGTTATCGATGCATCGCACAGGCCTTTTCTCCTTTCCCTGTTGAATGAGAGATTTAGAATATTTGACTCATATCCGGAGGGTTCTGCATATATCGACTATCGGTTGGGTGCAATTTCGTCCCTTTTTTCAAGGAACCATCCACAGATTTCTGCTCTTCTCTATTATTGGGAAATCTTTGACAACCGGCAAACAAAACCTTTTGAGGACACCCATGTGACCGGGTTGTCTTTGGTCCTTAAAAAGCCCAAGACCAGTTTGGAAAGACCCATGCTGAGGTCCAGTGCTCACTATTATTTGATACGAACCCTATATCTTGAGGGAAATTCTTCTGGAATATTGGCCTACTTTCTGTACTTTATAAAACGATCGAGGGAAGGTCGCCAAGTCTGCTACGACTGGATTTCCAATCGCACGCTCGACTTTGTCGTGTGGTCTCTTACTAAGGAGCATGAGTGGAATCACCTTTGTCGTCTGTTGAATTATTTTTCCAACTCTGGCGATGGCGGTGGATTTGGCGGCGAACCCATTTCAGACCCATTTGAAGCTTCAAAAACAAATTCCGATGCCATTGGTAATGAAAACTTTGCGCACATGGAGTGTACAAAAAAGTTCAAAGCCCCTCTATTCGTAGGGAGCAAATATTCGATGCTGGTTCCACGGCTTTACCAGCAATTCAAAGATCAAATACAGAAATATCCAGGAAACTCTTCACCAATCCATACACTTTATCCGGGAAACGCCATGTTTGGCGCCGATATCATCCTATCTAGTGAAGAGAAACGCACGTTAAAAGAGCTCTTGGATCGTTATTCTACCGTCAGGGAGCTTAGAAAGGATGTTCTTGGAAATGGCCTGCATTTTCTTCATCTGAACTGCAACATTGGGGCATATTTGAGGTCAATCCTAAGCATTCCAGCAATTTTTATCGACTTTTGCGAGCAGATGGAAAAGCATCACAAAGAGCTGCATTCTCATTTGGCATGAAATTGAGCAAATGATTTCCACAATTATGGCATCTTTGATCGCAATCGGCTGTACATTTTAATCCTTTTTCCGCTCGTAATTTATCAAAGTATGACGAGTGGAGCAAAGAGGGAAAGAGGAGGAGGAGGAGGCAGATTATTTATTAAATTTTAAGAATAAAAAGAATTAATTTATGAGCCATCCTGAGGACCTTGAACAACCGACAGCCTCCCCTGCTTATGCAAGCTCGTTCGAACAAGTGGAACTACCGCAAATAGCTGTTCCGGATAGGTATCCTAAATCTAGGGTGTCTTGTTTTTGATAACTTTTGTAGTTGTCGCTATTGAAAGTGCCGCCGTTCATGACACTTGAGCCACAGGCTTATGAAACGGAGACTCTTCAGCTCCAAGACGTCACACAATTCGAAGAAGAAGATCAGGCTGTCGCCTCTGCACGTGTGGCTTCCACTGTGCGTTGGAAACTCGCCAAGGACATTGCCCACGTCTCCGATTTTACATACAAGGTTTGGAGTACCTGTTTACCGCCGCTAGGTTTGATGGTGCGTATTTCTAACATGGCATCAGGACATGCTATCCAATGCCAATCTTGTGCAGTGGTCCGACAATTCATACTCAATTGCAATTGGGTCCGAAATTTACGATCTGAACATCCATCCGGTGGGGAATGAAGAGCATCTTCATATTTTTGCGCAGCACCAGGCTGCGTTGTTGATGGAGGATGTTGGCACGATTACAGAGAAAATGTATCTTCGCTCAATTAGCGCATCGTCGTCGTCGTCGTCTTCGTCGCTCACAAGCCGTATGGCCAGAGCCCATTCGGAGGCAAAGGTGAAGATGGCGTTCATGCCTCAGGATCCAGAGGCAGCCCGTGTCGAGCTGGAAAAGGTTATTTCTGGATTGTTTCTAATGTCAGGTTGCCTTGGAAAAACACAGGCTTCGCCAGAAACAGGAGGCGGAACAAAGGAAATACGAGCAGCGGCAACTGAAAAAAGAGACATCAACATATCGTACTCCACATCTTACAAAAGATTGGCTTGAAAGTGATGGGGCTAAGAAGAGAACGGCCCGTCAAAAAGAGGATGACGGGCATGACGTTGAGGACGATGAAGACGAAGACGAAGACGAAGAGGATGAAGATGTGGAAGATGATGAAGACGAAGAGGATGAAGAGGATGAAGAGGATGAAGAGGATGAAGAGGATGAAGAGGATGAAGAGGATGAAGAGGATGCGGAAGAGGATGCGGAAGAGGATGAAAGCGACTCATCCGAAGACGAATCGTTAGAAAAACGCGATCTACCCAGACGGAGGGCCGTACTGAGCGATGATGACGATGAACGCTAGTTATGTTATATATTTGCGTATCCAAAATGGAAGAAAGATCAAATAAATGTGGATATCAAAATTTTGTCTCCTTATACACAGCTACGAAATCGGGGCATTCTTAAAAGGCGATCAAAGGAGCCAGATATTCTGGATCTTATGCTGAATGGCTAATAAATCGAACACCATCTGGTTTCGATGTGTAAGTGCAGCTCGGTTTCTGTTTAATAGTTATATTTCTCGCAAAAATCGGCGTGGAACTTCTGTAAAGCCCCGGTGAATTCGGAAAAGAAGGACTCCTCAGGCAGAAAAGTAAATCGCAAATGGTATGTGTTTGAAGCTTGACCAAATCCAGACCCATTGACAGTGCACTATGAAGTCATAAAAAACAAATACAATTCCGGTTGCTCTCAAAAGCTCCAACGCATACAAAGTGTCGGGTTCCAATTCCAAGCGCCGGGCCTCCTTCAGAAACGCTTTTGGAAATGAAAATTTGGGGAACAAATAAAGAGCTCCCTGAGGCCTGGCACAAGTAACCCCTTCCATTTTATTAAGCGCCTCTGAAAGCATTTGTGCCCTTCTTGCAAGCGATTCTAAAATTATCAAAGCACCATTTACCTTTGATTGCCGTGATTTCCTGGACGTGTTTCTCATATTCACTGTCCGCATCAGGCGTTAGGGGATCAACCATCAGGCCCAGCATAACTTGGCCATCGATCGCTGAGCAAAGGGAAATTGACATAAGCTTGTAAAACTGGCTCAGGATTTCTTGGTCAATGTTTGTGCATGCGACATATCCTCCCCGCTTTCCGCACTCGCCAAGCAATCCCTTTGACGTGGAATGGAACGAAAATATTTCCACAGCATCCAGAAGAGCCGGATTTTTACGCGAAGCCGACAAAAGCGCCTTTCTGGCAGAGCAAAATTGTACCTCAGAATCCCAAACATTGTTCTGATAAACCTCATCGGAAAGCAGCACTAGACGCTCATTCAGACAAAATTCGATGATATCTTCCAGATCTGCACAGGAGAGCACATTTCCTGTTGGGTTTCCTGGATTGATGATACAAAGAGCCCTCACATCGACTCCGCGCCCTCGTGCTTCGGTCAATGAGGTTTTTAGAGCTTCAAGGGAAAAGGTCCATCGGCCAAATCGCTCCGCTGGCTCCTGCAGCGAATAAAAAACCGGAACGCCATGTAGCAGAGAAATGGACGCAGAATAGAGAGGATATTGCGGCTTCGGGATTAATACGCCGACCGAGCGATCGCTAATAACCAACGAAAGCACGGACTGGATGGCAGATGACGCACCATTTGTCAGGAAAATATGGTCTGGATCGCACGAAACGGAGGTTTCATCTGGGGCTGTCGAGAACGAGTCGCGCTTTTCAATAAAGGACGCAATCAGTTTTCGGATGAACAGGTGCCCTTGTGAGTGCGAATATGCGCCCATACTGTTTTTTAACTGCGAGCGATAAAAAGACGCTCGTTCATATACGGCTGGAGCAAATAGATCGGATATCTTTTTGGCATTTGAAGTGCCTCCAAGCGCATCAAAAGACTCCATCAATGCAACAACCTTTCGATAAAAGGAAATCGGGGGCTGATTGAGGGCCTGGGGATTGCCAACGTTGCAGGGCAAAATGCGCTTAAACGGCAAGTTTGAATTTCCGGCTTCCAAAAGCCTCTTGAGCCTTTCGCTCTCAATGGCTATCTCACCTCGTACTGCATATTCTGAATGAAGGATGCCCTGTGAGAGCTTTGAAGGGATAAGAACACGTCCTCGTTTTAATGTCATGTTTTTTCTTCAAGTTCTAAGCGCTCAAAGATCACTTTGATGAGAAATCGTAGCTTTGGGTGATGTCGCCAATGATTATGTGTGTGAGTGCAAACCAAAAAAGGACAATATCACACCAATAGCACAATTTTAAATTCATTAAAAGGTGGCAAATACCCGTTTAATTTGGCTGCCAACGGAGTCCTGAACTTTTAAAGCTCCCAGTGATTAATTGTTTTACATCACGAGCCAAATTGCAATTTATTTAGTGAAACATTTGTCATAGTTACGGTGAAAATGGCTCTCCCTCATACTGTGGCCGCGGCTGTCATCATCTCCGACTGCATTGACGAGAATGCGCGCGTCAGGCAGCAATGTAGATTTGCATCTCTGTTTAGTATCGAACCGTCCTATATTGGAGTGAGCTCGACACACCCGGAACTAGAGGCGGCCGGTCACTTGGTTGACGTTCTTGATGCCCATCGCCTAATGACACCGTCTTCGAGCGGAAATTCGACGCCAATCCAATCTTCGCTGTCGAAGCTTGCAAATGCCTCGCACAATCAAAAAGATGCCTCCTCCCCATTCACTGCTGTGATTATTGTTAATGTCGCGCCCAGGACGGAATCCATCAAAAAGCGATGGGGAAATGGGCCACCGTTCTGCTTTTTCGCAATTAGCGGCGTCCTTGTTGTCAGCACGTATTCCCAGCTTATTTTGTCGCTATTGTTTCGGATTCTAAAAAGGGAAAACAATGCCTCGCTGCCTCAAATTCACGTCATGAAAACGCAAGCTGTCATTCAGCACGCTGCAAATCAGAATTGGATCCCACTTGACGAGGCCAATAGAATTATCAACACCCAATTCAGGTCCTATGAGTTTGTCCCGCTCGCTGCGTATTGGATAGTTACACGAGGAGGCTCCAGTGCCATCCCACATGACCTGGCCTCGATTTTGGAAAAAGAAGGTCAAGACCAGTGTGAGCAGGAGCATCAAGAAGAGGGTAAAAGAAATAATCAAGCAGACGATAAGAGTCTAAACCCATTCATTTGGTTTATCGACAATTTTGGAAATTGCAAGACTTCTCTTCTGCCAGAGGACATTGATTTTATGGAAAACAGGATTTACTCTGTCACGCTAGAAAACAACCAATCATTAATCATCAAAGCCTGCGGCATCAAGAGGCTATCAGATGCTGTCCCATTGGTGCCAACTGTTCTCGTTGGTTCATCTGGATATAAGAATTACCGGTTTTTAGAGTTGGTTATTAAAAACGACAATTTTTCCAACAAGACTAGAGCCTCAATTGGCCCCTTTTCCATTTCTTTGGATACTTAAGGCATCCACCTTAGACGAGCCAACCATTGATTGGCCGAGAGCCTTAACACAGTGATCAATTTTGAGCATAAATTTTTTTGCTTATTGGTACTAGATACTAAATTTTAATGATGTAAGTGCATACGGCAGAAACAGATCCAATGATCAGGTGTAATATTCCAGTAGCAAGGCACACATAGGCGAGAACTTTTCTCATCGGCTTCTCGTCGATAAGGCCTTTTTCCATGCATTTTAAGGAGCACAGAGCAGGAATGGTAAACAAAATTGATGATCCCGATATTGGGACGAAAAAGTCAAAAACAGCCAGCACGGAAGGAAATAAAATTGCACACATGCAAGAAATAAATACAAGAATACCAGCTTCAATGGTATGCCTTTGGTTCTTTGCATTGTCAAATTTTTCTTCTAAAAGATCAATTTTCCCTCGTGGAAAATTGGTGGACCCTAATGACGATGGCGGAGCTGCAGAAATCTTTTTGAAAGCAAGTCTCCGGTTGTCGATACTTTTAATGACCTCTCTGATTAACCAATCTAAAGACAACCTTGCAGGCCAGTGGATAAGAGGAAAAGTAACAATATTTACCAGCACGACAAGGATTTGAGCTAGCAGATAGAAAGGATTTTGCTTGAGCAAGATGTAAGAAATAGAGTCTTCACATGCAGAGCCAAAGTGAAGATATCCAAACGTAGTCGTCAAAATGTAGAAGGTAACAATGACAAATTGACTGCGAAATAGTAATTTTGAGCGACGAGATGCTGTAGGGCTTTCCATCTCTGAGATCAGAGGAAGAATTGAGGGGTGATTGATGTACGCCAGCATGAACGTATTAAAGGCAGACATCAAAGCAAGGCTAAACTTGAAGTACGAAATATTTGACGAGACCAATCCGAGGCCGGGGTAGATTCCAACAAGACCCCCGTTAATCCAAGAATCGTAAAAATAGTCAAAAATCGTCAGGAGGGAAAGGTAAGTAACGCAAATCAGCCCCATCACAGAGACAAACGAGAGTTTGGACAAATTTTTCAAAAGACAAAGCGGCAGAATCACAAAAAACGAAAGGATCACCGTAATGATTGTGGGATTGACGAAAATAGAGTGTGAACTTACCCCCAAGGACATGATAAAGTTGTACGCGAAAATTCCGTTAAGCTTGATGTACGCAATCATTGGGGTGAATAAAAGCAACAGCTGCAAAATGACGATCGACGTTTCCACAGACTTTCCATAACACCTGCTGGAGAGCGAGATGTAATCAGAAACGCCAAGTGTACTCATTTGTGACAAAAGAAGCTGCGGAACAAATGTAACCGCTGCACAAAAGACAATCAGCACAAGTCCAAGTATAAGGCCACAATGGTTCATCGCCTTGGGTAGGAAAATCATACCACACCCTATGGTTGTTTTGACCAAATTATAGCCAGTACCGGAAAGCGAATTTAGAGGTTGCTTTTCCTGGATCAATCGTTGAGATGCAGAAATTTCGTCTGTATTTGGCTGCTTAAACTGCGGAGATGATTTTACTGCAATATTGCTGGCTCGAGCGGGCCCTTTCTCGACATCAAGTGAAGGCATTAAACCAAGATGTATTGTTTTTGAAATTATTAACGATGAGCCAATACATTTAGCGGAATGAGTAATTTAATGACTAGTCTTAAATTTTAATTGTCGTGACACATCATCACTTGAGCCCCAACAATCCTTACAAAACGAACACTTTACAGGGCTAGTAAAATATTTAACGAGGGGGGGGGGTACTTTTTAATTAATATTACAAGCTACTCTGGTGACTAAATAACATTTCCATCCGCAGATACACGCTGAGGCAGGCTGACTGCGTTCTTCCGCGCCTGGGCAGCCAGCAACCGTTCTGAACATAAGCTAGCATAAACTTACCGGCAGGAGATCCATGCCTCTCGCCAGGAGAGTCCTTCTTAAAAGCATAGCTAATTGACAGGGGCTTGTTGCACAAAAACTGATGGTTCATGGTTTGAAGGGCCAGGTCGGATGCCTCGAAGGTATCAAACGAGATGAATCCAAACCCTCTGCTCGCATTCGAATCCGGCTCCCTGGCCACGTTTGCAGAGAGGACATTTCCAAAAGAGGAAAAGGTATCATAAAGCATTTTCTCGTCAACCTCTGAATCGAGATTGCCAACAAAAAGGTTCGCACCGACGTCCAGGTTCCTTTTGTCGGCAGATGCCTTGTTAACACGAATTGAACGCCCATAGAGCTTGATCATGTTCATTATACGAATTGCATAATCTGCATCTTCTTCGCACTCAAACTCGACAAATCCAAAGGATTGATGTGTCTGCGAAACTCTATCCTTTGGCAGCTTTACACTGGTCACAGGTGCAGCCTGGGCAAACAATTCCCACAACAGGGATTCGGTTACTTTTTCATCAAGATTACCGACGTAAATGGTTGCCTCTACGTATGAAGGCTTTGGAAAAAATACCTTGGTTGCCCTCTGCACCGAGACCCAGGTACGTGTTTGGGTCAGAGCTCATGTGAAAATCAAATCAAGCAAAGTAAATTAAATGAAATCAAAGTAAATTAAATTAAATGAAATCAAAATTAAATTAAATGAAATCAAAGTAAATTGAATTGAATTTGTTCGTTGCAATATTTAATGAATGGTGGGGACAAGGAAAATAGCTTTACCCGCGGTCTGGTTTCAAATGTTGTAAAACAAAAAAGCGTCAATTCGGAATTTTGCCCCGATTACAATGGATACGTCGTACACTTCAACAAGATTCGGCCAGTTGAGACTTTCCTCTTGGACATCGAAAGCCACGATGGAAATCTCGTGTCCAAAATATTAGTAAACAATTCATATGTCCCCCTGTCTGCAATCTTTTTAAGACTGATCGAAGCTTGTTCAAAGAAAAAATACCTTACCAGCAAGGATGTGTATTTTTGTATTTCCAAGCTAGCAAAATACAATTCTGACGCACTCTCTTTAATCACCATAGGTATAATTTCGCAAATCGATACAGGCGCCTCTACATCTTGCCCGCAAAAGTGCAGATCGTTGATTGTCCACTGCAAAGAAGACTATCAAGTTGGAATCATGGTGTTTTTCAAAGGAGACCATAAGCTGCTAGAAGTTGGCCGCGAAATCGCCATCATAAATCCGCTGCTTATTTTTTCGACCGGAGCTACGCTTCGATATGAGCAGCAGGTATGCAATTTTACAAGGTCGGTATGTTTTTTAATTTGTAGCCCGCTATTAAACATTGCCTTTTACGTTGGCAATATTAAAAGGTCTGCTCTATTTCTATCAAAGCACGATGGGATGAAGTATTGTTGCTCCAAGACCCCGTGTTTGGTGCCGCTATTTGGTAGGAAGGATTCAGAAAATGCATATTGCAGCATACATTTGGCCGAATCGATTTCTCGGAAGTTCGTGCGTATCAGACCTGATCTGGCTGCTGGCCATTCCTGCCTTCTTGATCCAAACTCAAAGGCGCTAAAGGCATCAATTGAAAAATTTGATGCCAGAGTCATTCTAAAGGAGCTGCTTTTCGAATTTCCAATGTCATCCAGAAAAAATCTGGTCAAGTTGGTTGGCATGGAAATGCCCTGTATTCACAAGGACAGGGTACACAAAAAGTCATCGCCATCAATACCTATGAAGAAAGACCCAGCGGGTCCGACGCACCAGGAAGGTTTGTCGAACCCTTTGGCCGAAATTGTTAGCATTTCGCAAGCCGAATCTCGCAAGAGATCCTTTATAGAGGATGCCATTTCAAAGACCAAAGCAGCTCCGGTTCTAGGAAGAAACTGGATGCAAAATAAATAGATTTATTTAAGCCTTTTATTATCGCACCGGTTGAAGAGAGACAACGCACTATGAGGCCCTTTCACTGTCATCTTCTTCAGAATTGTCTTCATCGCCAGAAACTTCCGCGTTTTCTTGCTCTGCGCGCTTCATCATTGCGTCAAGCTCCAAATCGTCAACGTCAGAAACAACTCTAGGATTCATTTTCACATTTAACATCCCACCGAAGGAAACGATCTTTTCCGAAATCTTGGCTATCGATGCAGCCAGTAGCTCCAAACCTTGGATTTTGTCAAAACAGTTTGTGAAGATCACATAAAGAGGCGGGGCAACGAGCTTGATTTTGATGGGAATCTGTTCCGTGGAAAGCGTTTCTCCTGCGCGAAGGGCTTCCTTTATGGCCTCTATTCCTTCGAAAGTATAGCACATGACCTCAATATCGGCTCTGATTTTCGCCTTTTGAGGCAATAAGCGGCGATTGATATTGACAAGGATATCGTCCAGAACCTTGGCATCGAGGCCATATGGATTTTCGGGGCCCCCGAAAACGCGCTCTGGCTCCTCAATGGCCAGCTTGAAGGCATCATAAGCATGTCCAAATTGTTTATAAAGGGGCCAACCAAGCTGTTCGTACAGAGATTCCGTCGAGATGGAATGCTTTTCGGAGATGTTTCTCATAATTGTATGAACGGCCTTGCTTTTTAAGAATTTCTCTTCACATTTCTGTACCTCTTCTGGGGAAACTCTGCGCTTGCTGAGATCGATATAGCCCTTTTCTTTATCCACCCGAAGAACAACGACAACCTCGTTTCTTCCAACTCGAATCAGTTTTTGGATGGAGCGAATCCTTCTGCGAGAAAGCTCGGAAAGAAGAACCATGCCCTCGATGTTATTATATTCCAGCAGGGTCACATAGGCACCCATTTCTGCAATTTGACGCACGTTGACCATAACGAGATCATCAACCTCAGGGTATTTGTTCTCGTACATTCTACAATCATACTTGTCCCTATCAACATTGATTTTAGAGATCGAAGTCTTAGAGATGGAAGCAGACGAAGTTGAAGCCTGAGCTGGAGTTGGAGAGGATGAAGATGAAGGCATTTAAAATGGAATTTAAATAAATTTATTTTTTGCATAAAAATTTACTTGTTCCAAACGGGGAGGGGGTGGCGACAGACTAATGGTGTATCGGCAACACCTGGTCAAAATAATTACTTTTTGAAATTTAATTAAATAACAGCTATTGCGGAGGGGACATCATCTTTAGTAAATTAAAAATTTCAAGCACTAATGAGCCTTTCTCCCCCCGAATCTTGTGTAGATGAATCGGAACTTTCCTTTTACGATACATCTTCGTGTGCTCCCGTGTTCAGTTGCATCAATATTTTGCAAAATTCTTCGGGATCTCTTGTAATATGCATAATTTATATCGCCATTATTTGCTAGATTGTCCATTGTGGCTTCCTAGACAGGCTCCAGAGTCTGTTGGGCGTGTCTTTTTTTGTTGATGACGATAGATTATCCAACCTCCAAGTATGAGCGCCTTTCGTTTATATAGACTCTTATCCAACAACTTGGCATCAAAGAATTGTGCCTGATGTCTGGGTTTAGGGAAGCCATATTGCCTGTTAGCACCATTGAGTTTGTGTGCCAAAATGCCGACATCAAATTGACAACCTTAAAGACACGAATTTCAGGCAAGTTATCGTGCTTTCATCCATTTGCTAGATGACGAATCAGTAGTGATGGGTTATATCAAAGGCCTATTGTTTGATTGCTCGCAGGCAAGTGCTCAAGGTTTGTTTGCAACACTAACGGTGCAGTTTTGGGCGTTGAGCTTGAAGATTTTCGATGTTTATATGCTCTTTGTCAAGAACTCAAGGTATTGGTTCTCATACAATGACCCTCAGATCAATGAAACGCAATCTAAATTTTCATCTCAAGGATATTTTTACCTGAAAAGATACAACCTTTCCCAATATATGAAGGTAGATGCCACTGCGCTCAAGGCACTTGGGGTTCTTGAAGTTTATCCTCCAATTTCAGGTAGGCCGTACAACCCCATTGTATAGAGAATAAATCAAAGGGATCCCTCTTTGACATCATTGGCACCCATTGTTCTACACTTCAAGGAAAGAGGATGCTAAATGAGTGGTTGAGGCAGCCCCTTTTAGATCAACGGCTGATAAATGAGAGGCTTGACTTGGTTGAGTTACTCCTCTCCTCGTTGGCTTATGTGACCAGGAAAGACCTGAAAAACTACCTTTCATTATTCCCCGACTTATTACGTGCTGTTAAGCGTCTTGAAAGGGGTTCTTCCTCCTTACAAGAAATCGTGCGTCTTCATCAAGTCGTCAAGTCGCTTTCCAAAGTTGTTTATTTTCTATCTTCCTTATCAAATATCAAATCCACCGAGCTTAAAAGCGGCATCGAGATAATTAGATCGCAATTTTTATATCCCCTTCAGGCAACCCAGGTCCAAATTTCTTATTTGTTTAGGAAATTATGAAAAATTTGGAGCCTTTGATCGAGCTGATCGTGAAAACGGTTGATTTAGAAGTTGCAGAAAAGTCGCATGAATATCTTATCCGGCCAGAGATTTCCCCGGATCTGTTCCAACTGGCAGAACGGCGAAAAGCGCTCGACCAGAGATGCCAACTATCATTTGAAGAATTGGACCTACCCTGTGGAGCAGAAATTAAGGGGCCAAAGGCAAAGCTTGAAAGATCGCCCATTTATGGAGATTATATCCGAATCTCGAGAAACGTATCGTTTGCGCCCCGGAAGTTTTATTTTAGGATGTTTCAAACCCGTTGTTTAAAAGATCCGAGTTCATCGAGCTATGTACGCAAAAGAATGGTGTCTACTATACCACACCGTCGCTTTTGGCAACATCCAATGAGCGTAAATCGGTTGTCATAGAATACGCAGCCAAGCAAAACGAGATTGTAAAGTCGCTTTTTGGCGTTGCAGGTGGGCGGACCGCTGCTATTTACTTACCGTAGTTACTTATACGCCTTTGCTTCTTTTGCTCAACTATTTCATTGCCCGTCTTGATGTGATAGTTTCTTTCGCCGAATTATCGACAGTAGTGTCACAGTCTCATCCCTATGTGAGACCCATTTTTAGCGCAAATAATACATCGAGCTTGCGCATCATTGATGGCCGGCATCCATGTGTCGAGAGATACCTGGACCTGTCGTCACCATTTATACCCAACTCTCTTCTTTTGGATAGAGCAACTGATAGTGATAATCGATTTCAAATAATCACAGGCCCGAACATGGGTGGAAAGTCTACATTCATAAAACAGGTTTGCCGTCTTCATATGACGCAGTAGAATGCCTTGATTGTATTGATGGCACACATCGGCTGCTATGTACCTTGTACTCATGCAGAAATCCCTCCCATTGACGCCATTTTTGCGAGAGCCGGTGCTGGGGATACACAACTAAAAGGTATGCTTGCATCCAAACGAAACACACATCTAGGGATATCAACCTTCATGTCTGAAATGCTGGAAATGTCCTCCATTCTACACAGTGCGTCTGCAAACTCGCTACTTATCATCGATGAGCTTGGCAGAGGCACCTCCTCCACCGATGGGTTTGCCCTTGCATGGGCACTTTCCGAGTGAGCCTGTGGGAAGTTTTAATCGTTAGGTTTTTAATTGAAAATGTAAAGTGCTTCACGCTCTTTGCTACTCATTTTCATGACCTGGGAAATCTGGAAAAATGCTATCCAAACATCGTTTCAAATGTGCACGTAAAGGCACTGATATCGGACAGGGATGTGGATGCATTGGAGGTGTCGCTTCTTTATAAAGTTGTCTCCGGGGTTGGCCATGAAAGCCTTGGTATTCACGTTGCACAGGTCGTTGGATTCCCAAGCGAATGCATTAAGGTATCCATTTACGGGATTATTTGGAGATTGCCAAAAAAAAGCTGTCGACCTCGCTGACCGTTGATTCGGAGGAGGTTTCTGAAGTCGTAAAATTCATTGACCATGTAAGGGAGGGTGAGGCCAACCTTTCACTGAGTGATTGTGTCACCATGTATTCCAGTGTTAACGCTGCCTTTTTGCCTCAAGTTAGTTCCTTTATTGAAGGATGAAAATTTAACTTTTAAATTGTGAAAACTTGTACCCTTAAATTGTGAAAACTTGTTTTCAAATCATAGAAGGCCATTGGCTCATGTAAAGTATTCCGAACCAATGTTTTGGTCAATTTTTTTTTGACTGGGCAACTTTGAAAATTGGTTGGTTATCGCCAATAACCTAATGGAAGGGTTTCACATAAAAAGGTCGTCGACTCCCCATTTTGCACATCTAAATTTTGAGGATGGGAAATTGTATCGGACAACATTCTGAAGAGTATATCCGAAATAGGGAGATTGAACAGTCCTTGAAAAAAGATAAACGGGTGCAAGATGACGCCGTAAAACTTTTGTTATTGGGAGCAGGAGAGAGTGGAAAGACAACCATTTTGAAGCAGATGAGAATGATCCACTCGCATGGGTTTACCTCCGAAGAACGGAATGATGCCAGGACACTTGTCTATTCAAATGTGATTGAGTCGATGCAGATCATCCTCACAGCAATGGAACCTTCAAATTTGGATATTCCATTGGAAAATGAAAAAAACGATTCAATGGCTTCTCTCGTTAAGAAGGCAATTCCACCGGTATCTGGCGCACCATTGCCAAGTGCCTTGGGCCAAGCTCTCAAAATCCTTTCCAAGGATGCTGGAGTTAAAAAATGTATGGCTAGGTCTTCCTCATTTCAATTATTGGACTCTGCCCCCTAGTAAGAGGATCGATCAATTTTAACTTTTAGTTTCTTTTCAGAATTGGGGCGAATTTCATCTCCCGATTATATTCCAACTGACCAAGACATTCTTAGGACCAGGCAAAAGTCCACCGGAGTTACTGAATTCAACTTTACAATTGGGGACCTGACATACAAAATGCTTGACGTTGGAGGCCAGCGTTCCGAAAGAAAAAAGTGGATCCACTGCTTTGACAACGTAACTGCAATTGTGTTTCTTGTTGCAATTTCAGAATATGATCAGATGCTGATGGAAGACGAATCGGTCAATAGGATGCAGGAGGCTCTGTCCCTTTTTGATTCAATCTGCAATTCTCGATGGTTTCTGAATACTTCGATAATCCTCTTTCTTAACAAGATTGATTTGTTTCGTGAAAAAATCCAGAAGGTCCCATTGGAAGCTACTTTCCCTATGTATACTGGAGGCCCTGACTTTGATGCAGGATGCAAATTTATGGCAGACATGTTTCTTAGGCTCAACAAGACAGGGCGAAAAACCATCTATCCGCATTTAACATGTGCTACGGACACCACCCAAATCAAGTTTGTTATGAACGCTGTAAATAAGATCATCATTGACAAGCTGCTGCAAGAGGCCGATTTGATATAAAATAAAATTTTATCGTAAAAATTATAACCGAGCGATAGAAATGGACCACATAAAGAGGAGAGAGAGCATACACATGTTGTATCGCTTTTTTAATAATTCCCAAAGCGCTAGGAACCTCTCGATCGCTGCTCTTCTACTGTGCATTTTAAAAGCAAATCCGTGCCAATACATTTTCTATCGTTTTTTTATATCATAATATGCGATCAGCATTAAAATACTACTGTACGGCTGCCTTATGGTGACATACGAATCGCTGAACAGATGTGATATGGTGCATCTTTAACCCCAAAATTGCGTACCTTTAAACCGATTAATTGGAGGGCTCCCGTAAATTTAATTATTGGAGTGATTTTCATTGGCCTGGTAATTTTTTATTATGCGTTCTCATGTCTTCATTCTTCTACTCCTGTTTGCTATAGCTCTCCGGGAAATCGAGTCTCTTTCCTCATTGTTTGAGGAAAAAGTCAATGGTCCGGGTCCAGGAATCTGTTCAATGTATGACGTCTGCGACCCCGGTCGGCGCCTCAATTGCGCGGGATATAAAAAGGCGCCCATTTTGTCTGATGCAAAAACACTCGCCTCAATCAAAGAATGGTGTGGAATTGACATAGTCAATGACCATAAGGGTCATTCGTGCGTCAGTCCTTCGCAGTGGTCTGTGATTGAAGCGGGATTAAAGTTTGCACGGCCTCTTCTTTCTCCTTGCCCTGCCTGTTGGAAGAACTTTATCTCTTTATGGTGTGAAATGTCAGTATCGCCACACCAGTCCCTATATGTGCGCGTTATAGAAACTTCTAAGGCCTCTGGGAGGTGGGGAAAGCCCGTAGCGACTGCGCTTAATTATTATGTGACACCCACCTTACGACAAGGACTCTTTGACTCGTGCGCTAATGTCTCAATGGGAATGACTAATAAGAAAATCTTAGATGTAATGTTTTCCGCAGAGGCCTCCAGGAATCCAGATGTGCTCTTTGAGATGCTTGGAAAGAACTCCACGATGCGATCTCCATTTCTGATCCGGTTCCCTCACTTTGAAGCCGATTCCTTGGAAGAGGAGATGCTGCAAACTTATACCGGCTCAACTAGCCCCTCTCTAACAATGAAAGGAAATCAGGCATGGTCCACTCCAGTTCCTGCTGATGTTTGGCCGTTGAATACGACCATGTTTCCCTGTGACGACCCTGTATATGGCTGTGTCTGTGTAGATTGCCATCGCAAGTGCCCAGCTCCTGCAAACTGGGTCACGTGGGCCCCTGCACCCTGTACCTTGTCCCTGCCGCTTATTGGACGCAGCGGATGCTGGACTTTTGCGGTCTCCATTGTATATTTCTTTGCGATCATTGTCCTTTCTATTATTTTGGCCGTTAAGCTCTTTTTTCTGGCGCGCCAAAACTACGAAGAAGATCTTGAAAGAAACCACGCCCATCAATCTGCCCAAGGCGGTGATCCTTCATCTTGTCGTCTTTACAAGTACGGAGTGGAAGACTTGATCGCAAAAAAATTTTACGCCCAGGGCAAATGGGTCACTATGCACATCCCTCAAGTGTTGTTAACAGCATCTGCTTTTGTTATCATTTCAATTTTGGTGTTAATTGCTACAAAGGGGCTCCAGATTGAGCGCGACCCTGTAAAGCTTTGGGTGGGCCCTCATTCCCAGTCTGCGTTGCAAAAGCAGTTTTATGACGAAAAATTTGGTGCCTTTTTCCGCGTCGCTCAAGTCATCATTCGACCAAAAGTGGACATTAACGGTGCCGTAACCCGTGAAGCTATCACTCTCATTTTTGATTTAATAGAAGAATTGCGGCACATGAAAGTTCTTCAGAATATAACCACCGATGGCAACATTGACATGGACATCAAAGCCTTTAAAAATGGGGTCTCGCTAGAGGACATTTGCTACAAACCACTGGGGCGCGAATGCTTGATCCAGAGCGTGGCACTAATTTGGCCCACACGTGAAGCTTTTGAGGCTACCGGCGATGCCTGGGCGTTTGATTTTGACACATGCATGCGCTCACCCACAGATTGTCTTGGCTTTGACGGAAATGACCAGAATCTTCGCGTACCTTTGATGCCAGAATTAGTAGTTGGAGGAATCCCTCTCAAGTACAAAAAGCTGCCTGCTGGTGCTGGGGGCCGACCTGCTCCACTTCCTATAGATCCTGAGTCGTGGATAGAAGCTAAATCCCTTGTTATTACCCTGCTACTTGACCCAAAGGATGAGAATCAGCATGCTGCTTGTATAGAATGGGAGCGCGCCTTTATCGAAACTTTACGGCGGTTCGAGAAAATGCACACTGATTTTACCTGGGCATTTTCTGCAGAGTCTTCTGTAGAATGGGAAATTAATCGCGAGACAGAAGCCAATGCCCCAGTTATTCTCATCTCATATCTGGCAATGTTTGTTTACGTGGCTCTTGCTCTCGGACGCCACTCCAGGAGGAAACGAAAGCAAAATACATCAGAACAAAAGAAAGAGGAATCATCATCATCATCATCATCACCCTGGTTTAGTGGCTGGCCTTCATTAGTCGATATGCGATGCACACTTGCGCTCGGTGGCGTACTGCTGGTGGCTGTCTCCATTCTGTTTTCCGCAGCCATATTCACGCTTCTACAAATCAAAACCACGTTGATTATCGCAGAGGTGATTCCATTTCTCGTGTTAGCTGTCGGTGTGGACAATCTCTTTTTACTGGTGCAGGCCTACGAGTCTACAGGGACCGTTGAACCAGCAGAAATCTCAAAATCAAGTACATGCAGTTTCATGGAGGACAAAAAAGACCCTGCGATTGATGCAAAAATGGAGTCCACACTGAATAACGTCGCCCCCCCTTCTGTGGAAGAGCGTGTGGCATTAACGTTACGCAGGTCTGGACCATCTATTTTGGTGACCGAGCTTGCAGAGTTACTTGCTTTTCTCATCGGCTGCAACGTGGAGATGCCTGCAGTTGCCTCTTTTTCTATGTACGCTGTGCTTGCTATTGCCTTTGATATTTGTCTACAAATGACAGTATTTACCGTCTTTTTAACTCTCGATGGCCGCCGGATAGCTGCGGGGAGACCCGATCCAATTGCTGGGGCTCTCAGCCGTGCCTTCAAGGCTGTTTGGACGTGGCTATGCCCCATTTTGATACGGCTTAAAACTCGCTTTTCTACTTTATGGGCTTCTGATACCATGTCTTCTGATCTCAGCCCTCAAATTGCTAAAGATACACAGGAAATCGAAAGCACACAGGCTGTTAAATCGATTCGATGGCCCTTTGGTAGCATATCTCATGCTTTAGCGCGAAACCGTCGCGTACAAACTGCTGTATTGCTATTTTATTCAGTATTGCTTTTCTTTTCACTGTTGGGAATCGGTCGAATTAGGCTTGGGTTGGAACAGCGACTAGCTGTGCCTTCTGACTCTTATCTTGTCCCATATTTTGATGCTTTGGAGACCGAATTGCTGGTCGGCCCCCCGCTCTTTTTTGTGCTCCGAAACGCAGATGTGGCTGGGAGCACATCGATTCAACGCTCAATTGCCACCCGATTCTATCAAGATATCATGGATGAATTATCCATTGGATCTATCGTTGAGGTCAATAAGGGTGAGCCCGGCTCATACCTTTCCTCTGGAATTTCTAACTGGTTTGACGATTTTTTGGCATGGTCGCGGCATTGTTGTCGGATTGATCCCGTAACGGGCGACAGATCCAGTTCACCTAGCGCCGTGCCTTGTATTTCGGAACAGAAACGGACACTGACGCAACTTGCCCTCAATTCAGAAACCATTGGCCGTTTTTTGCCGTGGTTTTTGGAGGAAATGCCGTCAGCACAGTGTCCTTTTGCCGGAGGCGCTGCCTATGCCAACCAGGTGCGTCTAAAAGGCAGTGTCTCCGCCTTCAAGGCTTATTTGCAACCGCTGCGCTCACAGGAAGATTTCATTGCGTCGTTACGGGCATCGAGGCGTATTGCCGGAATGCTTACGACTGCCATCCAGAAGGCGGCAAAGGTCACGGCGAATGGAGTTCCACCTGAAATGGACTCGGGATCACTTCCCGAAATCTTTGCTTTCTCACCGTACTTTGTCTTTTTTGACCAGTACCTCGAAATCATCTGGATCTCTATCTTGCTCTGCACCCTGTGTTTGCTCGTCATTCTTGTGGTGACATGGGCTCTTCTCGGCTCATTTGAGGCGGCATTATTTTCCGCCTTGAGTGTATGTTCGACGGCCGTTTCACTTTTCGGCGTTATGGGTTGGTGGTCGATTGGTCTCTCCGCAGTTTCACTGGTCAATGTGATCATTGCTATGGGTATTTCGGTAGAATTCTCCTCTAACATGATTCGTGCGTACATGGTTGTCCTTGATGCCGAAGAGACTGAGGAGTCCGCATATTCTGGGTTTGAAAAAGAGCCGTCTTCATGTTTACATGGAGCTTCATTCAACGCATTGCCTTCGCGCAAAAAGCGCGTAGAGCTAATGGTGGCCGAGACTGGCACTAGCGTTTTCTTTGGCATCACCCTGACAAAGCTGATCGGCATTTCCATTTTATACTGGTCTACATCCAAACTTTTCGAGGTGTTTTACTTTCGGATGTACATTGCCACGGTGGCATTGGCAGCTTTCCATGGGTTGGCCTTGCTGCCTGTGGTTCTGGCGCGTTGGGGTCCACATTCTGCCCTCTCCCCGCCAAGCTATAAATAAATGAACATCAACTGATAGGCAATTATCAAAAACGCCCGGTAAAAGTTGACCAAAATATTGTAGGACTCCCCGATTTTGAAGCTCCAAACTTGGATACTGCATGTGTGTTGCCAACAACGTTAAACGATTAACCTACTGGACCGCCATTAGGTTGAGCTGGTGATATTTATGTATATGATTTTGGGGTTAAGATTCACCACGACGAGGGGACGATGCCAGGAAGCGAGTCTGTACGTGCAAGACGGTGAAACTCGATGCGAGAAATGTCAAACTCCTTGATGATGCTGCGCGCCCGTCCCGTAATGATGCACCTGCGTGCCAATCTGTTTGGGACAGACGCCTTTGGCAGTGCACTCAGTTTAAACTGGGCCATATATCGAACGGAAAGTGGAAGTGAATCATTGTGTGTGATAAACCGAAGAGCGTTTCTTGTGTTTTCATGTTGGGCTGCACATATGAGCCGAAGCCGCTCTGTAAACGTTTTTCCCTTCATGGCGAAAAAACTCGCGTTCAAGTAATTGATTGATTAATTAATTAATTAATGCCAATGTTGCAGTTGGCCAAATTTTGTGCAATTCATGGATGAATGTAGGTGGAAAAAGTAAGCTTTTACCAATGTGATGGTTCAGGCTTCATTAGGGAATGGAATTCCCAAACATTGGCCCGATTCTGGAAAATTTGGCTAAATTTCAATCAGCAATCAAAAAGCCAAAGTAACAGGCTATCAACCATTTTTCTATTCTATTGGTCGCCATGCAGCATATTGATAAAAGAGCCGTTTTCAGTCTCTAATTCATGCTTCAAGGCTCCCCAAAGGATAGCAAAAGGGTCGATCTTATCCAACGGCAGCTCTTCAGGAAAAAGCTTGTGGCTGTTGGAGACGGGGCCTGTGGAAAAACCTCCTTGTTGATTTCTTACTGCAGAGGGGAATTTCCGGAGGAGTACATCCCCACTGTGTTTGAAAACTATGTCACGGAAATTTCTTTAGACGGTGGCAGGGTCATTGTTGACATGGCGTTATGGGATACTGCAGGTCAAGAAGATTATGACCGTCTGCGTCCACTTTCGTATCCAGACTCGGACATTGTTCTGCTTTGTTTTTCGATTGATGCGCCAGACTCGCTACGCAGCATCATTGAAAAGGTATGAAGACAATAATGCTGATCGCTTAGTGGCATCCGGAGGTTTCCCATTTTTGCGATGGTGCTCCAGTAATTCTGGTGGGATGCAAATCCGATTTGAGGGATGATCCATCGGTGATCGGCCGTCTGGCGCGGCTGAACCAACGGCCCATTTCATATGAAGAGGCCTCTGACGCTGCGTACAGAATCAATGCCTACAGATACGTTGAAACCTCGGCAAAGGTCAAAGATGGCCTTTCCGATCTATTTGCCACAGCAGCAAGGGCCTCCATAGCAAAAGAACAAAGCTACAAACCGGAGGAAAGGAAAAGCAGGTTTTTCAAAAAAAGGTTCTTTTTTTTTGGGGAGAAAAAAAGCCTCGTACCCACACTACTTTCCCCGGCACAGCGAAGGGCGCCAGCCGCCAAAAAACACGAATGCTCCATGATGTAGTGGCAGTAAACTTAAAATTAAATTGAAAGTGTAAAATTTCAACAATTTCTTAATGGTGGTGGTCCATCAGGCTCAATTGCGGCATTCAATTGGAGGAACCAGAACGGTAATACCGGGCCCCCATTCGTTTCCAACATCATCCAAATATTCTGCCCTACAGAACTCATACTCTGCGCTAGAATCGCTTTATCTGACACTTTTGGTCAGATGTGAATCTGCCGAGTACAATTGCCGTCTTTTGCAGTTTGGTAATTGATGGCTATTTATTTTTCATAGAACTTAATACCATAAAATCGCAATCGCTTGCTGCCATACAAAATACAAACGTTGTTCCTGATTCATTTGGCGATCAAGATTCTGAGAATGTTCTCCGCAATTCCAATAATGTATTGGATAGCAAAGACGCTCAATTGAAATCCGAATTTTCCGGAAATATAATTGATTTTTCCAAAGCTTCCAACAATAACGACGATTACAGTATTCATGAAAGCCCAGAATCAGAAGAGCCCAAGCGCGACATACTCCAAGAAAAATCACAAGATACAGAGGAGGGGCCTCCAGAATCCTTTTTTGTAAATATGGAAATTATAAAAGACGATAAAAAGCTTGGAGAACCGCTACATGAATACGATAGAGTGCCGCTAGAGTCTTTCGAGGAACAGGATGGAGAACACAAAACTAAGAATGATGATCTTTCTATGTTGCAGGAGAAGATATCGTCTTTGGAGTTTACGCTCAAATCGCAAACGGAAAAACTTCAAGCACTAGTAAAAGAAAAGGATAAGGGTGCTTGCATAGTGTAATAACTTTTAGAATCCATGGATTTAGCGTACATCTTAATTGATAGAGACGTAGAAATAGAAGACTTGAAAGATAAACTGCAAGAATATCACGATTTTGACAAAGCTTTTCGGTTTGTTTCTTTCTGCTTCTTATTTTTTATAGGGAGGGGATTCGTGCAACTGAATCTTACATTTCATGGCTCGAGAGCGGTACATCTTTTCAACATTTAATTTTTACATTAGAACTAGACAGAGCCTCCAATGGGTGTCTTTCCCAATCCATATCTGAGATCTCTCCTGCATAGGATTAATCGCATAACAGAATGATGAAGACACAAAGGCCGCTTCACATACCGATCTGAAGCTGCTCCATTCGCGGCGAGTTTAGAAAATAAACGACAATTCTCGATTTGAATTAACTACTGGAGAGATATCACAATTTAATAGGAACGTCCAAAAAGTGTATAGGAAACGGCAGGATGGCCACAAGCAACGCACTTAGCGCCTGGAGCCATGCTCGGCTGCTCAAATGGAATACAAAGGCTTTTAGCACCCATTGCAGGGGCCTTTTCATCCGTGCCTGCACGACAGGTCCGCTCCTTGATGTCTTTTTCGCAGGCGGGACGCTCGCACCATGGAATCATGACAAATTTTTTGGCATCCAAAGCAGGTAATACCAGATCCCAACTCTGGTCAATTACCTCCAAATGCTCTTCATGTCGAGCACGTGCGGCGGCAAGCATGTCGTCGTGAATTTTTTCCAAAAGCACAGGGATCGACTCGGACAACGTTGCAATGCTGTATTGCTTTTTTTGGTCGTCGTGTCTGGTCACTACACGGACCTCATTCTTTTGCAAGTCTTTGGGTCCAAGTTCAAATCTAATCGGAACTCCCTTGACTTCCCAGTGATTAAACTTCCATCCAGGCGTATAGTTATCCCTTAGATCGGTGTTTACACGAATGCCGATAGCCTGAAGGGTGGTTGATATTTGGGAAATCTTTTCCTCAATGGCAGCCACAATTGAAGGCTCTAGCTTCGAAGTGATTCCACATGGAACGATGACAACTTGGACAGCAGCAACCTTTGGAGGCAACACGAGACCCTTATCGTCACCATGTGTCATCACCATAACACCAATGGAGCGAGTGGTGATGCCCCATGAGTTTTGCCAGACAAGAGATTTTTCGCCCCGTTCGCCTTCGACTTCGATCTTAAACATCTTTGCAAAATTTTGTCCAAGGCAATGAGAGGTGGCGCCCTGGATGCCCCTTCCAGATTCTGGAATAAAAGCTTCAACAGTTGTGGTGTAAAGGCCGCCGGGGAACTTTTCACTTTCACTTTTACGCCCTTTTATGACGGGGACAGCAAGGACATCCTCATACACACGTCGATACAGCTCAAGGATTTGGAGAACTTCATGATCTGCTTCCTTTTTTGTATAGAACACCGTGTGTCCCTCTTGCCACAGGAACTCTCTTGTGCGAAGAAAAGGCTGGGGATGCTTAAATTCCCACCGAATCACGTTGCACCATTGATTGATTTTCAATGGAAGTTCGCGATGGGACTTGACCCACTTGGCAAAGGTTGGGTACATGATTGTCTCCGACGTTGGGCGGATGGCAATCGGCTCCTGCAGCTCCGATTGCCCGGATCGTGTGACCCAGGCAACTTCAGGCGAGAACCCTTCAACATGATCCTTTTCCTTTTCCAGCGCGCCTTGGGTGACTAGCATTGGAAAATATGCATCTTGAACGCCAATTTTTTCAATTTCCTTTCCAAAGAAATCTAAACTTTGGGCAATTGATAGCTTGAACCTTGAATGCGCTTCCAAATGCAGAAGCTCCACGGTCTGAGGATATAGCAGCCAGAAATATCGTAGTAGTCCATCATTTCGGCTTTTAATAGGACCTTGAAATAAGACGCACAAGACTTACCTGAGTATACCATGCAGAAAAGTCATCAGCCTTCTTGACATCAATTCCAAGGTTAGAGGCTGTCGTTGGTTGATGGGGATTTGGATTAGGGTTAGGAGAACTAGGTTTCTTGGATTTCTTTTCATTGAGATCAAGCTTTGAAATATCGATGGGTTTTGTGGTTGCGGACATTGTTTTTGTGCGTATCGAGAGCGCGCGTATTATAAGCTTGGAGAAACCTATTAATAAAAATTGGCAGTGTGATGGTGTAATAATCACTAATTAAAAGTCTCGAATTTTACAATTGTACGAATATTTTAACATCGGAGCAGTATAGGCCACCGTCCACTTTAAAATCTTTGGACCTCCTCTATTTGAACCCCCGAATTTCTAATTTTTTATTAGGGAATGGGTGGCAGGCGTGCTGATCATCTTTTCATTAATAATTAAATGCACTATCAAGAATAAAAAGTTGTTTTCAACCAACAAAGAGAAAATAAAATCACCCAAAGATTCATTTAGCGATTCTTCACTAATCACCTTGCTCTTCGGGATCTTATCAGATAGCTCTATCATCCCTTTTAGGATATTGTAAACCTTGGCAAAGGTTGCATTTCCCAGCTCTTTACCCAGATAATCCTTGACAATTTCAAGCTTCAAAAATAGGGAGGAGCATTTTTTCTGTTGATCAATGATAACCGATATCTCCTCAGAGGACGGCGTGTCCTCGAAAGAATAATTGGGGCCTTGAATCCAAGAGCAGAGAATGGAAGATCCAAGGGTCCCGAATGAGCCCAGTGGAAACAACCGCCCATTTAAAATGTATTCATTGGACGAGATTTTGTAGAACGACAGGAAGCTATGGTCCAAGACCCTTCCGTTGCAATTTTTAGACGCATCCGAAAACGGCAGTTTATTTTCTGCCTGCTGGAGTCTTGAATCGTCCCCAAAAGACAAGTTGTTTTCACACAATTGGCGTTTATCGTGGCTCCATTCAATATGCTGCAATATGTCTTCAAATGTATCTCTGTCCGACCATTTGTAGTAAGTAAATATGGTTTCTCGGCTTATGTCCCCAAATACATATTGGCAGATCACATCAAAGGCCTTAGCACGATCATCAAATCTATATAAATATAACGCAACGACGAACCCACATTTCCAACAGCGATTTAAACTTGCGTGTCAGCAGCGAAATATTGATTTCCGCATCCTTTAAAGGCAACAGGTTGCTAGTGGTGAGTTGTGGGGGCTTTTCGGGCACCTTTTTTGTTGGGACATTGTACTTGGACATGATTGATAGCAAAAGAAGGTCTTTGGCAGAGGGCCGCATGTTAGGGTCCTTTTGAAGCAGGCTCGAAATGAGAGATGAAAGCTCTTTTGAAAAATGCCTACAAGTGAGTTATTGGGGCACCGCGTCGCGCCGTACTTTGGAATCGGCAAAAACTCGGCCTTGATGATTTTAAGAATTAGCCCTCTTATGTGCCGAGAGTCAAAAGCATGCCTGAGGGTGCACATTTCATAGATGACACACCCCAACGACCAAATGTCTGACTTGTAATCATAGGGCTTGGATTCACATATTTCCGGACTCAGGTAATATGGGGTTCCAATTGCTGTGTGGGCCAATTCTATTGTTCCAGTAAGTGTGCGGGAGATACCAAAGTCTCCCAATTTCAACACCACATTGGGATATGCCGATTTTGTACGCACATCAGGCAGCGAAGACAAAAAGATGTTTCTCGATTTTATATCTCGATGCAAAACCTTGAGATCGTGCAGGTACGCCAATGCCGAAATAAGTTGGAAAGAGAACCGTAATATTTGGTCCTCCTCTAAAGCATCATTGGGAGGCCGCGATGCTTTGAGCTTTTTCAACAGCTGGTACAGATCGCCCTCGTTTGCATATTCGGTAACCACATACAAAAACCCGCTCTCCTCGAAGGAACCAAAGTATTTGATAATATTTGGATGCGACAACCTTGACAAGATTTCAACCTCCTCGCGCAAAAAAAGCGGATCCTTCACTTCAAGCTCCTCCGGGTTCAAAGGAATTTCTTTCAGGACAACAAGATTTGAGGACGAACCCTTGGTGTCTCTGGCAAGTATTGCCTTGCCCGAGGTTCCATTTCCAATCTCTTTTATGAGCTTAAACCTGTTTTTGTTCATCGTCAGTTGTTGAGAATAACTTTATTCTTATAGCAGATGTCACTCAAAGTTGACATGCCATCAAAATGGGGCAACCCCATTTTGCTTGACATTAATTATTAAAAATTGGGCAGCCCACTCTAGGAAATACAAAAAGTTGGCACTTAATTTTTAAATGGCCAGAGATTTTTCACTTCCCATCGCGTCGACGGGCGATCCAGTGAAAAAGGAAAAATGCCAAAAATATCTACTGGAGCTGTTTGTAAGCTCTCCCATAATTCTCTACATGAAGGATGCTTTAAAGCAGGCCGGATGCCCTCTATTTGTCAACGACATACAATGTGTACCCTGTTCAACGGATCTACCAATTAGTGGCTTTTATAGGCCTGGAAAGGGAGTGTTCCTTTGTGAAGAAACAATATATTCGCCCACTCATTTGCAAGAAACTCTGACGCACGAATTATTGCACGCATTTGATTATTGTACCAAAGACATAGATCTCTCGAACAACTGTATTCAGAATATATGTACCGAGGTAAGAAGTTCCAGCAGTCGGCTTATTTGAAGATTAGAGCATCAAATTTGAGCGGAGAATGTAGATTTGCAAATGAATTCCGTCGCGGGTTTTTTGGAATAAAGGGCCATCATCAAGTGGGATCTTTTGCTTATTTTAGGAATGCATCAAACGGCGAGCATTGAAATCCGCATCCATGTGCGACGGATGCGAGGGGCAAGACATCGAGGCATTGTTTAAAAAAGCCTTTCCAGTGTGCTTCCAAGACAAGTCGCCCTTCATTGAAATTCCCTATTGATGCTGAGCTGGGCCTGTTATAAATTAAAATTTCCTTTCCCAATACGAACGGTGTAAATTACACTTAATTTTGTGTAGCAATGGAAGAGTACTCCTTTCCATTTGAGTCCTTGAATGGGGTCTCTTTTATGGACCAGGATCATTTTCTTCTGGAGTGCCCGTTTTCAGATGCCTCCAAAATCAACGAGTACCGTGGCTGTGATTATTTACTTAGATGTTGCATCATTGGAAAGGGAAATGAAAATGCTGTACTTGTGTCGCCCTCAGCCTCGTATTCAATTAAGCAGGTTTTGATTACCAGCACCTGCTTGATGGCCAATTCAAAGAGCAAAGAGATTGAAAATATCTTTGATTGCTACTTTGAATGCAGGGAAGAAAGCACGGTAAATTTTGACAATATACCTGAAATAATGAAATCCTCCATCTACCACAGGCAGCAGCTTCCCGCAGGCCACGAGAAAATCGTAACTATTTCTTCAAATTACTTATTTTTAGACACGAAACGATTTAAAACTTCTCCTTCAATGTACCGATAGGGCATTGGAAGAGGTTATGGCTCGTTTTAATATCGTTG